CAGAGACGTATCTAGTTGAATCACGGTCAGCCAAACGTCTTTGCTATCGGATGAGATGGCTTACCACTGGCTGGGGCGTTCCTCAACTCAACGGGTAGTGACCCGATAGCGTCCAAGAAGAGGCTCAAATAGTTGGACTGAGCTATGGAATCGGCCAACAGACCGTCCGCTTGCCTATCCAGGGCAGCCAATAGATTGAGAAACAGAAGGGCGGATACTCGGCATGTTTCCTGGCCAGCGTACGCATCATCGCAGACGGCTTCAATCAGGGCATGACCGGCAGCTTTGATCACTTGTTGACTCTGGAGTCTCATGCTTTGATGCGTCGTTTCCGACGAGATGATGCCGGCGATATAGTGTGCGCATGTAGTGTAAAAGGTTTCCCTGATACTGACATTCCCGTTTGCTAGGATCACACCTCGAACACACGTCTGGAATAATTGATGTAGTTTCTCGTCAAGGATATCTCCGCTCCTGCGAGCCTCGTTCGAACCGGGCTTCGTGGACTCCAATCTACTGACCAGGGTCTCGGCCAGTCGTGCCAATTCAACACCCTCCGGTCGATCTTCTTCAATAGCAACCTCCAGTTTGGGTAGCACCAACTGAAGTGAGTGTAGTATGAAGGTAGCTCTCCTTCCTCCCTCAATCTCAGAACAGGTGAGAATTGTGGTAATAAGCTGCGTCCATGACCGCAGAGCTAAATAGCGGTTGAATGCAATCTGTCTCGCCTGATTCGTTGACCGTATGAATAACAGTAGACTTTCGGATTCAGCCAGGAACATGTCTTCATCTTGAGGCCGTAGATGCCCATCCAAGGTCAAATCTTCCTTCCTGACTTGAATCAGCTCCACTACCTCTTCCAAATTGTAGACGACTGGAGAGGTATCTGTTTCAGGTCTCGCGCAAACGTCAAACTCAATACCGTCGAGGAAGTTCAGTGCGGGCGGTTGTAACCGATGCTGGATGTCCAGATCCGCGAAATCGAATAGATCGAAGACAGAGGGATTTACGAGAGTCTCTCCAGCCTCCGAGACAGAGTTCCCGAACAGTGTGGCAATAATCTCTGCTTGAAGGGTAGGGGAAGCAAGCTTGGCAGCTGAGCGAATTTCCGTTGCGGCGTAGTCGTACAGATGGCTTCTGTAGAGAAGAAATTCTGCAAGAGCAGTCGTGGATTCAGAGAGCCAGAACTCATCCGTGATGATTGGTAGTCCATCCCAGGACGTGTTTGGTCCAATTATCGACTGACTTGCGAGCATGTTGAAAAGAAAGCGACTGCCGCGCATCTCGGCAAGTGTGAAGTACGAAGAGATTTTGGAAGACCAGAGGTGCTTGAGCACCCCAAAGGCCATGCGTTTGAGGTGCACCAACCATGGGAGAATATTCCCATCCAACTCGTCAGGGTAGCTCTGCAAAAATCCAATGATAGCATGCAACAAGGACATCTTATCAGCGAATAAGCCATTTGGCGACACGTCAAGCATGTTTCCGATGCTGTTGAACCCCAGGAGCAAGTGAGCTAATGTAGGTCGGTCATTAATCATGCCGAGACAGCTGTTCAAGAGAGCCAAAAGGCTTTCTCTGATGATGTACCCTGGCGATTGGGCGCCGGATTCTATCTCCCTCGATTCGGGTTGCATCTGAGATACAAATGGGCGTGCGACACTGTTGAGATCTACCTCAGCACTTAGAACTTCGACGATCTTGTTCGGTGAACGCCACTTGGATAATTCCGGAGACGTAATCTTGTTCAGCTTTTGGGAGCTAGATAGCTTTTCCAACAACGCCATCGAGGTAACAGTGAGTTGCTGGTGCCCCGTACTGCAATAGAGACACAAGGCAGGTATTAACGATAAGTTGTTAAGAATGCTATCCTCAAAAGCCGAGAGCGAAGAGTTTGCCACATTCGTTCTGCTTCCTCCAGCTTGAGACTTGATCGCCGGTCTCACGATGTTGAAGTAAGTCGATTGGAGGTCGATGACCATGTCCATAACTTCCAAGCTCCGAACCAAGGAAAGGACAAGAATAGAATCAGACGAGGCCTTCGCAACCTCAGTCACATCTTGATGGGCAGTAGCAAAAATGGCTTTGATCACGTCCTCATTGAACAACCATTCACAAACCCGTGCAAAAGGATGGAGACGAATGTAGGTGACAAAGGTTGATGCTTTGATAACGCTATCGCCGGCGGATATTGCGGGTTGACTGAGGATGGTGACGAGGTTCTCGTTGAAAGATTTCAAACATGTCACGATGCAGTCCAAGCAGTTGTATGTCAACAAGCGGGTCTGCCGTTCATTGAGGTCCGGAATTTTCCTAGAAAGAGCCTGGCCCATGATGAAGTCGATATAAGGCTCAATGCCCGGCATACGGTAGGACGAACCAAGGTTTTCGGGGAAAGATAAGGAGAGGTGGAAGTCGGCTGAATCGGGGGCAGGAGAGACGAGTGAATACACGAGGCGAACGAAGGCGTTAGCTTGGTCGAAACTTTCACCGATCCTCTGGAAGGCTTGCTGCTCATGCCATACGAGCGGATTCGAAACTACCGGGACCTTGCCAAGGCTAGAACCACTCATAGACCCCCCCGAAATCCACTGATCAATAGCAAGCCACATCTCATTGCCGTTATGAGATGCCTTCTCCGTCATCAAGGCCCCCAGAGTCGCAAAGACGTTTGCCCGCAAATGCGTAGGGATCGGCCCGCTGCAGAGCGTCAACAACGTACCGACAACATTGAAAGAAGGGTGGTGAAGAAGCCAGTCTCGAATAGTGGCACTCTGTTTGCAGAGATGTTCCAGGAGCCTGAGGTAGCATGTCAACATGACAGGACTCTCTGGCTCGCTCATGTCAGCCGGCTCGGGTTTTCTTGATCGCAAGATCGCCTGGGACGTAGAAGGCTTTTCAGTAACCCTTGTTGCGTACAGTTGAAGCTCAGCGAACATCTGGGTCCAATTCATAGACGTGGATCGTTTGAATTTTGCAGACATGAATTTGTCTTCTTCAGACAGGAACCGATGGGCTGCGGTGGCATTGTCCTCCCCACCGGAGATAGAGCATAGCAACTCGCAAAATGCACTGACCCTGGGAACAGTTTGCCGCTTGGATGCCCACTGGAGGAAGCCATACAGGTTACCATCAGGATCAGCCCAGAATTCCTGGGCGGCATCTGGCCGACGCTCAAACGCAAATGCCATGATCATCAAAAACGACTCTAGATGTGTGCGGGCCTCGACCAAACCACGATGAAGGCTCGACGTCAGGCCATCTCTCAGAGCAGTAAGATGATCCAGTCTTTGGGAGTCTTCTTCGGTTTTCAACATCCGAACCGCATCTGGCATGTTCGCAATGCATGCCTCGGCAAAGGCTTCGAAATTCTCCATCAGCAGAACCTTCAAAAATTCGGAGCAACATTCAGACTCCAGCGTTGCTGATGCGCTATCTTTCAATAACAGTGTGACCAGTTCACTGCGGGCCGGATCAGCCCATTCTTCATCATTGACACCATAGCAGACAGCGAGGATAAGTTCAAGGCCTCCATCATCCAATGCCGTCATGAACATCTTTGTGCGCTCTTCGACATCTTTTTCCAAGTCGACTCCCTGAAGAGGAGAGGCAGGCCCATCGAAATCCCAGCCGCTGTAGACTGCGAGCCATAATGCGATAACTGCAGAGTGAAATGCGGGCAGCTTCCAGGGTTGGCCGTCTTTGGAGGATGTAATTGTTGTGTGCAGACTCCTGGCTTCTCGGTAAGAGCTCGAGCTTTCCGGCGAGCCATGTTGAACAAAAGACGTGACAATGCAAGGGAGGTAATGGACAAGGAGTCCATCAAAACGTTCAAGTTTCCGGAGGTGGTCCAGCAGTAGACGGAGATCCTCAGAACTCGTGTAAGGGCCCTTGAAAAGATAACAGAGCACGGCACCAAGTGATTCGTGTTGCTGTTGTAAGCTGGTGCGCTGGTATTCTAGAGCCTCTAAGATGTCGAATTCTTCCGACTGGCCAACAATGGACGCCTTCTGGACCTGCTCGCCAAGAAGGACAAGCCACTTCTCGACATCCTCCATTGATTTCATGCATTTCCGTGTGAATAGCGACGCATTCCGCAAAGGTCCATTCTTTATCTCCACGACAAACGCCAGCATGTCCTGCATGATAACTTGGGTCATTTCACGCTCCACCTCGAAAGATTCTTGGAAAATGAGCCGTAACGAATCGAGCAAGAATTGTCGGCGCTCATGGAATCGCATGATCGCGGCGATGACGGGGGGCCTATCCAGCACTTGAGCATCTTCCTGAGCCGCCAAAAACAGTACTGCCGCTTGCAATTCATCCAGATCCAGTGCATCTGCCAGCATTAACACTCCTTGTTGAAATTCCCCATTGATCGAGTACTCGAGATTGTCAACGGTAATTTTCCCTAGACCGTGTCGCATTACAGAGTCAGCGCATAGACTTGGACCTCCTTCCATCTAGAAGGAGACGGCAAAGGCATAGCACGTCAGTCTCACCTGATAGAACAGCCTGGCGACTGGTGTTGTTTTTCGCGGGCTTGTCGAGGAGCTTCTTGAAATCGTCGATGTGAGCCTCTAGCTCGATGCGAAGACGCTCAATGTTCACAAACGACGAACTTGAAAGAGCAGATAGATCCTGGTACAGGCCGCGAAGGCCAGTGGCAGTATCCCTGTCCTCCATGTTGAGGGTGAGTGCGCAAACTGCGAGAAGCGCTGGCAAGTCAGAAGGTCTGATGTGTTTGTCCCGGCCAAAAAAGGTCGGAGGACGCGATCAAACTTCCGGCGGTCTAAAGGCGGGCGGAGCTCACCTCCCGCCGCCCACCACACCAAGCGGAGCATCCCAGAGGCCGACCCAGGATAGTTCCTTGGTCATGACGCTTGCGCGGGGCTTTTTCTTCTCCTTGGACCCCGGATATTCTCGAAATGGCTTGGCTATCTTGATTATCGCGATTGTCAATGAGATCCCGGCCAATTCCGTAGCTCCTTGCCTCCGTCATGGGCGAAATCACTCTGGATGGGGCCATTGCGCTTTTGGCTTCAGAGAAGCTAAGAGAGCGTTCAGATGGGCTTGCTGGTTTGTCTTACATACGCCGGACTCCCCCCATAATCTCGCGGTTCTGATGCCTGATAGACCTAAAGCATATACTCCAGAAGAATAGAAGAAATTCAAAACTGTATGCAGAGAACCCAGGTCGCTCTATATGCATGGCGGTAACTAACAATTAATGCCATGCGCGCGCATGTTTAGAAACTCGCAGAATGACAAAGCTTGCCACAAGATCTTTGAGTCTCTGTTTCGGTTTGTATCAGTCGAGAAATCTCTATACAGTCGATCGAACTCCAAGAGAGCCTCGGCTGCTCGTTTGTCTACATGTGCATCTGTCCTTCGAACAGCTGTTGATGTTTTCTTGCGCAACCTGCGCACAAGATCAGTTCGTGCACTAGTCGATCACATCACCGATACCCTTCTAGCCCCCGGAAGTGAAACTCTTTTTGGGCTTCTGGGTGTGGACTATGCAAAATGTTTGGTCGCCCTCCTGCGTTATCCTCCTCATCTCGAACATCTCGCATCGGGCGAATGGGAGAAAGTAATGGTTTTCTGCCTGAAGTGCATCAATGTCCAGAATGATGAAATTAGTCCAACGAGTTCTCGGAATGGACATGCGTCCTTTTTGGACGAGTATCTTTCTACTGGAGGCCGGAGCTCAACACCTCTCAGAATAACACCGATTCCTACTTCCAGTGAAAAGTCTAAAGGTGACGCTACTGCTGCCACAGAAGCTGCTGTATGTATCCAGTTGCTGACCGGAAGCCCGAATGCTCCTATTCAGGAAGCTGCTGAGCGTGTACTTGTTGGATTGGCTAAGTTCGTGGGCTCATCAACTATCGCTGGGAGTGGACACCAAGCTGCGTTTGCTAGCGTAAACACAGTTATCATGAAAGTTCTATTTGACCAGTCTGAACTTGCGAGAACGTCGCTGCTAGATTTAATACCAGTAATTCGACGTTTGTGGACCACCAAACTCATGGGGCTGAAGGATGAAATACTCGTCACTGCCATGCTTTGTGTGGTTGTCTTAACTGATGCGGCTCGAAGAGAGCCGTCAGAGTTGATTGCACGTCTGATTGAAGACCTTCTGGACACACTGCACACTGAGTATCTCAAACGACCCGAGAAGGAGATCTTACAGTTGGATGAATTGACTTTTAACAGCGGCGATTCAGAACAGCAGCAGGAATACTCAGCATGGCCTCGCTTTGAGAGTGCTAGATCTGAGCACAATTGGACTACGTTGTGGCTCATAGCAAGGTTATTCGAGTTGTCAGACTATATATGCGGGAAATTATCACCGCATCCTGCGTCTGGAGAGACGGCGAATAAGAGGCAGCGCCTTGCTTCTCAAATAGACGACATATTTCGTGATTCAGCGACATCCTCTGGACCACGCAGGGTTTGCGCTTTGCAGCTGATACCGTTCCTTCCCAAAAGTTATGCAAATGTTGAGTCGAAGCTCTCCCTGCTTGAGAGGCTGCTTCCGAATGTACTGGATGATAATAGCACGGTTTCTTGTTGGACAATGGTTGCGATTGCAAGGTAGGTGAGTATTCCAAGCACAGAAAATGGACGACTAACAGAGATGTCATAATAGCATCGCTAGTAGTCCCAATGCAGACTCACATTCTCTGAAAGATTGCTGGCAGCGCGCTTGGGAGTTGGCTTCCCGGACCTCTACTTCTCAAACGACGGCCAGAGCTGCTTGCAATTTGTTGAATCATATACTCCAGCGTGATCTCTTAGACTATCCAGTAGTTGCGCAAGCAACAAGTTCCATGCTGGCATCCGTCAATATGAACGGCCCCTCTGTTATCTCGGATTCGTGCTTGGCTTTTTGGGCTACAATCCTACGCATGACGGCGCAAATAAACCCGGGCTTAGTACCGGATGCCTCTCAAAAGATTTGTTCCTGGCTGAGGGAAATTTGGAGTATCGGTATGTGTATCCAAATGCTGCTACTATGGCATCAGCACTCACTTTCAGTGCAACAGGATCGGTGACCGATCGATTACAGATAGCACAAGTTGCTATGTTCGCTCGTCCTTTGGACCTTCTGAACATGTTGTTAGCTTGCACCAACAGACGCTTTGTATTGCCCAAACTTCGTTTCATAGGACCTACAGGTCTCATAGCGAGAGGATGGCACTTTTATCATAAGAACCAACGGCTCCTCAACTATCTCTTTGACCTCCAGGACATGTTAAATCCGAGCAAATATTGGGACCCTGAAGGGCTTTTGTGTTTAGAAGAGTTTGGCCGACTTGACTCCAACGACCATGTTGTGCTCGATCTGTTGCAACTCAAAGTTGAGGGTTTTCTGCAGGCCTGGGATGCATTGTCTGAAGACAAATCACACCATATAACTGTGGACATGGTGCAAATAGTCGCATGCTCCTGTGTCACTATTGCATTGTACACGGCATGCCTACCACAGCAAGCTACAAACCGTGTGTCTAGTATACAGGAGAGCAACCAACGTCTCTGGAAACGGCTGTGCTCCTTCCTAGCTTCCCAGGAACCCGTCTTTACTCACGCATGCTTGACGATTCTAACTCCTCTTCTTGCCCCGGAACCATTCTTTTCCCACTCTAATACAGCTGTCATTGTTGCTGTGTCTAGCCTAGTTCTTCCCCTTGCCAATATCCTGGAGGGTCATCGAGAAAGGCAGAAACAGATGTTATGCTCTGACTGCGAAGAAGATATGGATTTGGATGATCCATTGCTCACATCCCATAATCAATCGGCAGAGCTCAATTCCATCTTCGGCAACAATCGAGATGCGTCACCGGTGCTTCATGACTCTGCAACATTACAGCGTTGTATCACTATCCAACTATCAATCTTCCAGAGGATACATGTTTCCGTCACTTCACAGCATTCGGCCGATGACGATCTGCTCGAATATCTGACTGACTTCGATGAAATGGATATTCTATCAGCGAGGGAATTCTTACCGCATGTGTATCGTGCATGTGCTGGAATGCAACGTCATTCCCTGCTAAGAATACTCGAAGACCTTGGTGAGAAATGTTTGCAGACATATGAAGTAGAACGCTGTGAAAACTCGCACATTCTTTGTCTTCGTATGATGGGCAGTTTTATTGGATTGTGGACCGGTCCAGAAAACGATCATCTCCATGATTCAGCTACCGACATCTATGCATGGTTTACTGAAGTGTTGTTGGCAAAGAAAATGGCATCCACCCCAGTCCTCATTGAGTTCACCCAGCTCCTAGGTGATTTACTCATACACAATATCGCCTATTCAAGCAGCCAATCCAGTCCGTCGCCTAGAACGAGTTTGTTCACCATTCTCCGAGAAGGAGATGCCTTGGTGAAGTTCAGTGCTGGGGAATTGATACCTCAGCTATTTGGCCAGTACTCTCTCACAGAGCATGATGCTATCTTTGACGATGTGCTGGATAGCCTTCCCCGAGATTCTGACTGGGATGAAGGGATCGCTCTGCGCCTGATTGTATTAGCTCGTCTTGCCTCCAGATGGCATACATTGCTCCGGAGAAGTATTTACCATATGTTTGAAACTCCTGCCAAGGTCCCAAACTCCCTTCGGTACGCTGAAAAATGTCTACGTGACGTTGCGAAAACACTCGGACTTGTAGACGCAAGACAGCTGTTTCGGCTCTTTTCGTCCCAGATTATCTACACTTGGACTGAGGAACAAACAGTCAAATCCATGCCTTTTAGTGTCTTCGGCTACGGAACACTGAAGGAGATGCTGACGGATGTTCAGGACGAGATAATTGGACAGGTGATGATGCGTGGGATTGAGACCGAAGGAGCTGAGTTTTCAGCCTGTACTGGTGTTCCATTTGATCACCTTGTAGTGCAGTCCTTCTGCAAGGCGGAGGCATACAGCATAGCACGAGATATCAGCACTCCTGGAAAGGGAAGTCAGACCAAAGGAGTGGAAAACAAAGTGAAGCTGATGCTAGGGACTGACAAATTTGTGTCCTTGATTGAAGCTCAATTCCCGCAAATGATAGCGACCTTCTTTGGGACCTTGGACCAATACGAACAGATCGAGAGGGCGATTCTAAAGCGCGAGAACTTCCACGAGGCTCTCAATGTTCTAAGACGTATAGTGCAAAAGAGTTCCTCCGATATTCTGTTGCCTGCAAACCAACAACCATCATTCCGGGCGCGCTACCTCCTTGATGAACTTGAATTTCTCTGCAAGCGGAGTGGATACGATCTCGAGACTATATGGACACCCACCTTGGCAACATATGTCTGCCGAACACTCTTGGAATCGATTCACCCTGCCCTCGGCTCTTTACATACATGCTCCGTTATTCGAAAGATTCGGATACTTGTGAGCATTGCCGGGCCCGTCATGTTGAGCGACTACCCGTTAGAAATGGTGTTACACGCCCTTCGACCGTATCTGGCTGACATATTTTGCGCGGAAGACACCTTGGGTATCTTCTGGTACCTCTTGGAAGAAGGAAAGGTCTACCTATCTGAACACCCCGGTCTCATGGCTGGGGTTGCGGTCACTACACTGCTGTCCTTGAGAAAGTTTCTGGCTTCTCCTCCCCCGGAAATAGCCCAGGAAAGTCTAGTGGAAACAGTAATGGCGAAGACAACCCGGTTTCTCGAATGGTTCGAAGATTATCTGGATTCCTACGAGTCTTCTGCGCTGAAACCTGAGAAGCATGAGCTCTTCCGACGCCTGGTCGGCTCTTCCCAGCGCGTCCCCATTGCAGAAGAAGGCTCAAGAGGCAGTAGAGAGGAGTATGAATTGCTTCTACAAGTCCTCGGTGACCAAAGCTCTAGGAAGAGCCTCTTAAGCAAACCGATCGCCGACCACGTTATATCGTTGCTATGCACTGAGAGCAAACTTTCCCCTGAATCTTACCACCATGGTTTCGAAGATTATGAGAACGTCATGTCCAGCGCCGTTGCTATCTGCCAAACTCTGCAGAGATTTGACTCAGGAACTGAATACAAACTATGGGCAGCTAGAGTTATCGGCAGAGCATTTTCAGCTACTGGCAAGATTGGCGACGTCCTCTTAAGGGAACAGGATCCGAAACTGTTTGCAGTCCCGTCGCATCCGTCAGATCTGAGTTCATTTCACCGTTCCAAGGCTAGCATTCTTATGATGCTTTGCAATATGCTACAGAATAGCAATCACCTGGAAGTCGGACTGGTTGAACGTACCATGCAACTCATTATCAGCAACCTTGCCAGTTATCCCGAACTCGAACCCTGTGGAGAAACTGTACCCCCTTCCCTTTTGAAGGCCTTTACGTGGAGCCCTTATCAGTGTCCCGCTATGCCCATGCCAGCTTCAACGACTGAAGCCGGGGTCACGATAATCTGGGACTCCAGTGTTCCAGCCGGACATTTTGCTCGAAATGTCGGGCTGTTCCTATCAAGCGCAGCTCCTAAAGACCCGGTAATTGGTCCACTACGCAACATCCTCAACGTGATCCCTGACCTAGCAGTCCAAATACTGCCATACATCCTTCATGATGTCTTGCTGGCGGAATTCGAAGAGGATGTGGATGTTCGTCAGACGGTTTCGGAGGCCTTTGGGCAAGTGCTACGAGAAGTCGATGACCGTACCATTCCTCATGCACGGCTCGTCATTAACTGCCTCCTCTATCTAAGGAATCAGCCCAGACCAGATGAATCAACAATTGTGGAAAGAGATGAGTGGCTCGATGTTGACTTTGCCGAAGCATCTTCAGCTGCCAATAAGTGCCGCTTGCCGAAGACAGGGCTTCTTTTCCTCGAGATTTCTGCATCGCGGGCGGTCTCTACCTCACGTCGCTCATCCCTTGTTAGATACGAAGTGGCGCCGGAGATACTGCATGGCATATTCCGAAACATAGATGATCCGGATTTCTTCTATGGCATCCAACAAGATTCGTCATTGGAGGCTGTCATGGACAGGCTTGAACACGAGAGCTCAGGGTTCAAGAATCTTTTGTTTCAAAGCGCTCGGTATGATAGTGAGATACAGATGGGGGGAGATACCAATGTCCACGGCGTCCTTAATGCCCTCAACTCGACCAATCTTCAAGGCATCGCCAATTCAATCTTCGCGATCTCTGGCAACTCTAAAGATACCTCGGGATCATTTGATAGTATGTTGCAAACCGCAAGAAGTTTGCGACAATGGGATATTCCTGTCTCCCCACTGAGCCCTTCGCCATCTGCGACCGTCTTTCGGGCTTTCCAAAGCCTCAACATATCCGGAACACTGACAGACGTCTACGCGTCTATCGATGAGTGCCTTCTATCTAGCCTGGACCTACTGACTAGTACGAGCCGCTCAGCACTGTCTTTACGCAATGCCATGCGGACTTTGGGGGTCATGACTGAGGTTTGCGATGTCTTGGGCTCTAAATCAACGGAGGACCTCAATAATGAGTGGCAAAGGATGGCGGGCAGAGACAGTTGGCTCAAGACCACAAGGTAGGCTTCATAGCTGCTTTATCATGATGGCTTCGACTTGATGCTAACACATGCAGTGCAACTGACCTTGGAGAGATATTGACTTGCCATGAGGCCTTGTTCTCATCAATCAAGAGTAAAGACTTCCTAAAGACTGCCATCAACTTGAGTGATCGTGACGCGCAATTGCTGGAAGTGAAAGTTATCCGGCAATCCCTTGAGATCGCGCGTAGTCATGGCATCTCGCAAGCCTCGTTGAAGTCGGCTGTTTGTCTCTCAAAGCTCGCGCAGAACTGCAATTCCCTAGGCATAAATATTGAAGGTGCGGCCAAGTTCGATCTGGCCAATGTTCTATGGGACCAAGGAGAGATGACAGCATCGATCCAAATGCTACAGCAGCTCAGGGACCGCAATGACTTGCATAAGCAGGCTATCCCGATAAGCCGTGCGGAACTTCTTGTGACTCTGGTACGTCCAAAAAACGCCATCCCATAGAATCTAATCTTAACACGAGGAAAGGGCCATCACATCGCGGAAGCGCGTTTGGAAAAGCCTGATACGATTATCCAGGAGTATTTGTCCGCGGCCGTCAAAGAGCTCAGAAGCCGCTCGCGAGGGGAAGATGTTGGCCGGGTCTACCATGGGTTTGCCATGTTCTGTGACAGGCAGCTGCAGAATCCAGACGGGCTGGAAGACTTTCGGCGGATTGAACAACTTCGTGACCGCAAGGAAAAGGAAGTACGTGCACTGGATGACATGATGAAAACAGCCCAAGGCAAGGAAAAGGAGGCTCTCAAGTACCATCGAGCAAAAACCAAACAGTGGTTCGATCTTGACGATCGTGAATACCAGCGCCTGCGACGCAGCCGTGAAGCCTTCCTTCAACAATGCTTGGAAAACTACCTCATGTGCTTGAAAGAGAGCGAAAGCCATAACAACGATGCCCTACGTTTTTGCGCGTTATGGCTTGACAAATCCGACAGTGTCATCGCGAACATGGCGGTCTCCAAATATCTCCACGAAGTGCCAAGTCGCAAGTTCGCACCCTTGATGAACCAACTAACCTCTCGCTTGTTAGATGTTTCTGATGAGTTCCAGAAGATGCTCTTCGCGTTGATCTTTCGTATATGTGTGGAGCATCCGTTCCATGGCATGTACCAAATCTTTGCGAGCAGCAAATACAAGGGAAGTAGAGACCAGCCCGCCCTGTCTCGGAACCGAGCAGCTGGAAATTTGGTGGAGGGGTTGAGGAATGACAAACGCATGGGCCCAACTTGGATCGCTGTTCACAATACCAACATCAACTACGTGCGGTTCGCTATCGAAAAGCCGGACGAAAAGTATAAGAGTGGCGCGAAAGTTCCTTTGAAAAAGCTATCAACCGGGGAACGACTTGAACAAGACGCTGTCACCCAGCGGCTCCCGCCGCCTACCATGAAGATCGATATTCGCGTTGACTGTGACTACAGCGATGTCCCCAAACTTGTCAAGTATAATCCTGAGTTCACCATCGCGTCTGGGGTCAGCGCGCCGAAGATCGTGACGGCCGTTGCCAGCAACGGAGCACGCTACAAGCAGTTGGTGAGTCGATCCACTCATAAGATTGTCAATAACCCATCTAACCGTCCCGCCCCCCAAGTTCAAAGGAGGAAACGATGATTTGCGGCAGGACGCCATCATGGAACAAGTCTTCGAGCAAGTCAGCAGCCTCCTCAAAGATCATCAGGTCACCCGTCAACGGGATTTGGGCATTCGTACCTACAAAGTGCTGCCCCTCACATCGAATGCAGGCATCATCGAGTTTGTGCCTCATACGATCCCCTTGCACGATTTCTTGCTGCCGGCACATCAAAGATACTTTCCAAAGGACATGAAACCGAACGCGTGCCGGAAGCATATTGCGGATGTTCAAACACGGTCATTTGAGCAGAGAGTCCGAACCTACCGGCAGGTGACCGAGCACTTCCATCCGGTTATGAGGTTCTTCTTCATGGAGAAATTCAACAACCCCGATGACTGGTTCAGCAAGAGGCTGGCATACACGCGAAGCACCGCCGCGATCTCGATCCTGGGCCATGTTCTCGGACTCGGAGATCGGCACGGCCACAATATCCTGTTGGACGAACGCACCGGTGAAGTGGTCCACATTGATCTGGGGGTGGCATTTGAACAAGGGCGAGTGCTGCCCGTGCCGGAGGTCGTTCCTTTCCGGTTAACCCGCGATTTGGTGGATGGCATGGGGATCAGCAAGACCGAAGGGGTTTTCCGACGTTGCTGCGAGTTTACGCTGGAGGCCATGCGCGAGGAGTCCTATAGCATCATGACCATTCTCGATGTGCTACGGTATGATCCGCTGTATAGCTGGACGCTTTCGCCTCTCCGGATGAAGCGAATGCAGGATGCGCAAGAGGCCGACGGGGGTCCCCCAGTGATCCCTGGGACCACAGACCAGCGGTCGGCCAGCGAGCCTAGTGAGGCTGATCGCGCACTGACGGTGGTGGCGAAGAAGTTGAGCAAGACGTTGAGTGTAACGGCGACTGTCAACGAATTGATCCAACAGGCCACCGATGAGAAGAATTTGGCGGTGCTGTATTGCGGTAAGTCTGCCCAGGCAATGGTCTCCAACTGGAGGATGAGGCTGACACGTTTTCTTACAGGCTGGGCTGCATATGCATGACGATTTTACTATCTGATCTCTTCACGCCGAGGACTTTTTATGTGCGGCGAATTTGTATTTATAGTGTGATGGATTTCTTGTAGATTGTTTGAAAGACAGACTGAGGCGTATGAATATAGGATGGGGATGACGATACCATTGTCAAAGTTAATTCAAGTTGTAGATTTGATGCTTAGATACTCGCCAACCATTCCAGAGTTGCTGTCTGCGATAAGTTGGTTGGTGTGACATGCCGCCGGGCATGTTCGCTGGAGGGCTGGTGGTGGCAGTTGGTTCGCTGGCGTGGAAATAAATGTCATTCCTCTGCATTCAACCTCTACCCTTCTTGTCATCAAGATGCTCCGATCAAATGGTCGCGTGCAGCCATCTTGGCCTTGCTTCAACTCCACGCCACAAATCCCCGGCAAGATGGAGAGGCGATAGATAAGGGATTCGTGGCATCTTCGTCCAACATGTAGCCCTGCAAATCCTCTTCTCCACGGGACCCATTCTCCATCCTCCATCTATTTAATTACTTACTCCCCAACCATGTCAACCGGCCCAGCCCCCAACCGGGGCCTGGTGGTTTTCTCCGGCGGCAGTGCCGCGAATAACCTCGTCGACGTCTTCCACTCCGTCCGCGAAAGCAAACACTGTCCCCTCAGCTACATCATCCCCATCAGCGACAATGGAGGTTCCTCATCCGAGCTGATCCGCATCTTCGGCGGTCCTGGCATTGGAGACGTCCGCAGTAAGCCCCCTTCACCCCTATCAAACCCATCTCTAACTTCACAACCCAGGTCGACTGGTACGATTAATCCCCGACTCGCCTCCCAATTCCGAACGCGCCGCCATCAAAGCCCTCTTCAACCACCGGCTCTCCGCCGATGCCACGCGCGCCCATGCCGAATGGCACTCCATCGTCGACGGCACCTCCAGTCTCTGGACGGCCATCACCCCCGCCAAACGCGAACTCACCCGTTCATTCTTCAACCTCCTGAACCTGGAAATCCTCAAACGCGCCCGTCCACCCTCCTCCACCTTCGACTTCACCTCCGCCAGCGTCGGCAATCTCTTCCTCACCGGCGCCCGCCTCTTCAGCGGCAGCTTCGAAAGCGCCATCTACCTCCTCGGCAGCATCTGCGGCGTCCCCTCCGACCTCGTCCGCGTCATCCCCGCCATCAACTCTAACTTCTCCCACCATATCTCCGCCTCCCTCGCTAACGACGACATCATCGTCGGCCAAAATAGCATCTCTCACCCTAGTGAACCAACCGCCCTTCAACCCTCCCGTCGTCGTCCAAGCCTGCTTCTCGCTGATGGTCCGGACCCGGATTACCTCTCCTCTTCCACCCCTACCCCAATCCCAACCCCATCCCACGAAGACCTCGAAGACGAAAACGAAGACCATCCCCCGGGCTCCCTCCCAACCCTCCGCAACAAAAACATCCGCTTCAACAAATCCGAAACAGAGGACCTTCCCTCCCGAATCACCCGGATCTGGTACATCAACCCCTATGGTCAGGAGATCCGCCCCCCGGCTAACCCCCGCGTCCTGGAAGCTCTGAACGACGCCCAAGCAATCATCTACAGTATTGGGTCCTTGTATACATCTATTATCCCGTCGTTGATTCTCCGTGGCGTCGGCCAAGCCATCGCTACCGGCCCTGCCCGGCATAAGATCCTGATTCTTAATGGATCGTTGGATAGGGAGACGGGGCCGACGGGGTATACGGCTGCGGATTTTGTGGATGCGATTGCGAGGGCCGGGCAGGAGAGTCGTGGGGTGGGGGTTGGGGTTGGGTTGCGGAGGGGGGGCGAAGAGGGAAATGGTGGTGGGTTACCGTATTCGGCGTATGTGACGCATGTTTTGCATTTAGAAGGCCCGGGGACGCCGTTGGTGGATCGGGAGAGATTGGCGGAGATGGGGATTGAGACGTTGAGGTTGTATGGGAGGAAGATTGGGGATGGGGAGGTGGCGGTTGGGATGAGGTATGATTCGACGGCGTTGGTTCAGGCGTTGGAGGTGGTGTTGGGCCGGAAGGGCGATGCCATTTTGCGTGGTGCAAGGGAGGGTACGGGGTTGAGTAGGAGGAATACTCTGGATCCTGGGAGGAAGAGGGGTGAATAGGTACGTAGATAGGGGATATTTTGGGTACTGGTATTTACATTATTTGATTGTATTGTGTTTTGATACATCATGATGAACATCCACCATCATAGAATAATAACCCATGATTAAATATCTGACAGACACAACGTGACCCGTGAAATGTGGAGCTGTCCGGACGCCGTCCCAATGCTTTTCACCAACGGTTTCGGGGATAATACAATTCGGCGAAGAGAATTCGAAAGACACAGAGAGAAATAGAGAAGGCGGAGAGGCACGTCCTGGTTTACCAAGACGGCGAGGAAAACATTTATATATACAAGAGGGAACAGAACTGAATGAAGGCGGAAATGACTCGACCGGGCTAGGCTCGCGCTGACGGTCTCGGCTTCCAGCTTTGACGGCTGAAGCCCACCTGGGGAGACCGGCTCCCGGGTGCAAGGTTCTTGAAATCGGGGTAAAGACTGGGTCCGACGTCCATCAAAATGGCCTTTTGAGGCTCAGCCGCCACGGAGGCCGTGGGTTTGGCGCGACCACTCGGGGACCGTGTGTTCGGTGGCGCCACGGGGGACTTCGTTTTGGTGACCTCGCGGATGATGTCGCGGAGTTCGCCGTCGTCTTTGGAGATCTGCGCGCGAATGAAAGCCGGGTGGTTTGAAACTTGGAGGGAGGACATGACGGACGGTCGTGGCGTGTACTGGTATTTCTGTGGGCTTGGCGGAGACAACGGCGTGATGGAAGGATCGAGCCGGGCTCTTTCATTCTTGTCCAAAAGCTGGGCGATGTCGAGACTCTCGCCATGAGGAATCTTGTGGGGATGGGACGGTGTCACACAATCCATATCCACCTCCTTGCGCAGGACGTGATCAATGTCCACGGCCGAGAAGTAGGCACAGGACTGAGGGAGGTCGTTGATTCCAACCTGCTGCGAAAACATAGCGCGCGTCCACACGTTGGCGACCTGCAGAGCCAGAGCCGCTCGATATTTGTCCTCGTCCTTGACCAGATATCGGATCTCGTCATGGACGGTAATGGCCAGGCGAGCGGCGATGTTGAAGCGTCGGATCAGGTAGTCCATGGCGACGATCAAGAGGTGAAGGTAATCGACACCGGACGACTGGATGGCCCAGTTGATCCGCGATGTCATGAAGCTACCCTTGTTGATGAAGCGTCGCATCAAGGCCTCGGTGATGCCGGCACCTAGGGTAGGCGTTCTGGGTCTTTCTTGCTCCGCAAACTCTTCGAGTTTGTTGAAGACGAATGACTCAGTTCCGCCCCTCCAAAATGGTCCTTCATTCAGTATACGACGAGTCGTACGGGTACCCTTGGTCTCTCTGTATAGCTTGGTTGCGACCTCTTGGGTCTCTCGCTCCGTCATGGATGGATTGAACTGACGCAGCAAAGTAGCAGCAAATTTGACGCCGGCTCCGTAGATACGCCCATAGTTGAACACTTTGGCATCGTTGCGGGAGATACCCAGGATCTGGGCTGTGCGGGAGTGCATATCCGTCCCTGCTGCCTTGGATCCCTCCAGAGTCATAAACCCGATAGCATTGCCACCGTGGATTTGAAACTGCGCATCTCCGACAAGACTGGCGATCCACAGCTCCTGGGAGTCGACATCCGCGCCGACAAAAACGTAGCCCGGAGGAGCTTTGATCATGGCCTTCAGTTCAGACCCAACACGGTTTCCCTTTGCGTTGCTGGCTGTAAGCCAGGTGTTTTCCACGGCTCTGCGAGTAATGGTTCCCATAGGAATGATTTGAGGGAGGATAAAGCCGAGTCGATGATCGGACTCTCCATTAGATCTCGGCCCTCGCACTTCGTCCTCGTAGACTACCATCTGACCCATGATACGATCACGTGCACTGATCCAATAAGAACAAGACGCATTCATGTCTAGCGCCTCTTTGGCGAGGGCATACTGGGAGGAGAGCGTTCCACGTTCAAAGTACTGCATATATCCTTTCGCCAAAGGGTTTGTGCACCGTGCTTGAGGCCCGTCTTTATGTGGAAGCTTGAAAAACACGTTCTTCCAGTCATTCTGTAGCTCCGGGTTCTTCTCCTCTGACATATCGCATAGAACTACTGGCTGATTCTCATAATTCTTGACGAGCTCGCGCGGGACTTTAAAAGTCCACCCAAACTTGTCGGACCATGTCAAAGGGTAACCATCCCATGACAGCTTGAGCAGTATGGGCGCAATCCGAGTGCGGACAGTCAAATTGATATCAGCCGTGTTGGTAGCGAACAGATCCTTATACCACTTCGGCATGCCCGGCTTCTTCTGTCTGGCAGCTGGTCGTGGAGGGTCATCCTTCTTCTTCCCTTTCACCATCTTGATTTCCTGACCAGTCCAGTCCAGCTGTCGTAGCCAAGGGTCGCTCATGTAGGTTTCGGGAGAGTCTTTGACTTTCAGGGCTTCATTGCAAAGTTCAATCAATTTCCGCTGGACGTCATCGAGGCGGTGATGGTAGGTTCCTTCTGCGTTAGCGATATACTCTTTCCATGTCTCATTGACAGGCAGAATGACCGAGGAAAGATGTCGAAGGGCGCCGAAGCTGACAGGGTGCGGGCAAACTTCCAAGAAATTAGGGAAGACTTTCTTGTACACGCGATGGGTAATTGCAACATCGGCTGCACAATAGTCGAGGAGCTCTTCCAGCTTTCCCAATATCCCATGTCTGTCCAGTTCGCCAAAGTAGTCGCGTTGTGCCTTGTCAATCGTAACATCGCAGTGGAATTTGGCTACGTCGCGAAGTGAGTTCACAGAGCTTCTTCCCACCCACAATTCTTCCTCCTCATCACTGAGCATTTTACTCTCCAGCAGGGCTGCTAGCTCTACCGAGTTATTTTCACTGGCGATCTTGTTCCTCAGGTCCCGGTTTTTCTTGTGCCGCATCCAGGTAGGCCTCTGCTGCGAACACATGCCGTTGACTGCCACGTGAAGCGACATGGTATCGAGGAAAAAGTTACGAGACTGTGCCATATCATATTCCTCGCGAACACGAGCCCGATCGTAGCCGATGTTGTGGCCGACGACAATCCGCGGCTGGGACGGATCTCCAAGTGGAATGAGCTGAACCTCGTTGTCTGACTCTCCCAACAACCAGGGCGATATCCAAGCATACCACGCCGTAGGGCTCACCGCGCAAGCCATTACAGCAAAAGAATGCTCCTTGTACATGACCTCGGTATCGAACGTCAACATGGCCTCATTTGGCGCGTCAACAGGTTCCCACGAGCCATCGGCGCTGTACTTTGTCCACCCACTGCGTTTGATCCACTTGCGCGGCTTCTCGGGGGAATTCACCACCGTATATTGTTTGGCATACCCGAGATACGGCTCCGATGAGTCCATTCCTAATTTGAAAAAATGCTCGTCAAGCGACTGCCCTTGAAGGTCAGGCATATCAAAGGCGATCGGCTCGGCGGCATCCTGAGATTTTCCTAGCAAGTCATGCCTCGACAGATGTTCCTTTGACAATGCGACCAATCCCGGGTCTGGCGGATCCGCTTTCTGTAGGAATACTTGCGAGTATACATGGTCACTCAATTGTTGGACTCCGATTTCGTTAAACCTAGCCAAAGCGGGAACTGCGAAATGAGTACATGGAATTGTCACAAACTCGGAGGAACTGGTACCACTTACCTGCGAGAGACTCCCGTCGAGAATTTTCATCAACACTGTGCACTGAAGGCTGCGTAGCAAGATACCTTGTTAGCAATGACGATGGATGTGACCGGACGATGCGTGGCGAGCGCAATTTCTGCGAACAAAAGCGCACGACACCCCTATGAGAGGGAGTGCAGGGATGACCCCAAAGCATTTTCTGATTGGATTATAGGATCACAATTATCCCCATGGCATGGTAACGTAGGCTTTGCAGCCAGTGCTGCGCGATCGAGATTGCGACGAGATGGAGGCAAGCTTTCCAGGAGCGCTCGTACTTTCTTTCCTATCGCGGAATAATCCCAGCGTCATGATCGAAGCCTCCAGGAAAATCTACCCTCCGTCGGCTTCTGACCGCCTACCGTAACGGGGGATCGACGGTTATCGGGCATCGATAAGCCACACTTGTCGGCCACCGTCCCGCAGAACGATTATTCTCCTATCGCCTTGCCTCCGTCGACTCAACTTACTTGCACTAGGGGCGTTTTCGATGCGGTCTCTGGGAGATGACGCTGCATAGCTTGCATACAGCAGTCTCACAGCGTCTAGGTCCTTGAATTTCTCCCCCGTGACTCCGTTCTCATCCCGTTGTCGACTGCGCTACCCATCCCCTCTCGCTCGCCTCTTCCGACAATACGGAACAGGATCGACTCCCGACGCGTTCCATCATGGAGGACATGCCTCCCAGGCATCGGGCTCCAGCCGTTTATCGAGTTCCACTAGGATCTCCGTCTTCCGGACCTCGTCGGCCGTCCCGTGGGAGTGTCGAGACTCCAGAAACTTCTGGCCACGAAAGAAAGCGTCGTAGAACAAGCAACCCGGAGCAACACGCAGATGAGACCATAGAGTCCGTTGATCTTACAGCCCTGGAGGATACAAATCCGGTCTCAAGGACACAGGCCAAACAACGAGAGGACGCCATACTTGCGCAACAATCTTTAGACGATAACCAGGGGCGTTCTGTTTTGACTGCGTACAAGTGTCCGGTGTGCATGGACACCCCCGTTGACGCCACTAGCACTGCGTGTGGTACGTTCTATGCCAAGATTATATAAGAGGCTTAGCTGACCCTCACCAAGGGCACCTTTTCTGTCACAAGTGCATCATAGACACTTTGAAGTTCAGCGAAGAACAGCGCGCGGATACGTCTGGCAAAGGCCCTCGGGGCACTTGTCCTGTGTGCAGGAAGCCTCTCGCGAGAAATGATCTACCTGGTCCGAAGAGAAACCTTATACCTTTGCAGATCAGACTCACTACTCGAAAGAAAAGAGAGGCGATAGAATGAATGCAAACATCACCAACACTGGTTATGATCTTTTATCGAGCCGTCTTCTGCTATAAACTGCTTCACGGGTTACAACAAGGAAGCAGCCCCCAGGGACGGAAGATTGTGTCCCCCACTGGGCATTCTCCATCCTCTCACGCCATGTCGATTGGGCCAGTTATGTCTTTATCTTGCAGCCTATGCCGCGTTAGGAATATGTGCTCGGTTTCAACTCCCGTAACTTAAGACTTCAATGAACTAACTATCAACCCCTGGAGAGGCAAGGTCGAAGTTAGGTTCGCAATCTCACAGGGAAACTTAAAATACTGGGCTACACCAATACGAAATGACCTTTGCCAACCTGCTGCTGCTTATTGTGTACAGGAAATATGGAGAATTTTCATGCGAAGGATAAGAAGAGAATTTTTGCATAAATTGCAGCGTCCTGCAGCGTCGCGCCCACGTTAGGGGCTCTAATGGATAGATAAGCTTACAGTAGCTAAGAATGACTAGTGGCTTGTCCATCCAATGAAGAACGTTTATCTTTCCCCCCGCAAGGACCGGAAGTTTCTTGTTTCCCGGTTGTCTATTAATTTTCAATGTCTATCTTCGTGGTGCAAATTTCTTGCCCCTGGCTTGATGTTCGCGCCCGGCGACGTCATACCCCGCGATAGGGATCTTCTTCGTGCTTTGGCACTAGAAGCACCCACGTTCTTTCCACCCCAGCGGATTACTTCTTTCATTTCTACTACCTACCCAAGGTCCTTTGTAGGTAGACCTCGATTTGCTCCAATCCTCAATCTCAAAAACAGCATGGAATCCTATCTCCAACCCTTCGAGCGCCGTTTGTTCATGGCACCGATTTAACACCACCGAGTGAACTCTCCCATAACTACAACCAGAATTAAATTCGTCATCATTGCAAGCATGAGTATTCACTCTCAAGACCATGCACAGTTGGCGATGGGGCTGCAGTCTTCTCAAGACATAGCCGATGTCGAGGCAAATCCGCGCGCCCCTAACCCACCGGTTTCTCCGACTACGAAGGAGCCCCCTTCCCCTCCCCCTGAAACATTCAGCACTGCTGCCAGGTTCAACTCTCGTGAGACCGTTCGGAATCGGATGCGACGCTCGACAACCGCTCGCTCATATTATCGCGAAGACGGCGCCCACGATCCGAATTGGCAGCCTGGGACAGAGCCCGGCATTGATCCCAACCAGCCGCTTCCCGCATACAGTACGGAATGGATGGCCTCGACGCCCACAGACTTACACGGGAAAAGCGAGATTACTGTTGTGGATTTCTCACAGCATGATATGAGACAGTACGTCCTGGACAATGACACGCTGGAGCCGTTTCTTGCGAGAGAGAAAGAGCCTTGGGTGCAATGTAGATGGATCAACGTCAACGGGCTTAGCTGGGATGCCATCAGAATCCTGGGTAACCAGAAGGGGCTACACAGGCTTGCAATTGAGGATCTGATCAATGCCACCAATCGCACCAAAGTTGACTGGTACTCCGATCATGCGTATATCGTGCTGAAACTCCAGAAGCTGATAAAGCTCAAAGAGGATGACAGCGACTCTGATGATGATAGTGATGACGGGCAAAGTCCATGGTTGAACGAACGCAGGGCCTCTGCGGCGAGCAGTGTCTCCCTGAGAAGACCTACTAAACGAATGCTGGTTTTGGAAGCGTTAAAAGACCTTTTTCGTCCGAAATCCCGGGAGGATGACGATCCGGATGGACCTTCTGGAGCAAATGTCTCCGGCTTACGACAGACTCAATCAAAAACTTCTGTCCTTGGCGATGCTTCAAATGTCAGGTTAATGCCTCGGAGCATCCAACGCTACCGAGGTGGCCCGAACGAGGATCGGATAGCCTTCATGGAGCGCCATGCTATCCTAGCGGCAAAGGGACTTTGTGTTACCCTAGAGCAGGTCTCGATTTTTCTGCACGCGGATAATACGGTAACGTCATTCTTCGAGACAAGTGCCGACGATGTTGAAGGCCCGATCGTCCGGCGCCTCAGTTCCCCAGAGACGATGCTACGCCAGTCGTGTGATGCTAGTATGGTTGTGCAGGCTATCTTGGATGCTATTATTGACCTGGCCATACCAGTGACTACAGCTTACCAGGATGTTATTGGTGACCTGGAGCTCGAGGTGCTGACAGATCCAGACGTGGATCAGTCCAAAAGTCTGTATGTACTCACGTCTGAAATCGCAATTCTGCGGAATTGCATGCAACCAATTGTGACTGTCATCAACGCCCTTCGAGATCATCGTTCGGAACCTGTCCATACACCTGGCCTTGGAGTCCTGAGGAATGCTGGAACAGCGACTCCTACCAATGACTGGGGTCCGCACATTGGCACGGCCACCCCGAACCTCAAAAGTTTGGGTGGATCAAGCGTCTCTATTAGCACGATGTGTCATACATACTTAGGAGATGCTTTGGATCATTGTATCACGATTGTCGAGGGATATGATCAAATGAGACGGGCTGCGGATAACATGATTGACTTGATCTTCAATACCATCGGTGAGTTCAACTACTACCCTCGGAGCTTGACATTGAGCTGACAATATCTAGGCGCCTATCAGAACGAAAGCATGAAGCAGCTCACCCTTGTGACCTGCTTCTACCTTCCTCTTACTTTCTTGACAGTGAGTCAAGTCCGTTCATCCCATGTACTGCTTATCTAACTGCCGGTCAGGGCTACTTTGGCATGAACTTTGAGCAGTTCTCTGCTATCAAACATAGTGATTCGTATGTCTATTTGCCCTTGCTTTCATAGTCGCTAACCCGAATATGCAGCTATTTTTGGATGATCGCGGTGCCTTTTGTATTTGCAACGACCGCCTTCTTAATGTAAGTTTCACTTTGGGTTCGATCAATGGCATCATTAACCCCTGTCTACAGGCGCGATAAACTCCAGCGTTACTTGGTGTTGCTTGCCCAGAAGCGATTGATCACCAGCTCTAGGAGAAATAGGCAACGGAGGAGAGCTACTAGGCGAGCATAACCTGATCACAACCGCGATGATCAGCATTGAACTCTCACAGTTATACGCCGATAGATCACCCATCCCTATTCAGACGACATGTGCGAAGCCTACTGTACATTAGAACATCATTGTACCTCTATATATAATACAATAATCGCACATCTGAACAGACCATAACGATCACCGCTCATGAGAGCGTCTTCCGCGTAAAAGACATATAAGCCTTCCAGGGCAACTTCCAGTCCGACCGGAGGAGTTCGGGACGGAAGATGTCAAAGTCCACACTTTCAAGCCTGTCCAGCCACAGCCGCGTTCCAACAGCAGGCATAAAAACTCCAAAGGCACGGTTCACCTCATCCAACGGAGTTTCATTCTTCTGTTCTCTGAACAGGTCCTGTTCGGTATCATATTGATGGCCCTCCTCACCCTCATGCTCGAAATCATGACCCACATCCTGCCCAGCACGAAGATTGCTCAGCATCTGCTGCACAGTGATCAGATGGTCACTAGCCCGAGTCGCAACCGTGAAAACAGCATCCCGCAGCCCCGGCGCCTCCGCACCTAGCCTAAACACATCCTCCTCCTTCACCCCAGCCTGAGCCATCACATCCAAAGGCAGCATCACAGCCCCCTGCTTCGCTCCCCCAGCCATCATACCAGAACCAGCCTGGTCAGGGCGTTGACTCGACGCAGCCGGGAACGCCACCAGCGGTAGACCGCGAAGCACGGCCGCGATTCCAGCCGCTTTCCCAATATGCGATGCGACATGATCTGCCGTTACCGAGGTCATGGGCAAAGCCGACAACGTCAGGTATAGCAACGTCGAATACGTGCTTTCGGCGTAGGACTCGAGAGCAGCGATGTTGGTATAGGGATCGTTTGTGAGAGTTTGTTCGCGCGCGTTGATCATCCGGTTGAGCCAGCCTTTGCTGATCCGGGCTCGGCCTTGGGTTCTCTCGTTCAGGTCGGAAATGGCGGAGGCGAGCAGAATCGCGATGGGTTCTTTGGGGGGTGAGCCGGAGAGGGTTTTGGCGACGGCGTCGCGCCAGAATTGCAACCGCATGAGTCCGATTGTGTGGGAGGAGGTGGTGTCCGGGATTGTGGAGAGGGAGACATTGAGGGCTCGGAGGGCTATGTAGAAGGTTTGCGCGTTTCGGGGGATAAAGGTGCTGAGTGTGTATGAGGGGCGGTCATATTTTCTGCGGAGTGAGAGAGATACGTTAGATGGGAAAAGTGGGTTGAGGTGTGAGTGACATTACAAAAGAAGGTCTGAGCAGTATTTCTGGGCTGCTTGGACTTCGGCTTCAGCTGCGCCTGTCACTGAGCTGGCGGCGACGGGGCTGGATCGGCTGAATTGGCGTTTTTGCGATCGCTGCAATTGTCTGAGGAATAAAGCATATCGAGAAACTTGCTGGTTTGTGCGACAAGTATGGATGATGTTTTTGGAGAGAGACATTTTGATCATGGACGCCGGTTGGCGATTGTGATGTTTTACAGGGTGGCGGAGAGATGGCTCTGGCGCATTATTGCCGGGCGTGGCTTTTCTTGACGGAAGCGGTCAGCTCAGAAACCCGGTACCAGGTGAGGAAAAGTTGCATCACTTACAAGGCAATTGCAGTCCACTGCCAATATCGGGGACTGGGGAAGGCTGATACTTCTGATAAGCTCTGCAGCAGTGGAGGTGCAATCCTCACTCTTTTTTCTTGTTGCTTTCGGAGACTTTTGATTGGATGGTGGCTGCAGCGCGAAATGACGTCGGCCCGAAGGCCCATCGCGTCTCGGCGCGTCTTCCGGCCGCCAATTAATCCTGCCGATCCTCTCCGGTCCCTGGAATTTTCACAAGGCCCGGGCAGCAACGCAGAGGGTCGAGGTCCATGCAGGATGAATGTTCATGATGCTGACGAGCGGCCCTTGAAGAAAAGGCGCTTTTTCGTGGATGAAGAGGAACAGGTCGCCTCCCAACCGACTAACGATCCTATCCCAGCAAATCTCGATGCCCCTGCTTCCTCGTCCCTGACCGAGGGCAATGGGATCCAATCACAACCTATTCCACTCGAAAATGCCCAACTCGACGAACCAATTTCCTTCCCTGACGGATCTTTGCAAAGTGAGAGCCATGCCGTTCCCCGTGAGAAGGAAGATGCTGCCTATTCAGAACGCCACACCGCAGATTTGAGGACGGAGGAAACACTAGTACAGGCGGATGGCGATGGATTCGATACGGCGACATTCATAAGTATTGTCGGGGAACATCTCTCCGCAGACTCGATATCGAAAATTCGAGCCGCAGCCGGTGATGACCTTGAGAGGGCAGTCAATATTTATTTCGATGGATCCTGGAAGAAACCTTCTATCAATGGTGCTCGAAATCAGATAACCCTTACCGCTCGCCAACGTTCGCTTCCTGTACAACCCCCTCCCAGCGCAACGCCTCCGTCTACAGGCTCTCAAATACATAACGCAACTCCCACGACAGATAGGGGCTCATCTCGATATGCAGCTCAGCCCTTGCTGAGATACGTAGGCGCGTTTGGCGTGGGAGGCTGGGCTACAAGGAGTGGAAGGGGAATACTCAAGCATGGGGATCATGTGAACATTGAGCGTACACGGTCCCAGCCCATCTCGAAGCGAGGTCGCGCGGGGAAGCTCGTCGCTAATCAGAAAGTCGATGTCCTCACACGGTTCACCACTAAATCTGGTCAGGAGATCGGGAGGCTGCCTCGGGAGACGGCTGAGTGGGTTTCGACTTTATTGGATCAGAAGGTGTGCAAATTCGAAGCGGTCTGCGTATACGTGCCGGACATTGTCCGAGTGAATGACACCATCTATCTGCAATTGTGGTGCTACTTGCGGATCGAGGCATTCCAATCTCGGATACTTAACGAAGTGGTTGATGATAACAGGTCGATTGCTTACTTCGAGGAGAAGGAAAGCACGGAGGAGAAGCGGTTGCGGCTTCGTCAAGTCGCTCTTGTGAAACTCTTCGATGAAATCGGTCTTCAACCCACATCCATCAATGACATGACGAGGAATCACAAGAAAGAAGGATTGCTTCGTGCGGCAGAAATGTCGGAACAGTATGAGCGCGTCAAAAAGGAAAATCAAACAAACAACGGCTCTTCTGATGAAGAGGACACCCCGGAGCTTGAAGAAGACCAGCTTGATACGCTCTATAAGAAGGCCCAGTCCTTTGATTTCAACATGCCCGAGGCGGAGCCTGCCTCATCATTCACAATGGATCTTCGAAAATACCAGAAGCAAGCGCTGTACTGGATGCTTGCCAAGGAGAAGGACAACAAGTCTGCGAGGGAGACGTCACTACACCCACTCTGGGAAGAGTATACCTGGCCGTCCAAGGATGTTGACGACAAGGATCTCCCGGTTGTAGAGGGTGTTGATCACTTTTATGTCAACTCTTACTCTGGAGAGCTGAGCATTAACTTCCCGGTGCAAGAACAGCATTGCCTTGGGGGCATCCTGGCGGACGAAATGGGCTTGGGTAAGACGATTGAGATGCTCAGCTTGGTCCACTCTCATCGAGTTGAGCCACAGAACCCTGGCAACCTGGCGAGGCTACCCCAGCTGTCTGCCGGAGTCGTCTCTGCTCCGTACACCACCCTTGTAATTGCACCCACGTCCCTCCTGGCACAGTGGGAAAGCGAAGCCTTGAAGGCTTCACAGCCGGGAACGATGAAAGTCCTGATGTATTACGGTGCGGACAAGAACATCAACCTTAAAGAGCTGTGTGCTGCAGGCAACGCGGCTGCTCCCAACCTGATCATAACCAGCTATGGTGTGGTCCTCTCGGAATACCGTCAGCATGTATCCACGTCGCTCTCCTCTATCCCCCCCAGCGGTCTGTTCTCGGTGGACTTCTTCCGGATCATTGTCGATGAAGCTCACATGATTAAAAACCGTCAGTCAAGGACAGCTAAGGCGTGCTATGAACTCAAAGCAACACATAGATGGGTGCTGACAGGAACACCAATCGTCAATCGCCTGGAAGACCTGTTCAGCCTAGTGAGGTTCCTCAAGGTCGAGCCATGGAATAATTTCTCTTTCTGGAAGACGTTCATCACAGTCCCTTTCGAATCAAAGGACTATGTGCGTGCTCTAAATGTGGTGCAGACGGTGCTTGAACCTCTAGTACTTCGACGTACCAAAACAATGAAGACCCCCGAGGGTGAACCTCTAGTGCCTTTACCACGTCGAACCATTGCGATCGAAGAAGTTGAACTTCCAAAACAGGAACGGGAAATCTATGATCTCATCTACACCCGGGCAAAGCAGACATTCAATAACAACGTTGAAGCCGGCACTCTGCTAAAGTCATATTCAACCATCTTCGCACAGATCCTTCGTCTCCGGCAAACATGTTGTCATCCGATTCTCACCCGCAACAAAGCGATTGTTGCAGATGAGGAAGACGCCGCAGCCGCCAATGATGCAAACGCCGACCTCAAAGATGACATGGATCTACAAGATCTCATCAACCGCTTCAAGGAAACCACAGAAGCAGCCGAATCCAACGAGCCCCAAGACCCCATGGCCAAATTTACCGCTCACGCACTGAGGCAGATTCAGAACGAGTCTAGCGGCGAATGTCCTATTTGCGCAGAAGAGCCCATGATCGATCCTGCAGTCACAGCCTGCTGGCACAGCGCATGCAAGAAATGTCTAGAAGACTTCATCCGCCACCAAACCGACAAGGGCGTGCCTCCTCGATGCTTTTCATGCCGAGCGCCCATCACATCCCGGGACATCTTCGAAGTGATCCGTCATCAATCCAACTCATCGTCCCCGGAGAATGATATACACACCAGCACTCCCCCAAGCGCCTCCCAAGCTCCTCCCCGAATCTCCCTCCGACGCGTCAACCCTCTCTCCCCATCCGCACACACCTCTGCCAAAATCCATGCGCTCCTCGCCCACCTCAGCCGCGTCCCCTCCGGCACCAAATCCGTCGTCTTCTCCCAATTCACTAGCTTCCTCGACCTCATCGCCCCACAACTCACTCGCGCCGGAATCCCACACGTCCGTCTAGATGGCACGATGCCCCAAAAAGCGCGCGCGGAAACCCTCGCCCAATTCAACCAAGTCGACACCTTCGACCAGGACGAGATCGACGAAGCGGAAGCCGTGGATCTCCCTCGCACCTCCCGGAAGAAACACACTCCCTCCACTCCCCCTCCCAAGGTCCTCCTAATCAGTCTCCGCGCCGGCGGCGTGGGCCTCAACCTCACGACAGCAAGTAACGTCTTCATGATGGACCCCTGGTGGAGCTTCGCGATCGAAGCCCAAGCCATCGACCGCGTCCATCGAATGGGCCAGCTGCGCGACGTGAACGTGGTACGGTTCGTAGTGAAGGACTCCATCGAGGGTCGGATGCTGCGCGTCCAAGAACGCAAGATGAACATTGCGGGATCGTTGGGACTACGGGTTGGCGGCGATGGATCGGAGGATGATAAGAAGAAAGAGCGGATAGAGGAGTTGAGATTGTTGTTTGAGTAGATGAGATGAGATGAGATGGCTGGTTGGGATTGAGATCCGTTGTTGATATACGATAATGATACCATTGTAGTAGTAGTTTCGGGTTGCATTCTGTGATATAGAATGAATATAGCATATTATGCGGGGCATATGATTGATTGTATTTCAGATATTTTATCAGTAATCGGTGGTGTTGACTCTAGTGACAACTGAACACTATCATTCAAGATCCTGATTCCTGAAAGCATCGACACTTACCCATTCATACTATACTATTCAACGATTTATCAATACTCTCTACTCTCTACACTACATCACATTCATTCATTCATTCATTCATTTCTCATCCTGAGCTAACCAATTTCCATTGACTAAAGCCTGATTGATATCAACCATACAACACACACAATCTACCAACATCCCCCTCCATCCCCGCCTAGTCAAAACCACACACACAGTCAGATCATTTCCAGATTTCAAAATCGAAATTCCAAACTCCAAATTCAATTATTAGGAATAAGATAAGATCAATGTAACAATTTCTCTCGCATCGCGCGCCAGCCAGATAAAATGTTGGTCAGGTGAAAAGGATTACGACTTGTTGCTGCTGCTATGATGCAAAACCTTAGATACTTTCTCCTTCAATGTAGTCATGGGGTTATGGCTGTGATGAGAGCTCGAACTTGAGCTTTCTTTGCCTTGTTGTTGGGCGTTTTCGCTGGAACCTTTGACTGTGTCGGTGGCTATATTTTCCAATATAGTGTTAGCTGGTTGCATTCACGGTTGTGTTTGGGTAAGGGAGGTGGAGGTAGGGGCTGACCTTGTTTAGAGCGACTGGTTCTGCGCTGATCCAAACGCTTCTCGAACTCGTACGGTTCTCTTGGAGCCGGGGTCTGGGGCCCTCGAAGGGCTTCCTCGCTGACTTTGTTGTTCCGGGGGACTTTGGTTTCGGAGTCACCGGCAGTAGCGGCGTCTTTACCTTTCTGTTCTTGGGATGTGGATCCATTGGTGGTTTCTTGTTTGTTGCTTGTTGTTGGGGTGGAGTCGACGATGCCTCCTCCTCCTCCGGTGGATTTGTCCATGGATGGCTTGTATGTGGATGCTCTGGCTTTCTGTTGGAGTTCGGACTCCTTGTCGCTCATCTTGTTCTCTGTTGTAGGAACGCCATTGGCTCCGGCGGGAATGGATTTGCTCGCGGTCTCCTTCTTGTCTTGTTGAAGGTTCCGGGCGCTGTCAATCTTGTCCATTGCTCCCTGCTTGTTGGTGGCTCCTTCGGCTGTTCTTGGGCTGAGAGAGCCCCTTTCCCTCGGCAGAGACCCGGTGGCAGCGCTGTCGATCTTATTCTTGTCAACAGCTGCTTCGGCCATCATTGGGCTGGCAGACTCCTTGTCCTTTTGTAGTGAGCCGGCGCCTGCACTGTCGATCTTACTCTTAGGTCCCTGCTTGTCGGTGACTCTTTCGGCCATCACTGGGCCAGCATAATCCCTTTCCTTCTGGAAAGATGGAGCACCCGCATTATCAAGCATGGTTTGGCTGGCGCGTCCTCCACTGGGGCTCGATTGTTCCTTGGATCCCTGATTCTTAAATTTGCTGTCTCGAACGGCGAGGGTATCCTGTCCTACCTGACCGGAGTATGCATAGGCACCACTAGTGGCGGAAGACGACCCAGCAAGGTCTTTGTTCTCTGGAGGATATGCACTTTCCTGGTCTGAGTAGACACTAGTAGTCGAAGAAGAATCGGCAAGGTCTCCGCCCTTCGGTGTATACGGAACTCCCTGACCGGAGTAGGCATAAGCGCCAGTAGTACCCGAGGAAGTTCCAGCAGTATCACCACCTTTCGGAGCCTGGGGATACGAAATTCCCTGACCTGAGTAGGCGTAGGCACCAGTAGTACCCGAAGAGGATCCAGCAGTATCACCACCTTTCTGAGTCTGGGGATACGGACTTCCCTGACCGTAAGCGGAGCGCTGGGTTCGCTGCTCCGGGACGCCAACGTGGGATGGCACCAGTTTGGTACCTGAGCTGGTGGTGTTTCCTCCTAAGTAGTTCGTCTTTCTCTCGCGGGATGGCTCGTCGATGAAGACGTTCTTGGGGCCAAAGTCCGCGTTGCTGGGGGACTTGGGATTGCGAGCGTGGTCGACGTGGATAGATGACAATGCTTCGGGGATCACGGCTGTGTTTTCCTTTGTGGTTGGGGCGCCGGGTTGTTCTTGGTGAGGGTTAGTTTGGATTATTCTATGTGAAGGGATATGGATTGGGGCAGGGTCAGAGCAAGAGACAGGAAGCTTACCATCGCGGTTGCCGGCATCATAGGGATCAGTGGCAGTCCCTTTGCCCTGGATGCCAGAGAGAGGCTCATCGCCATGCTGTGAAGAATACGGGTTGTCTGGGGTCTGGGTAGGATGGACCTCACTCCAGAGAGAGTTCGAGGCATTGGTGAAGGTGTCGTTTATGGTCTCCATGATGGGTGAATTGGGTGAGATATTAGTTGAAGAGATTTGAATTGGACCACCCCAGTGCAACGTCGGCGAGCTTGGTTTATAGGTGGATGGGAATGACGATCAGAGAGCTTCTGTCGTCAGAGCCAAGACCTGAGTTTCCTGTAAGACTGGTTTATTAACGGGTTGCGGATCTTCTAGAAGAACATGAGAACAGCACCGTATTAAAGTACGTCAGTGGCACGGCGTAACAGCAGAGCAATGGAGCAGCAAAGCGGCCGTCTGCAGTGGCCATTGAGTGCTGATCGTCAAAACCGCGATGTCATCACTTCCGGTCCGTGACGTCAAGAGTCGTCACCCGTCACGTGGGTTTCTGGACTGACCAACTGGCGATGGCGCAGAGAGCGCAGAAAGAGCAAAGACAAAGTCAATTGAAATTCTATGTATGGGAAAGAGACCCTGAGGGGCGCCTTATTTTCAACATTGACTCGTACATAGAGCCATCCCTCCAAACGCCCCACACAGAGAAGCACGCCAGTAACGAAACAAATGACCTGTCCATATTAACAACGCAATCACCGCCGGAAGTGGATAATATGTATCGTTCCGCGAAAAGCTGATTATGAACTCCTGCCGAATCCCGGAATGCGTCCCCAGAACGTAAGAAAATAGAACCTGTCACGCCTGTTTGCTCGTTTCCGCTGCATTCTTCGCCTCGGGGTGCAAAGGCTGTTTAGGATCATATCCAACACTCTTGACAATGCCCAGCCCCTTGGTCTTTCCTTCACGGAAAAGCACTCGATCTCCCGGGGCCAGAAATTCGGGACGTTGGACAAACCGGAAAGCCACCATTGCACGGTCACCCGTCCGAATAAAGGGGCGATCAATGTCAATGACAGAGCATGTCTGGCTGACCGCGCCTACGTGCAACATTGCTTGGTACCGAGGCTTGATCGTGGTGGCATGGGAAAGAATGAGGACTATTCATCGTCAGCAAAAAAGTCGATTACATACGACGAATGCAAGAAGACGCACCCTCGGCGACAAACTCTCTGTAGACTTTGGGAGGCTGGTCCAATTTCTTGAGAACAACCATACCCTTGCGGACCTCCTTTCGTCGGACACGCTTCAGAGCGAATGAGCCAGACTGGCCCGCAAAGCAAGCATTGACCTGGATTCGCTTGCGCTCAATGGACTTGATCGTGGTAGTCGTAAATTGACCCAGGGAGTCCGGTCCAACCAAGACTGTATCGCCGGCGTGTATCACTCCTGACTTGGCCACCCCAGCAACTACCGTGCCCACGTGAGGAACCGAGAACGTGTCATTGATCAAGAACTCGAACGGCGCGTCAACATTGTATTGGCCACGGTGAGGAAGGATATTTAGGAAGGTCCGAACGAGCTCCAGATTTTCTCCGGTCACGTTGGACACTTGGAAGATTGGACAGATCCGCTGGCTCACAAACTGTGTCGCGGTGTTGATGGTTTCTTCCATGTCTTTCACAAAGATGGGAATCTTGCGAGCACCGGGCGACTTGAGGATTTTGTTGAGCTGGGAAAGGGTCTCCTGCAGAATCTGAGGCGGGCAGATGTCGATCTTGGTGACGATAACCATGACCGGCACGTTCAAAGCCAATGCAATACCCAAATGTTCTTTGCTCATACCAATGAGGCCATTGTTGGCCGCAACCATCAGCAGGCAGTAGTTGGGGCTGCTGCTCAGCATGCCAAAAACCGTAGTCCGAAGGTAACGCTCGTGGCCAGCCAGATCGGAAAAAGCAATGACCTTAGCAGAACGCCGTCCTATATCTTCCCAGGACAGCTTCCGCCCCTGGGCACTGCCAACTATATCACCGCGGCTGTCGAACCCCATGATCTCCATCCCTACAGAGCTGGTCCGGCCGCTCTCGATTTCATGCTTGTGGCGGAACAGGTTGATTCGGGCCTTTCCTCGGCCATCATCCAGATTTCCCTTCACGAGGACTCCTAGCATGGTACTCTTACCTGCATCAACATTGCCTACGACAGCCACTCGGATCTCGGCCATTTCCTCCACAGTACCCGCGGGCTGCCGGATAAGGAGCTTTCCCCAAGAGCCCTTGATGCGCTCGTGTTTCACCCGCGACTCCTCAGGCCCACCGACATTGTAGGTAACAAGGATCCGGCAGTGCGCTGGGAGCGTATCCGCCGCTTCCCGGAGGCGTTGAAGAGCCGTATTCCACTGACCAAGGTCAAAGGACATAGACTCCCCGCCATCCTCGAGGCCCAGGTCGAAGAGTGTCTCTCCGTGTCCTTCATCGATGCGAGACTGCAAGATGCTAGCCAACACCTGCAGGTTATCCTCCGATTGTTCGCCAGTGCCTAGCAGCAAGTCCTTCAACTTGAATGACTTTGGGGCGTCGGTCAACCCCAACTGGTCGAGTATATCCAACTCAGCGTGGTCCTCATGGACTCGAGATACACTTGCTGTTTCGTAGCCGCTATCGCTGGGCACGTACTGACCAGAGCGCTGGGCCTGTTGCTTTTCAGCGTATTCTGCGAACTCGCTGAGGGCCTACGTGTGGATTAAGAGTTAGCGGGAAAGCAAGCTTGTTTCGCGGGGAGGATGCGCACAATCTCCCCTCTGCGTCGCTCTTCTAACGAGTGTTTCGGACCTGTGGGAGGCATGTTGTTGGTTCGATGAGTGGTTATGTCAAAAAAAATATGGAACGAGTCGCGTATCAATCAATATACGAGATAATGCGTCAGTCGGTCGGACGGAAGACAAATTGGATCGCCTCTGGGGCACTCAAACACGTATTCGCGTGATCATAATTTCTCGTATGGGTAACAGATATTTATTAGGGCGTAATAATGGGCACGACGAGATAATAATACGATGAGGGAACAGAGACTAAAGAGGTGAATGACACAGCGGGTCGTGAACAGTGATAGGGGAGAAACAAGAAGAACAGTGTCGAGGGTCGCGGAACCGGGGAAGCTTTATCGATAGCGAGTGCGAGTCATCGCCGCGGCCGCACCTTTGAGTCATACCGCCCCAATAATCAGTCATCGCTCTCCTGCAGCTGCGCCATGCCCTTCCTTACCTTTCTCCGGACTCGAGGCAACTCGTATTTAATGATGCGACTTTACACTGGCCACCGGTGCGGTCTGTCGCTAGTTAGTTACGTATGCCAGTGTGGCATGATGCCATGCGCCTTGCACTCTCCTGGTGCCTCTATCCGAAACACACTCTCTGCAAGTCCACGCTTGACCAAGTATGTGAATACATTAGAAGATAAAGATAAATATATGATCTGACAACCCTGTAGCATCGCCTGGTCTTCGTGGTCTCGTATTTGTTCGTAGCTTGGGCTTTGGAGCGTCGGCGTCGGAGCACCGATTCCTATGTTGCCTCAAGAATATCATATCTAATCCATTTCCTAGGTACCGCCTCCCAAATCTTATGCCTGAGGGGAAATCAGAACGACCGAGTCTCCTATGGCAGAAAGTTAGTATACGAGCCCCGCGGCTCTACCGGGGAAGTCATCGCAAAACGCACCTCGGACAAACAGCATCTCCTCTTGCTTCTTGATGGTCTAGCAAACAATGCCCGTATTAGCCCAGAGTCGCCGCATTATCACCTCCTACCCGGTCCAACTAATGACGTACCCGAAGCGTTTCTTGCTCGTTTTCGTCGTCCTCCACCACGTAGATGGTCTCCTCCACATCCCCTAACACCAGGTTGCAGTGGCTATCGTATGCCTAACGGAGGCCGGTTGTCAGTGGAAACAGCGTAGCAAGAAGTCAGGGGGCGTGAGACTTACATGGAGACGACCCTTGAGCTCGCGATCACCGCGGAGCTTCACAAAGACAATTTCATCGAGCGACAGGCGCACCAGATCTAAGGGCTCGGAGACGGGCGCTGCTCCGGCATCCTCCGTGTCGGCCATGTCGAGAGGGGAAAGAAAGGGGGGGAAACTGGAGCCTTAAGCGAATGAAATGAAGAGGGGGAAAGGATCCAAGCTGCAGCGTGGACAACAGCACTCAGACGCGGGACATGGGTCACGGTTACGGGTGGTGAAAAGAGACTGACAGGGATCGGGCTCGCCAAGACCACAACATTAAGTAACAAAGCGGCACCTCCTCATTTCTCCGCTTTTATAGTCCTGCATCGATTCCCCCCTCAAAACGGCTGACAGCCTGACCCCAGGTTTGTTTGACACGCAGTCACTTTCTTTGCCCCCTTATAACCTCAATGCTGGGGTTTCTACGTGCCAGCCAGAGTCTAGGCTCCCAGTTGCTGTGTCCTTCATACCGTCGGCATCGATTGACCGATCTCCATTCCTGTTCTCCACTTCTTATAGTTCGGGATCCTACGCGCCGGCTACGATCGTTCGCCACCAGAGCGGAGTCTCCAACGACAGTATATACTAGAGCTGGGAACAACAATGGGTTGGGGGATAGAGGCAGGTTTGCTAAGAGTCAGGCGACTCGATCGGGGCGGGGTTCCCCAAGCATCCTGGAGGGTGGTTATGCTGGCTCGGAAGGTTACGAACCACCCGCAGGCGACCCTCATGTTGGGAACTCGCATACTCTCGAGGCAGACTTTAATGCTATCCTCCGAGATGGTCAGCCAGATCAAGTGATGGATGCTCTGCTCAATCCCCGCTTTGAGAACCTAGTGTGGTCGATGCCGCAAAGCATCTTTGTCGAGGTCTTTCATTTGCTGTCCCCGGCTTACTTTATCGATCCTTATCGGGAGATCCATCGCCCAATTCACCCGTCGGCCGTTGATGTCAAGCAGTACAGATCGCTGGACTCGATTTTCGACGAGTTCGCCAATAACCTTGCCGCAATCCTGCAGACTAGACGGTCGGCGGGCCATTTGCTAGGCCTAGCCGAGTACACGCACCTTCTCGATTGCGCACGCTCAATGGGCGATGCAATGATGGCAGACTATATCTGGCATGCCATTAAGGAGGACGACCTGGTGCCAGATGCTCAGTGCTATAACCATTATATGGAGGCGAAGGTCTGGCATAAAGCGTATACTGGCCTGGAGAAGTATCACACGAGAATGACCCCTCATGCTTATCGGCACAGGAGGTTTTTCACCCCCAACAGCGGATGGCAAGGCTATGGTACGGCCGGCAATAGTGTGAGAAAGGAAGTGCTGCAGATCTTCAATGAGATGACACTGGAGGGTACCTCGGGGGATACAACTGCCTTTGTCAATGTCATCCTTGCGTCAAGTCGCGTTGGGCATCTGCAAGGAGCCAAGAATGTGTTGCACACCGTTTGGAACATTGATGTCGACGCACTGCTGGAACAGTCGGAGCACCCCGCGGTGACCCCATACGATCGCTCCTCGCCGCTGTACCCCACAAACCACCTCCTGTTCGCGGTAGCTCATGCGTTCGGCACAAACAACGATATCCCGGCTGCTCTGCGTACAATAGACTTCATTTCCAACCAATATGACATTCCTATCCCACAGAACGTTTGGCTCGAACTATTCGAGCGATCATTTGTCTTGTCCCGTCCGAGATTTGGCCCAGATGCTGAAAGAAATGCAAAAGGCAAGGTTTCGTATGACTTTCTGAACACCATGTTCGAAACCATGACAGCCGAGCCTTTCAACGTGCGTCCAACAATAGAGGTACACCATATACTCGCCAAAACGGCATGGGATCGTGCCCGCTTGTCAGAATTCCAACGCCATATGCGAGCTGCATATGAAATTTTAAGAGAGACTAGAAGGAAAAGAAGGACTGCGAGGTCGATACTAGAGGCGTACATGGGACACTCCCGAGCACATAGAGCAGGGGTTGACCCGGTGCTCCTCAGATCGCGAGCCTTTGCAGATGCAGTGCATGCATATGATATTCTTCGGCTGCGCACTACTCAGCAAACCGTTATAATGGAGCGTCTCGCGCGACTTTTGCTGATCCACCATCGTTGGGTGGGCCGTGACAACCCAGCATGGGAACGCAGCATTCTTCCACGAGCGCTTGAAGAATGGCGAGATTTCCTACCTCAGTCTCTGGTATACCACATCCGTGGAGGCCTTGTGCAGTTCCACGGTACCACCTTCTGGGGTCAGCGTAATATAAGACCCCATAAAAGAGTGCCGGTTCGGCGGCCAGCTTTGGATACCGAGGTCGAGCTAGACGAGGAAGCCAACGAGATAGATGATGATTTCTTCTGGGAGGCTTATCTGCAGTCTGCACCGCACCTTGACCTGTCCTCTCCACCGCTGAAGCGGCTGTTCTGGGCGATGCAAGAGCCCGACGATACAAATGGCTATGCCGCTCATGAACAAGATACCTTTCTGGATGAAGAGCTGGGCTATGAACCTGGCGAGCTTGGGGTCCCTAGAGCTAGAAAGGCTGCAGGGATGCCAGAACGAATGCGCGCTAATACCGGAAAGCGCCGAACAAATGAAGTTCATGATACCTTCGACACTACTCCCGATTATCTCTCGTGGACTTGATCTGGAGTTTCTCCCCTCTCTTTTGTCCCTTTGTCTTTTCAGCTTCCATCCTGCGATTTTGTGCCTTTCACGTTCCTTGCTACTTTGCAAGATTTCTGCAAAAGTTACCGATTCCCAGAATTGCTTTCATTCGCCTTTATTTTTTTTCGCCCCCTGAGCCTTGGCTATGTGTGATGAGCTGCTTTTACCTGTCAATTATGATACCTCATGTTTGCACATATTGTCTTACCTGAGCGGATACCCTGTCCATGGTGACATGTTACGAACTGAGCTTCTTTCTAAGTGCGTTTTCGCACAATGACATTATTTCTGCGATTTATGCATCAAGCCATTGATATACTTGCTATACCAATAAAGAGTATAATAGTCAGTATTACCCATTCAATCCCGCACACCAAATAAACTCCACTGGGGATGGGAATAGACATACCTATACAACGATGTAACCAAATCCCATATAGGAATAAGCAGAATCATATACATACAACTCGGGTATTATATACTACAAATGCGAACACACCTCGGTATCCAGACAGATCAACGGACAGCTAGGAAGGCATCATATCTTCTCCGCCTTCAGATCATTAACAGCCATATACCGACCAAGTGTAATCCAACCCCATCGAAACCACACCATCTGACTTTGGTGAGCCTTCACCATAGCCGACTGCGCCGTCATCCATTCATTCACGGAACTGACGAACAAAAGCCTAGACGGAAGATCACTTTTCGACCCACGACCCGCTCCGGAGAAAATGGAATTCAATGCCCCCGAACCATAGTGAACGGCGCATCCAGAACCCCGGCATATTTGCGTAGAAGATTCGTCGTGGTAAGCGTGTATAATGTGACGGGACAGGTATACCCGGGCTTATCCTTCATCATGTTCCGCAGGAAGTGCACGGCACCGTGGTATAGGGATCGATGGTTGGGGTGGTTGCTTATTCCGCCTTTGTCGAAGGTTAGGAGCACGTCGATGGTCGCTGTGGGTGCTGCGCTGCCGCCGGCAGCTTTGTTGGTTTTCTTCATGGAGCTGTCGTTTGATTCGGGCATGAAGGCGGTCTCGAGGACAGCTGATACGTCACTTTCTGACCAGTGGGCTGACATGCTGTCTGGGAACCGGGTGGGGTCGTCGATTATGTACACGTCTGATTCGTTTCGGAGGCCCAGTTGCATTCCGCTTTTCACGAGTTCCTTTTTGCGGATATGGCCAAGGCCGTCGGCGTCGCCTGTTTTATGGGAGAGATGGGGGGTTAGTGTTTGTAGATGGTGTGGCACGCTGGTGCTGGGGTTGGGGGCATACCACTGCTGAGACAGAGGATCTTCAGGTGATTCCCGTATTCTGGCTTTGTCAAGGCCAATACTGTGGGCGCGAAGAACATGGCTTCATCGTCTGGGTGGGCGATCAATAGGCATATGCGTTTATTGTAGAGACGAGGGAATGCTCCGGCGAATGGTGATGAGGTGGTCGAGGACAATGTCCAGAAAAGGAAGACGGCGAGAACGGCAGAACCGAGCGAAAGCACTGTTGAGGGAGACATGGCGCGAGGGCCTGGGAATGTTTATGATTGTCGAATGGTTTTGGAGTCAAGTGCGAAGATGAATTGAAGGAAAATGGGTATGTAAATGAACCAGTTGGCAAACTGTGGGATACGCAAGCACAACTCGATAGAGAGTGTTGCAGTGGTATCCGACAACCGTTGCCCGCTTGCGTCAATTGAACGCAGCTGACGAAAAATGTTGGGATGTAGCCACTGATTGAGAAAGGCACTTGAGGTGTATGAAATTATTTGAGATTAGGCATCATTGAGGAGACAGATACCCCAATATTTGGATAGCCAAGATGGAGGGAAGGAGATGTTGAACCCCAGGTTGACGATCTCCGGAGCTCCATGCCTCGAGGAGCTATCGCCACGTGACTACTGATTAAAAACAACGATCAATCCAGCCAAATAAAAGCAGCCAGCCTGTATTGGCTGCTGTATAAAGCTATGGGTGTCTGCCTTCGTCCAATTGTATGAGGAATCTGTTGTTTGTTAAACTTAAGACACGTAATATGATGTGGGGGACTGCCACACATACACCTTTCCAGTAGAGGTCGAATCCATTATATATTTTTGGTTGGGTTAGGCTAATCTTGAACCTTCTTTCCTTTCGTTGAATCAATTCAATTCACTATAAATGTTGAAAAGCACCTACTTAGGCCCTTACTGGATTTGCAGAGAGTTCCTTTAAGTTCGTATGACTGAGTTTCGATGCAGCTACTCGCATAGTTGAGCCCGTTCTTTGGTATCACCAATGCAACATTGAATGATGTCCTATTCACCTTTCTTATGCAAACCTCCAGGATATCGCCTAGAGATATCTGTCCATTTTAGAAGAATGTAGTATATACTTAGAGGGCACGATATTTCTCAGCCGCGCACTGGGAGAAGGTGCTAGGCCATTTGGTTAGATCTGCTGCTACTGCCACAGCTCCTGTTCTGCAACTGGAATCGGTGCTGTAACATTGATATCCATCCTAAGGGGGGTTTAACAAGACCCAGGATTTGATTTCGATACACATATCGATAATATATTGGACTTCCAACTCACTACATAGTAGTAGTCACCTTAGGTGCGTGTCCCTAAGAACCTCCAAGCAATGGTCCGACAGCTGTCACCTTCCTAATTAGGATTAGTTACCAGTTAGTAAGCAAACAGGCTAACTCTAAGTAGGAGACTCCTGGTTCCACCCAATCACATGGATGTCAGTGACTGCGTGCTTTTGCTGGACTTTCCTAGACTCGTCAGGGCTAGGCGAAGGAGCAGGATGGGACACTGGAACTCTCCAGAAGATCCTTCATACTACTTCATAGCTCATACTTCGGTCTTCGAGTGCATACCCACACGCCCCACGTGGAAATACTAGTCGAGCTATTTGTGCTATCATCTACTGGCTGTCCTCGAAACAGGGGCACATTGTTTTGGTCTGGTGTACAGAGTACAGACAGGCATGGAGAGCATCCTTGTTTTAGCGCCGTGGTCCTCCGGACTTCGAGGTATCCGAAGTCATACTAGTATTTGAAGGATGAAACTAATAATAGCTAGCAAAATTCACTCACAAGCCATTTCTCAGGCTTTTACCCCTCGCGGGTAGAGTCGGCTGTACCTAGCCGCGGGTGCAACTTGGCTGCTAGATTAGATATAGACGTCATTGCATGCAATGCAGCAAAGCCTTGTTATTTACTTGACCCGGGAAGCGTGCCGTTCGATAAAATTCTCCAATCGTCAGCACGAGTCTATATTCAGAATGATTAGAGAAAGGTCGTAAGATCTCCGTCAGGGGTTCAGGGGATGTTCTCGACCCTAGTACGTAGCTAGTACGGAATAGATCCAATATCAAATCTTCTTTTATCCACTTGTTTCAAACGGCAGAAGCACTGACAAATTGCTTTGGGAGAGTAACCACAACAGAACAAACCCCTAGAACAGAGAAATCATCTAGCTTAGTCGAAAGTTTTGCCTAGTTTGGATAAGTATGCAAGAAAATAACTCAGATACGGAGCTCGTGAAATACCTCGGGCTCTGATAGCCGATATCGTAGGGCTGAAACGCAATTTTCCGTGCCCCTCACTTCCAGCATCTGTTGAGAATCCAATGACGTCGTAGAATGTCAAATTTTGAAGGTCTGACAACAAACATCCTCTTCTGATGTATGTAACACCGCGCATAGATGTCACGAAGCAACCATAGCCTGCAGGGGTCCAAATCTAAGCAATTGTGTGATCAACGCGTCAAACTCAAACCTGCGGGGTTCATGAGCTTGATGGTAAGGAACATGATCCCCCATGTCGATAAACCTAGGCATTGAAGCTATAGCAATTAGAAACATGTTTGAGCAATGATATCCGATATTGGGCGACGGTTAGTCACGCCATAATAAATTATTAGTCCTTTGGTGGAGGCAATGTTCCTGTCGAAGTCGAACCCGGAAAGGCGGTCCGCAGGTACGGCGTCAACCATAGACCGCATGTCGTGCACCCACGGACCGATTAAACTTCCGTCGAGGACCTTACCGGGCAGGGGAGTTGGAAACAACGGCAGTCGCCGAAGTCCTTGACGAAGGTGGTTCAATTGAAACTAAAAAGGCCCCATCAGTGAGCGATTTAGCTCGCTGAACACTGTGGAGGAGAACGGACAGAAAATTCTGAGGCGCTAGTGTCTAGCAGAATTCATAAGAGTCATCGCTAAAGCTAACCATCAGAACAGATCCGGGCCGGTGGACAAGCTCCGTAAGATTAAACGGGGTACGGTGTACCACCAATCCACCTCCCTTTCCGCCTAATAGGAGGGGTTTCCGCGGAAAAGACCCAATCGCATGGGCGAAGGCGTCAACATAGCCTGGCAACCTTGCAAGAAACAGTATAGAATGACTGGCATCATGGAGGTGATAACTGACGACTCGTCACTACTAGTCTCCTCCCTGTTTTGCAGCTGCATGGAATGGGGCCCAAGCTTCTGCGGGTTTCATGAAGCCAGATGATGGTTAATAACGCAGCCGCAGTGCGTGCTCAGGCGGAGAAATCCCTCACTCAGGGAGTTGTTGACTTGACTGAAGTCAGCTTACTGTACTCCGTATATTATTATTAGATCGAGATTTGGAAACGGTCTTGAGTAGGTGAAGAGTCGAGATTATTCAACAAATAACTCCTCTAAGTTAGGTACTCCGAGCCAAGGCCAGCTAGATGGCGAAATCCGCCCCCAATTCGGAAAGAAAACGGCCTGGCAATGGGTACTCGACTGCAGCCTTCCATGTCCGATAATCAATGTGTTACGCAAAGTCCAAAGCGCTCCTGCATGCATCTGCGTTGCGTGGATTTCCCAGGTTGTATGCACCCTTCAGAAGCATGAGCTAGAAGTATTCCAGCTATAGCTATTGGGGGAGTGCTCAGCTTCCTATGGTTGATTTGCCAATTTCCCCTTATGTGAAGGGTATAGAATATGAATCGACCAACCGTGGAGACTTGGCATGCATGCTGAAGCCGAAATCTTGTATAGCATCCGATCTCATGGCGTGATCGAATCGGCCATCCGTAGCCGTCATGACCAACTCGTGCCGAAACTCTGCCACCGGGACGGTCAGAACCGACAGGTATCAGTCGAGTCGTCGTCCAAGGTACCTGGATCGCCAGAGTTCAGACCGATCATCGCCATTGCGCATGCTGTCGTCCGGGCATCTCAATGGGTGGCGGTGAAACTGTTAGGTAATGGGTATGGCGGCGATGGGTAGCCATTCGTCAGAGCAGAGGCTGTTCCCTGCCAGGTCACAGCACGCACCTCCAGTCTAGAACAACAACATTGATATTAGGTTAGTCAATATCATATGTTGCTTGCTATGAATGTTTTAGCTGTCCGGTGAATTGTTTTCCATCCAACATGCCATCACGACCAGCCAACGACTTCGCTACACCGACCGACCGGCAACTGCATCCGGATGATGTGATGATGCCCCGCAAAGAACGGAATTTTCTACAGTGCGGGGAAATTCGAACCTATCGCTATGCAGTGAGCGACAACGGAATCTTCCTCCTGCGTACAGGGTCTCTGTTAGCGCCGTGATGAGTACCCTCAGACTTGGCCAAGAATGGCAACAACGGGGAGAAACCTAGGCTACTGGGCAGCAACTAGAGAGTTCATTACAGCGCTTCGTCATTGCTCTGGTTCTCAGTGCCTGAGACCTTGAAAGCGACGAGTCACAATCCAGCGGACCAGGGGTAGGTATGCCGTACCGTGCGGGAGAAAAGCAAGTAATAAATCCCAATCCAGAGCCGGTGGGCTTCTTTTTGTTCGGATTTCCCTACTATGGTACACTTTTTTTTTGGCCCTGTCGGGATGTGGAACCTGGCCGAGCTGTAACCCCAAGAGACCTGCGATAGAATAAAACTCTGCGAAGAATTTTCTCAAAAGGATCCCAATCGGTAGGCAAAACATCCGGTACGGATGGGGCTAGCTCGGCCCTCCAGCCGTGGTCTCTGCGCCTCGTTGGCTCAAACAGTAAAAGCGGCCTCACGGATCCAGAGGATCTCCAATTAGCGTCGCAACGTGTTGCCGTATGGTACTGTACACCCGCGTCACGGTGCCGGTCACCGCTGGTACGGGCAAAACTTGCGCCAGACCGCCTTGAACCCCTCGGGCTTCCTACGCACTGAATGACGCCACGTGATGGTTTGATGACGGCAGCTGACCTTCCTGAATGAGCATAGAAACCGCCCCCTTGTCAGGTGTCATTACGGCCTCTAGTCCCGGTCGTCCTGTACGGATATCCGGTGCCGTGAGTCGCACTCTTCTCATTTATGTGACGATGCTGGATGACTTGTCATCGACTTGTGCGATGTGCCTTGTCTTTGCTCTCTCACCCCAAGACATTTTGAGTAGCGTTCCTCTACGGTCTCAATAATGTTGTTGTCGTGGCCGCCCTGGACCCAAGTATACAACGGCCCAATCGCATCGTGGCCTGACCAGGAGGGGTGGTTGTCTAGAACTTTAGTCAGCCCTGTCATCCTCGGTTCGCATCTCGAATAAAGGACATGACAACATCTCTTAGCAATTTGACATGATCTCGAAGAAAGATCATTAGAGCCACGAGTTTCCCCCGAGTAATGTCCAGCGCATATTGCGTCAAGTCACGATCGATGTCTGGTAGTATTACGTGCCTGGGTCACGGCAACATTGGAGAGTGAAAGATCGACAATACATCGTTTCGGACCCAGGGACAGCTATAGTCGGTTCCTAGTCCAGCCCTTTCTACGGGGTAAGGGTGAGTCATTGCGCACGGCCTCAACGGACGTACATCGGGGAACCATGCTTTGAAGCTAGCGGAGTGCTTCTGCTGTGCGGAGTAGTCAAATGATGCAGAGTGAGTTTGATTAATACGAATCCAATGCAATTCTGCACGCACTCTCGATGTATATACGTCTACTATCAGTGCAGTGTGCATGAGCCCGGACTACATCACATGCTGTGAGCGTCTGAGTGAGATGGATCCTACTGGCAAAAGCGTGCATGTTGCGTTGATTTCGAAGCAAGCTAAAGCTCCCGTAGGATTTAGCCGAGGATTTGAGTGAGACCATTGTCCTGCCATATCGAGCTGATCTGATGTTCCGAATCAAAGATCCGGGGTTGGATCAGATTCTAAGAAAGTATGCTCCGGGGTCCAAAGTACCGAATGAGTTCCCATAGGTTGATTGGTGATATTCTAGAATGAGATAGATGACATACCACGACGGAACGACTGCTACTCTACTGCTACTAAGCGATCTAGACTGTCCTGAAGCTAATGTAATTCTCCCATCTAGATCACGCAAGCTAAGGAACATCCACGAGGACCGTCGGAGCGCCTGTCAACCCATCGCTTGCATGTCTCACCCTTTCCTGCTCGGGGAAATCTTTACGCCAAGCACGACGGCAGGAACAATTCTTTCTCAGATGCTGGCGCTTTCCGCCGGCGGCAGCCGTACTGTCAGGTATGGAAACCGTACGGTAAGCCCCACTATGACGCTTTTTCTGCCGCGCCCCACCCAAACTCCATCGTCCGCCCGATGGGATGGAGCCTTCAATGTGGCCAGACCAGGGAATGAATGGCACCTGTTACATGGTGTGGGCACGTCCGAGTAGCAACCATACTAAAAAAAAATGGTGGGAAAAAAATTCAGGAGCAAGAAAATTGAATAGGAGTATATGGGCATCGATTTGGGAACTAAAAGAAAAAAAAAGCTTGTTCGGGTTCATTCAAAGGCAGCTGCTCGCCCACCTCTTCTTTTCTCTTTCCTCCTGCTTTTGTCCGACAGTTTACCTCATCTTTCTTTCACCAACTCATAGGAACTTCAATCAAGCGGTGACATATATCTATTACCTACCTGTCTTTGTACCCTGTTCGTGACTCATAACACCGGTGCTCGGATACTTCAACTTGACTATATGTAGTCAGAGACCTCTAGACGCCTTCTAATACTACCAATCGCAACTGGATTATGTACTTGATCGTCTACCACACATCTCAACCCTACCAATATCGAAGCACATCATAAAACGACCACTTCCCCAGCTACTGTTTGCAACCGCTGCACATCCACTGTTCTAGTTCCGAACCACCCTCGTCGAGAACCTTCCAAACGCAGCTACCTCAGGCGTCCATATTTGACGCCCAGCGCTCCCACTTCCTTCAGCCTGGCAAGGTCGTCACAATCCGAAGTGTATACACTCGACATTCTGGCACCATGCCTGGCCGTCTACTCTCCAGTTTCGTTCGCCCCTCCCTCTCTCACCACTCGTCCATCTCGCACTCCAACTCTTCATCCTCGTCCTCTGTGAACGAAATCCCACACAACACAATGGTCTCCAAGAAGCCATCCACCCATGGCGGCGCGGAAAGAACTCGTTCTCCCGAGCGTCGCTTGTCTTTCGCGGTCGAGCACCTCATCCATCCCCACAGAGATCACAGCAAGGACAAGCGACGTAGCCATGGCCGGTCATCTCGTTCGAAGGAGCGTGCCGGACAAGAAGACATCGCCAGTACTCACGCCAAACTAGATGTTATCGTCGAATCACCACCACTGGTGTGCTACGGGTCTCCTGCCAACTCTACCGGTGCGCTGTTCTCGGGGCGTTTGAAGATCAGCGTCTCAGAAATAGCCGGCATGATCACACTGGATACGTTTGACATGCGCTTGATGAGCAGGCTGACAACGAAGAAGCCTGTGTCAAGGGACTGTGTCAATTGCGCCGCGCGTACCGAAGAACTTACCCATTGGAACTTCCTGACGGAGCCAATTCACCTCAAGAACGGCGATCATGAATTCCCCTTCAGCTATCTGTTTCCCGGCAACCTTCCCGCCTCCTGCAACGGCTCGCTAGGCCAGGTCGAATACTTCCTTTCTGCACGTGCTCATAATGTCAACGGTGAGGAGTACACCTATAAAATGCCGGTGCACATTAAGCGTGCCATCCTCCCCGGCAATGACAAATCTTCTATCCGCATCTTCCCGCCTACCAATCTTACCGGCCGCATCGTCCTCCCCTCGGTTGTGCACCCTATTGGCACTTTTCCCGTTCAGATGACTCTCAGTGGAGTTGTCGATAAGGGCGAAGAAACCCAGACTCGCTGGCGTCTGCGTAAGATGATGTGGCGGATCGAGGAGCATCAGAAGATCGTGTCGACCGCCTGCACCAAGCATGCACACAAGATTGGGGGCGAGGGTAAAGGCGTTCTGCACCAAGAGACACGCATCATTGGCCACAACGAAGAGAAGGAAGGCTGGAAAACCGATTTTGACACCGCTGGTGGCGAAATCAGCATGCAATTCGAGGCGAACATCAACCCATCTTGCAATCCCGTGTGCGATCTCGAAGCCCAAGGTGGCTTGGAAGCGCGGCACAACCTCGTCATTGAGTTGATCGTGGCAGAGGAGTTCTGCCCAAATCGGAATACCCGGCTCATCACCCCCACTGGAGCGGCGCGCGTGTTGCGTATGCAATTCCACCTGCATGTCACGGAACGAAGCGGACTCGGTATCAGTTGGGATGAAGAGATGCCACCGGTCTACGAAGATGTCCCCGCCAGTCCTCCTGGATACACTATGCTGGATGGCTCAAGCATCATGGAGGACTATCATGGGTCTCCCATCCACCTACCGGAGTATGAGGAACTGGACCGCATGGAGTCTATTCGCTTGGACAGTGACTCAACTCACTCATCTCGGGGGCGATCTCGACTAACTACCGATGATCTGACTACTGAGCCATTGGAACACGGAGTCGGCGATCGAGCCCCATCTGTGGATTCTCGCAGCTCGAGCCATGCTTAACGCATCTCACAACCACACTGCCTTCTACTCATTCATCCTTCTTTTTCAACACACGTGTGGACTGGACTTGTCCATCCAACCCTACGCCACTTACGACGTTACGATTATTTACGAATTGAATGATTGTTAAACCAGAGGGATTCAGATCCGTCTCAGTTACTCTCAACAGTCACTCGAACACTTGCTAATGCAAGCCTGCCATTTCCTAATCAACTCTTCTAATTTCAATGGCATGAAAACACAAGGGGAAACAAAAGTTTGTCTGCTAGAATTTCGTTCTGTATCACGGGGTGGGAATTTCTGTTTGCATGATACCCATAATCACTGTCACGTCTCGCCATTTCTTCTGTCCTACAATTTTTACGTGTTGACAGTGTCAAGTTCACTATACCGATATACCTGGTTAATTAGAAAAAAACTTGCATCATTCACTATCCTCTATCTATGTAGCCTGGTTTACATTGTATTGCCTAAGGAAAGATCGCAGCACCTGGTGGGTGTGACTGGACGGGTACGTACTTACGATGCCCCTCGCATAGTCCCAATGGAGCATTGGGCATCTCACAGTCTCACCACCCTCAAGACTCCAAGGTAAGACAATTGGGCCCTTACTTCCCGGGCTCAACTGGAACCGCTCTGGTGGCTGTCGCACTGGACAGACCATGTATATGGAATTTGAGATGGTGCTGCAAGTACCCAGCGGCTGGCTACACAAGGCCCCCTGCAGATCGGCCCTGCACATACGCCCCGAACAATGGTTGGCACGCCTCAAAAGTCGAATGTTTGCATCGGATTATTTCCCGTAGTACTAATAACACTTGGGCCAGTCGGTGACATCCAGAAATCCCCATATACAAAGTGTGGAATCGCCCTCTTCCCTTTCCTGACCTGTTCTTTACTCGTGACGCCTCACTAACTCCCCCAAACCGGGCCCATCCTTTCCAAACTCCAACCAACTCCAACACCGGAACATTTTCACATCAGAACACAAAACAAAAAACACATACAAAACTCCGAGATCATGAATCGAATATAGGTCCATATGCCGGAATCCCATGTGATTCCAGCTCATACACTACTTTCTTGGTCATCAACGGATTACTGATCACGCACACAGCTTCCGCATCGAAATCCTTCACGAGCTGTCGAATGATCGGAACCATGTCCACTCGTCCGGATTGATTCGTGTCGATCACCACGGGGTTCCGGTCCATTTCAGATACAAGGTTCATGATTTCCTGCCCGTACGTCTTTAGAGGAGCGCGGGTTTGCCAGATCACACGCAACTCGGGGCGATTGGCATCTCCCAGAAATGATAGGCAGGGTCCAATGCCAGAGCCTGTCGTGACGACTACCACTCTTTTGAATACTCTCATTGCATACGCAAAGCCATAGGTAAGTACACCCCTCTTCCACAGATGTGTTGGCTGGTCTTGGATGCAGGCTGATGTCCAGTCTCCGGCTTTAGAGACCAGAGCAGAGAAGCTTTTACCCTCGGGATCGGGGAACGTGGCAAACCCATGCCAGTCCTGAAGTGGGTGTCGAGTTAACTGGATACCCTTTCCGAACGTCGTGGTCGTGTGGTTGAAATGGAGCCTTACTGCATGGGATGAGAGGTATTCGGGTTGGACTTTGACTTTGCGCAGGAAGACCCAAGGGTGGATGATGGCGACCACAGTCACCATCAAGAACCAGAAGGCCGGAAGCTTGAGCAGGAAACGACCAAGCGATTCATTATATGCTGCGCTGGCCTGATCGGCAAAGATCATGAGCAGGATGACGAAGAGCGCCACGACCAGCCATCCGGAGAAGCGGTGGGTGAGCTCGAAGTAGTCATGCTTCTTGGCCCGGAACTTGGGGTGAGCGACTATGATAATCGCGAGCAGCAGGGCGAGAATAATGTACGCCAGGATTATTGGGGCCAGGGAGAGGGCGGACTGGCCCGACCAATACTCCTGAGACATGACACCCACAAAACCCACATACCACACGAATGCGGCTATGCCACACCCGCTATGGACGCCCCCGTAGTGGTATACCTTGGCTGCCAGTCGCCGCATCCACATCGGCGCTGATCTCGGTATTGAGCATACGGAAACGAAGATGGTGTTCACAACCAGAGGCTGTCGGGCAAGGCCACATGCAAGCAGGTTACCTGCGGTAGCATTCACGAGTGCTAACATCGTCCGCTCGGTCACCAGAACAGCCACAAAAACGGCAATATTGGCGAGAAAGACGATGGTGAAGAGGCGGCGATAGATGTTGAGAAAGGCATAACGAATCACAGCAAATCTCTTTTTGTGGACTTGGGATTCCAGATCAAACGATCCGTTGTCTGCCGGATACCGTGACTCTTCCACCTTTTCAGAAAGACTGTTTGCGAAGGTCTTCTCTGTCAACGTTGCCTCACTTGGGCTCGGTGGACCAGAGGCACATTTGGCGGGAGGGGGCACCGTGACAACAGTCTGCACCGGTTCTGACATGCTGTCTCGGACAATACCACAGGGTGAATCGAAGAGTGGAAGCAGGTATTGGGTCGTTAGAGTGTGGTGGCAAGGACAGGAGGACAGGGACAGGTACAGGAACAGGTACTATCAGATGCAAAGAAGAGATAATGACAGATTGGGTTATACCACGGTGACTTCACACTCGACGAATGATTTTGGCATGTCACCCACGTCTGCTTGACACTGCCGCAAGTGGGCTGCAGTGAAAGGGCACCTGCGTCTTTTGAATCATTGTGGATGACGACATATCACCACGATGCAGATGGCATATTTCCCGAAACGTGGACCTACATCAAACACCGGAGTTACCTGGGCTATCGTCTATAGTCCATGCTTCCAGCAGCAGGACGCATACCGCATGCGGCATCTCTCGGCCCGTTTTACCTTTGCTTTTACTCTGGGTGCCATGTTTTCAGGACTTCACATCCTGATTCCTGCCACTATTGCACGGGATCTGTTCCGCCAGTCTAGAGCCCAGAGCGGTCTGCCAATGAGCGGCGCAAAGTGGCATTGTGCCTTCCAATCCTCAGCTCTGCATTCCCCGAATCAAGAAAGAGGAGAACCAATAGATGGTGCCCGAGGAGGGGCCAGCATCCCGTCCCAGATCCCATGGCTTGTGAATCTAGTGATGGTGATAACTAGATAGAAGGGTCTAGAGATTAGGACACTCCGGGTCATCCAGTCCGAGTGGCTCATGCAGGAGGGTCAGGGTTCCCAGCCCGACGCTAGCACTGAAGACTCGTGTAAGACGCAATGGTGCTCGCCACGGAGGATCAGATTCCCCACCGCTCCATGGCCAGAGAGGGAATGTCGAGGATCGGACAATCGGAGCGCTGGAAGATGCGAGGGTCAAGAGGATGGGGCTTGACAGGCCCCGCTGGCATACAACGATCCATGCAGGACGCACAGATTTCTTGCTTTTTTTTTTTTTTTGCCATTCTTTTGACTGAGTCGATCGGTGGCAGCTGCAGATGGGCCCCAACAAGGCCACACAGGCGCCATGCTGGTGGGACTAGTGTGTCCCGAAGTCCTGGCAAGGAAACCCGACAATGAGTCGAGGGCGTGGTATGATTACCCACCCACCAGGCCATGTTCCATTAGTGGGCGGGGTACATTCAGCGGTGTCAGGGCCCTCGCGTCATGTAATGGCCTGTCCTTGTCATGCCGGGTAGCTGGAGGGCGATTAGCAGACGTCAGCCTAGCATGGGTCAGGCGAGTGGGTACAAGCTGGCGCGCATGATTGAGCGCTGATATCAGAAGTCCAGGCCGGCAGGGCGTCGTCCATCATCGCGAACGCTAGTTCGGTTCCCAAGACGGGAGATCTAGCCGGGATTCAGCTGCACGAGGCGAAGACTGAAGAGGGCATGAGGGAGCGCCATGGCAGGGGGGGGATGCGCCAATGAGAGGAAGCAGAGGCATTGATCAGGATCAGGTCGGGCTGAAGGGATGCCCAATATTGGATTAAGTTATGGGGACTCTGGGGGGTGGGTAGTTGAGGGAGGGAGATCATGGAGTCATGGAGCCATGGAGCGAGTTCGTCTGCATGACGGGACCTGTTCGCCTGGGAATTGCTTTTTTGACCACACGGCGATGAAGAGAGCCCCACCGGCTGAGATCTGAACTGCAATCGGCGACTGTCATTCGACCGAAGAGCGCAAGCGTCTGGCGTGGGCCGGAGGAGGATCAGCGACCCGATCTGAGCGGAGTCGGCGGCGCGCCACGCTGGAATGATTCCAAATCACCGCCATCGCGTCGCCCTCGAAACTGGAATTCCCCTGCTGGCCCAGAATCCTTTTGACTTTTTGAAACCGCCAGCATGACAAAGGCCAGCAATCTCGAGCACCATGGCGATATATTTATCGCCCCGGATTTCCCCTTCACTGGATCGGGGATATATCCTGGTGTCTCTTTTTCTCTTGACTCTTGACTGCCTGCCATCTATCCCAAGCCATCCAAGCCCTGATCCGACATTGACTTCACGGGCCTGAGTGATTCCCCTCTCCCCCCATTCCATCTCCCCCCTCCACCCCTTGGTTTCCACTCCTTTTCCCGCCGATTCTCCTACGGTTCCCAACGGACAACCAATTAATTCCACAACAATGGGTCTTTGGGATTCGTGCCCCAGTGTGGTGGGCAATCAGCACCACAACATCACCACCACCACCACCACCACCAGCAACCCCAACGGCACCTACACCGACTTGTTGACCTTTGCCTTTCGGGGGCCTGTTTCCTATGATCCTGAACGCCCATTGTTCATTGACGCGGAAAACCCCTCGCGGTCATTCAATGCGCGGCAGTTTGAGACGCTGGTTCGGACTCTGATTGCTGGCCTGAAAGCCCACCATGTGCAGAGAGGCGATTGTGTCTTGGTCCACTTGGGAAACAGTGTAAGTGGCTATCTCCTGCTTCGTACTCCGTAGGCTCTCCGCCATACATCCTCCCCTGACTACGCCTAGCCTCTAGGCCTACCCCCCCCCACTTACCCTCTATCTTTTTTTTTTCTTTTTTTTCCTTTTATTTTTTCAGTTAATATTATCAATTCTTTTCATCCTACCCCTGCATGCCTGTCTTACTGACTCACTGGATGGTAGATCATATACCCCGCACTCTTCTTCAGTATCATCGGCGCCGGCGGCGTGTTTATGGGCTCGAATGCGCGCAGCCAACCGCAAGAGTTAGAACATATCCTGCAATTGGCAGAGCCGAAACTGATCATCACATCGCGCGATGCACTGCCTACCGTCCTGAGCGTGTCAGCCGACCGGGGCATTCTCCCCAGCCAGGTGTGCCTGCTGGATGAATCTGCAGGTGATCACATCGCCCAACATCTGCTCGCGGGGCCATTGGCATATGCTGCCGCCGGAGCGCCGTATCTACCGAGCAGTGGGGACGGCTCCTTCATCAACTTTGCCCACCTCCTGGCCTATGGCGAAAATGATTGGGTGGCCTTCAATGACGAGCATATCGCCAAATCCACTCCGGCCGCCATGTTCTCCACCAGCGGTACCGGAGGCCTGCCCAAGGCTGCCTTCATGTCGCACCATGCCATGGTATCACATCATCTCAGCATCAATTACGATGTGCCATACGAGGTGACCCGGCTCATGTCCCTGCCCATGTTCCATATGTTTGGCGCCCTGTGGACCCACCTGTTCCCCATCCGATATGGCCAGCCCTTGTTTGTGCTGTCGCGCTTCGAACTGACGCAGTTCGTGGCGGCGGTGTACCAGTATCGTATTACGGAGACCTACATGGTCCCGGCCATGATTCATACCTTCAATCGCTCCGCCTTGCCCATTGCGGATTATCTGGCGTCGCTACGCTACGTCGGAGTCGCCGGCGCTCCGATTGATGCCGCCGCCATGCAACGCTTTGGGGAACTCCTCCCTCTCGACGCGTCCGCCTCCCAACTGTGGGGAATGACGGAAGTGGGTGTCGTGTTCCAGAACCGATACGGTGAGCAGGCCAATGCCGGTAGTATTGGCAGGCTGCTCTCAGGGTACGAAGCGCGGCTGGTTGGGCAGGATGGCAATCTGGTGCTGGAGGAGAACCGGCCTGGCGAGCTCTACGTCCGTGGGGGTGGCCTGTTGAGTGGGTATAAGGGCCAGTCGGACGCCAAAGACGGACAAGGCTGGTTTCGCACCGGCGACGTTGCATATGTTAGTGGCGGGGTGTACTACATCTACGGACGTACCAAGGAGCTGATCAAAGTGCGAGGGTAAGTCGAGCGACCCCTTTCCTGTGCGGTGGATGCAACTAGAGGAACTAACGTGAAATGTGACATGCAGATGGCAGGTTGCACCGGCGGAAGTCGAGGCAGTGCTCCTCAAACACCCGGAGATCGAAGACGCGGCGGTGATTGGAGTTACGTCGGGGGATGGCAGCACGGAATTGCCTCGGGCGTTTGTGGTGCGCGCCAAGGACCTAACCACCAGCCGATTGACATCGGAGGACGTGTACATGTTCGCGCGGGGACAATTGGCCAGCTACAAGGCGCTAGATGGGGGGGTGATTTTCGTGGAGGAGATCCCACGGACAGCAAGTGGGAAGATCCAACGGTTCAAGTTGGCGCAGATGAACACCTATCGGGAGATAGTGAGTTCGCTTCTGGCGCGGTTCAAGGGGACTAGTCTCCAGACGGTCGGGATCATGCATAAAGGGCGCATCACGGTTTGAGGGGGATTCATTCCACTTGGGGAAACCCGTACATATTCTGGCGTTGGTGTATCACCGGATGGGTTTTAGGCGTTGGGTGATGCAGAGCAGACAGACGACTGGCTCGTCTGACTGGTATATACATAATGGACTTATATATATAGAGTTGTCAACTAAATTGTTGGAATAATAATGACAATTGCAATGTTCTTACTCCCACTGTCACTCTCACCCCGTCAATCAATCTGTGGCGCAGCACCAATCACCGCGCGCCGTTACTTACGCAAGCCCGATACCTAACCCGGCAACCGGCGGTTCAATCCACCACCACCACGGTGTTTCCCTTGCATTATTACCTAGCTTGACTAGTGGAGTCCTGTCAGTGAGGTAGCAGGTAAGTAGGTAGGTAGGTAGGTAGGTATCCGTCTGTCCGTTTTTGTGTGACGCGTCTTGATACTGTCTATCTATCTATCTTCCTCCTAGTATCCTAGTAGATAGATACAGAGTAGATAAATAGCACGTATTAGGACACGACTCAGGCATTAATTAACCAACCAACCACTAAGTACCTACTAAACATAGTTAGGGTAATAATTATATTACACACCCTCCCTCAATCCATCAATCCCCGTCCTTTATATCAACATCCATGCAAGTAAGATAGATACCAAGATAATTAGACTAAGAGAACACCCTCCCCATTACCCCCTACCCCCTCCTAGGATAGGATAGGATAGGATAGGGTAGGGTAGGTTCCCCCCCCCTAGCCGCCCGAATTTAAATAACCGGCTACTACCTAGGACTAGGATGGATGGATGGATGGATGGATGGGATGGTGTTTGTCAGGAATGAGTATTTTTTTTTCTTCCTCCCCTTTCTGTTGAATATTTTGTAGGTGTCGCTTATGTTAGTTTAGTTGTTTGTGATGATTGGGTTGGGTTGGGTTGGAATTGGGGTATGGTAGGGGTTATTTACGCGGGCAGATTTATCATTCGCTAGAATATAAATCAAATCCAAGTTCAAAACCAGAAGGGAATAAATAAAGTGAGGAGATGGATGGATGGATCCAAATCGTGAGGGGAGAAGGGAGGGAGGGGGGTGAGGGGTGCCCTATTCACCCCCGATCCTGGTTCTTGGATTGTACCTACTTACTACAGCCTACAGGGTAGGGTAGGTCCGTGTCCCAAGTACCATGTACCATGTACCATGTACCTATCTACCAGTAATAATCCCACCAAGCGAGAAAGTATAACATACTTACAGGTAGAACAGGTAGTCATTATACATAAGCAAATGGGTACTATAGACCAGGATATACCATCCATCCCAGCCATGAACTAACTGGGCTTACCTATCTGCGGGGATGGATTGGACTGGGACTGGGATGGCTGGCTGGGCTGGTTTGGAATGGCGGCGCCGTCGCCGTCGCCGCTGCCGGAGGCGGAGCCTGTAAGGGGTTGGGTTGGGTTGGGTTGATTTGGAAGGGATATACTTACACCGTAGAGTGAGTATTTTACGGAGTAGTTGGGTATGAGTGAAGGTGATGATGGTGGTGATGATGCAGAATGTGTCATGTAGTCGGGGAGAGAATTGGCATGTGGTTTTGGTGGTATGGTGGTGGTGTTTACATTCTACCTACTTTTAGCTGTACCTGTACTGTACTCTGCTGTGGTGACAGATGCAGTACAGGTACATGTACATGACCATGCTACAGCTCGTGTATGTATGTTGATGTAGGTGTACATATTTTTTTTACTATGGAGTAAAAAATCACGGGATAAGAACAAATATTAACAAATATTTGCTATGTGATTCCGACACAGACAGATAGACAGACAGACATCTAACTTCTAAGCGATATGTATAGTTCCCCCACATAAGCTTCCTCCAAGATCATATCAAAAATAAAAACAAAAACAAATTGAACAAAGTTAGTTCTCTCATCCTACGGTAGTAAATAACCAAGGTTGACGAAAAAATTCCTTCATTCATGCAAGGTGATAGAGCTTCTTTGGTATTTGCTTTTTTTTGTTTTCTGTCTGCTGACGATGATGGTTCTTGTGATGGGATCATATTTCGACCGAACCCAGCAGTGGGTTTAAGTTTGGGTTGGATGGGTTGCGATCTTGTGATTAATCTACCTATCTTAACTTTTTTTTCTGATTTTTTTATTCTATTCATTTATTTTATTTATTTATTTGTTGAGCTTGTATATATGACATCTTTTTCCTATTCAGGGCCTCAAACTCCGGAGTCCGATGGCATAGGAATAGGAGATAGTAAGTTCATGACAGCGTGGTTCGTGCTAGGTAGCCGTCGCTTCCTTCCATTTCATTTATCCTCCAATCTCCCTAGCCTAGATACCTACGGAGTAGGCCCACAATCTCTTTTAATCTATTTGCGTACCAGGGTTCGGAAGGACTATTTATCTATCTATCTAGATAGTATCTCCGCTGAGAATGGTACCATCTACTATCTACATACTACTACATACAGAGTGGTATGATTAATATCGATCGCAGTCACAAAGTACCCTCTAATCGCGTCAAATTGCTATTTCTATCCCAAAGAAAAAGAAATCAACATGGTCGGACGGAATCGAGGTTAAGTTGAGCCCAGCCCCAGACTAGTGTCGCAATAGTCGCGATTTAGTCTCCCCCATTTTCTCCTATCTGAACCCTGATCCTGATAGAGAGTGGAGGGATGCTCTGCGCCACAGAGTTGCCACAGCTGATGATGGATCGTGATTGATCAAGGCAAGGCGAATTAATGTGATCATTCTCTACTGTGTATGGGATAACGGATCTGCGTCGGTCTCCTCTTCGGAGAAATGGATGCGGTGACGACACCACGGCCCAACTAGTTCCTTCCAGGCCAGCGCCCTATACTGACTACACTACACTACTGAGACAATCTGAGATTCGAGGTGATCGCGGACAATCAAATTGTTGATGACAGTCCGTTTGCGGAAGGTTACACCCCATCGGCTGTCACTCAGCTGGATCCGTCTCGACTTTTGATCCGGATGCTTTGGCTTTGTCGGATCCCACGGCTTTTTTTCCCGGTCTGCCCAACAGGGTTGTTGCGCGAGTCCAATTCCTGGAATCTGCTACCCCCGACCTGATTGGGAATTATCCGGGTGGCACCGTGGCAGAGCCTCGTTTTGGAGTTCTTGATCCTTCGCTGGGACTGGCACGGGCACTGCACTGCACTGCACTGCACTGGTCTGACATTGGAAAGATTGACATCCGCCCGCTGATCGGCATGTCATCGGGTTGGGGTCCGCCGTCATGCTTTCCCAACAATGCAGGATACAGGATACAGGATACAGAAGATGCTTCTGCACCTTTGTCCATCACGGTGACTGCATCCATCCTCATGTCGTCTCCTCAATCCTCCCCGACAGCCTGCATGTCATGTGACACTACCAGTGACTAGCTGCAGCCAAAGCAGCCACTAGGCCGGGTTTCCTGGACCACCGCTTGTTCGTAGCTGCTCTCTCTCTCTCTCTCTCTCTCTCTCTCGGTAATCTTCTCCCGACCAGCTCCCAGCCTCATGGCCCAGAACCCATGCACCAACGGGCCATCCTACTGCTGCTGCCTGGATCCCAGCCCAAGGGTTGCATAATGGAGTAGACACTAGTCGCAACGGTCTCTCGACTGCATTGCCACGTCGACTACCCCCCAGGAGGGGTAGAAGTTCAATTACACCTTTCGCAATGATGGTCATGGCCCCGACTCGAGGATCTAGCAAAGTATACTTCGTGGGGAGGGGTAGGCGCCGCCCGGGATTCAAGTTAAGCCTGATGATGGAAATTGTTAATTGCAACGATTAAATTTTTTCTTTGTTTCCCTCATTTAACTCTTCCATCTCCACCCAGTCGTGCAGTACGCAGGGGTGTCCCATCTTCACATGTAATTGGAGTCCCATCTAATATGCCCATGGTTGAAGCCCGTCGGGGATCACGGCCCAGCAGCAGAAACTCCTCGGCGATGGTGGTCACCGACTTCTGCGACACACGTGCCGTGATGAAGCAACCGATGTCGCACAACGTCGGCTGCGGCGGGTACCGATGCAAACCTCAACAAATGTGATGGAGTCGGTGGCAGTAGGCATGGCGGTAAACCAGACAATTCTGTATGTGCCTGCAGTGACGTGATGGATTCAATCGGGCAGGACTCTACCCCGACCGGTGATGGCGCATACACCACCGTAACCGAGGCGCCGGCGCAAGTCGAGTCCCAGACCAAAGCATGTTGTGCTAGGATGCAGCTCCTTCCATGCGGCGATAACGACAGCGTCACCTAACGGGCGCGCAATCCGCGCGGTCCGGGCGTTGATCGATAATGCCCCCCAGCGCGTCAGAGTATCCCATACCCCTTCCACCACACCCCCCACGCAAGTGGCCCCAATGCCCCGATGGCGGCGGCTCCGACGGGTACCTCCAACACGCTCCATATCCAGATGGTCCCGACGGCGGGCGCCCCTTTCATCACGGCGTAGTACGGGTCTTCGTTGGTGATGATCATCAGCTTACAGCCAAGCAGGACGGCAAGTGGGAGGAAGATCGAGGTACGTAAGGTCGGCGGGAAGAGCAGCTTGCGAAAGAATGCTAACGTCAGTTTGTCACTGTCCCAGGGGAAAAGCGAGATCGTTTCGGACTTGGCGGTGCTGCCGATGAAGGAGACAATGTGTCCATGAGCGAGGTGGATGAGCAATGTCAGCATCGGAAAGGCGACGAATACGGACTCGCGCACGAGATTCTCCAGTTCGATGGTTTCTGCGTATTGATGGGCGGCGAGGTAAGCGAGAGTCAGATGGAGGGTGGTCAGGGGCATCGAGAGCAGCAGCGTGTCGATGACGGGCGGAATAGGATGGTCGGAGCCTGTTTCCTTCTCCTCAGCTTGCGCCTCGTCATCTGACGATGTTTCTTCCGTGACATCCTGAATTCTCTCCATGTCTGCAAGCTCCGAGGAGTCGAGGCCTGAAATCTTGCCGGTCGCAGGATCCATGGTCACCAGCCGGGTCCCTGGACCCAGGCCAGACTCGCCAACAGGAGTATTTCCTTGACCCAGAAGCTCATTTTGTCTCTCAGAAATTATATCCACCAAGGTCTTTCCTTTGGGTTTCGACGAAGGATTCGGGCGCGCGAGGGGGACCGAGGAGGGATCAAACGTGTCGCTCGGGGCAGTCGCTGCAGCTGCAGCTCGTCGCTGTTTTCGGTTTCTGGGCCCTTCCATATTGTAAGTCTTGTAGATGGGTGTAGCTGTCTTGTTGCGAGGAAGGTGATGGTTCGCGCTGAAATGGGGAGGGAGGAGCTGCTTTGCACTGTGGGAGCGCTCAGGTGTCCACTTGGAAATGATGTATCACCGCCGGACTTAAGCGGCGTTAACCGTCATGTGCCCACTACAAAACTGCATTGTCGCTACCAACCGGTTCAAAAATACTACCATTACAAACTTCCTTCATATTATTATAATGTCGTAGGCGTCCCTTAATTCTTCCTTAATCCAGATTGCCCCCTCAAATATCAGATGTGGACGCTTTCAAATGGAACCCTGCCTTCATCTCGCTTATCCAGACTGGTAGAGAGCCGGCCCAGCAACTACATGAGGGTTCAACATGGTGATGTTGAACGGGGTCACATAGAGGTTGGTGTCTGTAATGGCAATGAACATGGTGCCATTGACGGCGGGATCACCGGCGTAGGTTTCGACATCGGGCTGAATGGTCGACCCTGCCCTCGAGCCATTGAGATTCAACTCGGAGTAGGTCACGTTCAGCTGCGTCACCCAGGCCACATACTTGGGCTCTCCAGCATTCGTCGAGGTGACATAGCTGTTGTTGGGTCCAACTGGTCGCCCGGGCGCTTCCCAGGACAGGTAAACCTCCCGGCCTGGGTACGACAAGGGGTTCGTGCGGTTGTGGGTGATTGCGGGCGAACAATCAACACCAGCAGTGTTGGAGTTCAGGCAGGTTTGGGAGCTCGGAACAGCCGTGCTATTCAGCACGTTCGTGCCATTGCTGATAGTCTCCCTCCATGCCTCAGCGCCGTTGATCCGGACCGGGTTCGGCTGGTTCAGGATAGACAGCGCAGGGAAGTTCTGCCACGCCAGGCGCGTCTGGTCCTCCGGGCAGGAGCTGATATAGGGGGCAAGCAGCGTCCAGGCCCATGATTGTGGGACACCGACCTCAAACCATACCGGCATCGGGAAGAGGCCTTCGAATTGCCGGAAAATCATTTGCTGGCGAGCTTCCGTGGTAATCGACAACGTCAGAAGCGTGGCTGCTTCGCGGGAGTCCAGATGAGACAGGAATCCATAGACACCAGCCTCTCCGAAACGGGTAAGCTTCTGGCAGAAATCCAGGAACTCCTGAACGGTAGTGTAAGGGTATATGTAGTTGCACTGCCTGGGGGCCTGGGCACCCAAAATATTGGTCAACATGGTCGCATGGCCGACTTCTTGATCCGCCATGAACTCGATCAGAAAACGATCCTCCGCTGTCAACCCAGCAGCCTCAAAATCCTGTGCAGAGAAGCGAGCCAGTCCATCGTGGAAAAGGTCGAGCTCGATGTACTCTTGGTACAACGCGAGAGCCTGGTGAATTGTTAGCAAAAGCACAGGGAAAGAGTCAAGGAAGAGAACCTACCAAAGACTCGTAATCAAAGTCACTCTTGGCATTGTAAACAGGAGTCTCTCCATTTGTTCCAACACCTCCGGCTGGTATGTAAGGACCGGGCTCGGGATTATGGAGTTGTCCATCACTGGGATACGTGGTAGCCGACGGGTTGATCCCCAAGGGAGAAATACCCGGACCGATAGGGGTTGCGATGAGGGCCCCGGTTGTGGTCGGCACTCCAGTGTATGGAGTATGGGCTTGGGTGGTGGAATATGTCACCACAGGCGGGGCAGTGGCATTCGCAGGCGCGGTGGCCGTGGCCGGGACTGTAGCATTGGCGGTTGCGATGCCAGGCCCAACGCTTGTCGTATTGGCAGCCGCCCGAACAATGTTGAGGCGGGGATGTGCCAGAGTCAAGGGCAGGGATCCCAGGGAGCTCAACAGAAGAAGCCGGTATGAAGCCATTCTGATCAACGGGTATAGTCCAGAAAGCTAAACACCCACAGTGTGTTGGGATTCGGAAGCAGACAGGCACCCGGCAGGTACATAAATACGTTGCAGCCAGCACATCGTGTTCGTCATGCCACAGCCTATCTGTGACGCAATTGATATATCGTCATATTCGATGCCGGGATCCTGTTTGTACTCGACGAAACAAAAGGGCTTTGAGGGACTCCGGATGCGCGTGGATGTAACCTCCCAACAACCACAACCCTGGCGGAAGGCGACGGAAGTGTGAGATATAATGGAAGACTCATTGCTAGCCCCACCATGTCAATTTCTTGCAGAGGCAGGTTATCTTCAGTTCAGCCACAGTCCCTGAAGCTTGCTTGGAAATGATCGATACGGTCATCAGTTCCAGCCACGCCGAGTGGCTTTCAAGGATCCAGTGGAACAACGGCCAAGGAGCTGCTATGCATGATTCAGAGTAATGGTAGATTATCATCAGATAACTCGAAATTCCGGGAGCTGTAGCCTATCATCTTTGCAGACACCGGATCCGACAGGTAAATACTATGGATGCATCCCTGGATATTCTGCGGATGTCAGGCCAAAAGCGCATACCCGAGACAACTGTACTCACGAAGCATAAGAACCACTTCACTGGTATCACTAGATTGTTGGGACATCCGACATCCGGAGCCCTGTAATTGTGACGTCGGGCAAGTTGCCCTGGGCGGAAATGATCTCCCACGGATTCAGAATCCGACAAGACAGTTGCACCGGAGGAATGTGCTGAATCCCTTGTCCCTGGGGGTGATGTTCGAACACGGCCTGACAATGTCAGGTAGCATCTAACGCGTCGCATCTTTTGTGCTACAGCGAATTTCAGCAGAAATACAAAAGCCCGATCGCGAGATCTGCAGCAAGAACAAGCTGCTCGCAGGGATGCTCAGCAAGTGTGCAACACTGGCGTGGGTGGCAGAGACGGAGAAGAGAAAAAGGCAGCAGATGCCCGGTATCGGTTGATCTGCGCCGCGTGCCCCGCGTGGGGACGCCGGAACAAGCAAGTCGCATGGTCAATCCTCACAAAGTGCCTTGTCCCTATCTCCCCGTCTTCTTTGCGCCTATGCGATTATTCGGAACTGTCACTCCTGCAAACAAGCAAGAAACACCTGACAGGACACCATGTCGCATCTCCAAGCGTCGCAGCTCTTCTCGGTCGATGGGTTGGTGGTCATCGTAACCGGCGGTGGCAGTGGTATGTTTCACCATGTCTGGCACCTCGACCCCATAACTGACGATAGCCATCGATAGGTTTGGGTCGGACAATGGCCCTCACTCTCGCTGAAAACGGTGCCTCCAAGGTCTTCATCCTGGGTCGCCGCGAGGAAGCTTTGCAAGAGACAGCGGCCCTAAGCAAGAAAGACTCGATCATTCCAGTCAAAGCCGATATCACATCGAAAGAATCCCTTCAAGCAGCCTATGACACAATTGCCGAACAGACAGATCATGTCAATCTGCTCATAGCCAACAGCGGTGTCCTAGGCGACATCATGCGTCCTCCTGGACCAAAGCCGGATGGGTCGATCCCAAGTCTTTCTGAAGTTCGTGACCATTTGTGGTCCTTCCCCACGGAAGAGTTCTCCAGTGTCATGGATATCAATGTCACGGGGACTTACTATACCGTTCTGGCGTTTCTGCCCTTGCTCGATGCAGCGAATAAAAGAAGGCCGGCGCCTGTGAAGAACCAGCCCGCTGCGCCCACGGCACAGGTTATCATCACCAGCTCCATCGCTGCCTACAATCGACGCGTGGCGTTCAACTTCGCATATAATCTCTCCAAGGCGGCGACGAATCATTTGATCAAGATCCTGTCCACGACTCTGACGCCGTACCATATTCGTGTCAACGGAACCGCCCCGGGTTTGTACCTGTCTGAGATGACAACGTCAAGTTTCGGATCCGAAGACTCGGGTGTCTCGGATGGATCCTTCCCCAGCGAAATGGTGCCGCTGACTCGAGCTGGCAGCGATCAAGAGTTCGCGGGGATGGTTCTTTGGATGGCCAGTGCTTCTGGGGCCTTTATCAATGGGAATATCACAGTGACCGATGGAGGCCGATTGAGCACGGTGCCGTGCACTTATTAGATAACTAGCATTAGAAAGTATGGGAAGCGCATCTCATAGACATGTATAGAAACTCGAATTACTGTTCAAGATTAGTTGTCGAAGACCCGTGCTTGATGTAGTGTGCTTCATTGGACTGAGTCATTATCAAGGTAGACCCTGTGATACGTTAAATGGTCAGATATTTGCCCCCGAGCTCAAGCAGTATACTTAAGAATAATGTAGATGGGACCATTGGGATGTGAAACTGCAGCATGAAAATCAAATGAAATCATATCCTGGAGAGCTCGCCCTATTTTCCCGCCATAACCACTGCCGAGCATGCAAAATAGCAGAAAGCAAAATCCAGTTCAAAGCATGCCTTTAGACTAGAGAGACAACGATGCAAATATCGATATAGAACACAGAAAGCCAAAAGAATTGTGTCGCTCGTTCAGAAAATACCGAACGAGGGTCGAAACCCAGTGTTCTTCTTTACGTCCCTTGATGATGTCTTCGCTTGAAGGTGGAACACTCCATTAGAGTCCTTCTCGACATGTGCAAACATCCGAAGAAGGTCTTCGATTGTATCCCGGTCCTTCAAAACATCTTCGCCCATCGTGCTGGTAATTCCCGCTGTCTTCCGTGTCTGCAGGTCGAGAAGATAATCGTCGATAGAGCTCTCAACAATGAGCTTGACGAACTGCACTGTACTTTCTTGTCCAATTCTGAACAATCGGCAGAAGGCCTGGCACGAGCACTGTTAGCATAAGGGACATGCATAATTATTCCGTCATGTCAGCAGGCATAGAGTACATACCTGCTCCTGAATAGCTTCATTCCACCACAGGTCGACAAGAATGCACTTGTTGGCTGCGGATAGGTCAAGACCTATACCTCCTGCCTTCAGACTGGCGACCAGAATCCTCACTTCACCCTCTTTGTCGCTGAAAATTCTCATGCTCTCTTCGCGAGCTGCTAGATGCATTTTACCAGTCAACTGTATATCGTTAGCTGATCCCGGCTCTTGCATATTTGAAAGTTTGATTGCTCACGCAGGCAAATGGCCATCCTTCCATTTTACACATAGCAGCCAGGATCCGGACAAAGTCCAAGAATTGAGTAAAGATCACTACCTTGCTTGAGGTGTCCTCTGCAAGCCACCCAGCAAGGATCTCGCGTATCATCGTGAGTTTAGCACTCGGCATGTGCGGGGTGCATGCCTTAATCCAGTCTGTATCCTCGTCAGCATCCCCCTCTTCGTCTGACTCGGTCTACTCTGCGGTAATCCGACGCATGCTGCTTCCAGGTCCTTTCTTTGTCGTCTTTGCTTTCGCCGGTTTCTTTCCCTTGTGGTTTGCTGCCGACGGCGTGGGCGTTGCAGACTGCGCCTGCTTGAGCATCTGTTCTTCAAAGTAAGCGGCCTCCTCTATTGGTTCGAGGCAACGTTGGCAGATAGGTATTCCAAGCGCTGTGCTCTTGTCAGTCAGTAAGGAGTAGTAACGCTCCTCACAATACAAGTGCTTGCATGATGTGATCACAGGGTTCACGGGTACAAATTCGCATGTCGGGCAATTGGTCCTTTCCAGTCTTTCATCCCAGTTTTCATTCTCATGAAGCTCGCACATGAATTAATGGAAATTATTTGCCAATACCACCTTGTCTCCACGAAGCTCTTCGAGACATTGACCGAAATCTTCATTCTCACGGTCATTAAGCACCGTTGTGTTCCTTCGCACTGAGACGATCTTCAAGACTATTCTCTGATCATCTCGATCCCCAGTTTCCTTGGCAATTCTGGAAAGTTTCTTTATCAGATATCCCTCTGACAGCAACCTCTTGACTATGCGCTGTGTTGTGAGGAGATGGCTGCAAAACATGCGCAGCATCAAAATCATCGACAGGAAACATCTGTATTGGGCCAGATTAGGCTGGCCCGAACGTGCACAACCTGCATTAACGTCAGATATTTTTCGCTCAATAATCAGAGGGGGTGGGTGGCTCAAAAGAAAACACCTCGCGTACCGTTAATGTTTTCTATGAACAACTCTGATATCGCGTTGTAGAGTTCTCTTTCGATACTGCAAAATTTCACTCGGACTGTTATTTCGCCGACATCAGGTAGCTTGATAACTGGCAATGAGAAGAGCCGGCTTTTGTGGGTCCGACGAAACAAGAAAGATCGCAGCAAATTCACGAGACGTCCATGGCCATGCTCGTCCTATAGTAGAATATTAGCAAATGTTGATTGATAAGGGTGGATTGCTGAATGACGCACACTACAAAAGCTTTTCATGAAGTGACCTACGTCCCCAATTCGTGGAACACTAAGAAAGTCGAAAAGTGGATATAATTCTTCCAGATAGCTTCGAACATTATATTAGCAAATGTCTCATGTCGGAAGCCAGATAGCCTCACTTGTGCACCGGAGTACCACTTATAATCCACTTATAATGGCCGGTCAGAGCGCGAACAGCAATGGATACTGACGAAAGGTGATTTTTAATGATGTGGCCCTCTGCAGGTTGACGGTCAGTTTGGATTACTGCCATGAAATCAGAGAGAATCCTTTTTACCGTCAAGGATAATCCGGTGGAACTTGATTTGATGTAGTGGGCCAACTTCCGTCTCGTAAGATTCATCCCACCACTCCTTGATCTTGTCGTCGCTCATCGCATTGTCTGGAACTTTTATCCGTGGATAGGACCTCCTGACCTCATCGTAGGTTGTGATTCTGGAAGCTGTGTTAGCACGCAGTATTTTCAAATCATAAACAATTGCTAGTTACATACATAACGTCATATCTCTCAAGACTCCCCACTGTATCGAGAGTCTCCAGTCGCGAATTCGCTTTGTATATGAGGACTTCTCCTATAGCCTTTCTGTCGCAATGTTTTGTAATTTGGACTTTCCTGTACAAATGAGACAGGGATTGAGCAAACAGCGTTGGGTAAGCATACCAGTGAGTGACTAGTTGTGAGGGAACAATAATGAGCGTTGTTCTCACAGGGTCCTCCGGATCAGGTGGCTTTCCATCTACAATATTTGCTAGAGCCAGGTTAGAGACACTATTTATTTCCCTGTGTGCACTTACCAAGGGCTTGGATTGTTTTCCCGAACCCCATTATATCACTTAATAGTCCACCAAAAGGTCCCTCTGGTGAGTTCTCGCGGTCACGCTGCTTCATTTAGCTGCGAGGCTCTTCCGAATCTCAATATGCACGTTGCTTACCATGAAAGCTGCCCCTAAGAGCTACTCTATCCGTTAGCTTCCATCATGGATACTGGGTCATCAAGTCACGGACCTGATAATGATACAAGCTTGTATTGAGGCCCTTGAGCTTCCATCCAAGTTTTCCATCACTCCTTGCAGGGCTTGTGAACTTCTTAGTTGCTATGAGGACCTTCTTCTTGTCGGATTTAGCCTCGTCTTGATCCGCACTAGGAATGCTAGCAACAAGTCTTGTGAGTGCTTTCATCTTATCCTTGTCAACGGAATCAGGTATCGCGGCCAGTGAAGCATTTTCATGGGCGTCTGGGATAACCGTTGATGCAAGAAGGGCTTCTAGATACTGCTTTGCTTCTAAGTTCACTCGGTTCGACCTTTTCTTGGGCGTGGGTTTAAAGTCAAAGCCTTCTGCCTTGCGTTTTCGAGATCTCTTCGGGGGCAGCTCCCTTTTCGTCTTACTCCCAAGAGCAAAGTCCAGACCAAATGACTTGCTTTTTCTTTTTTCCTCAGCCGAGATCCTGTTACTCCGTCTTATCTTTGGCCGAGGCTTGTCATTAAGCTTATCAGAGCTTCCGGTTTCTTGCTCAGCGGGAGGCTGCCTGGAAGTGGAGGCATCTGGCTCGTCCAAGTCGGAGTAGCTGAATTCGACCTGTTTCTCCAAAGCCTTTCTGTTGTCGACCCTAATCTTGCGGGCATGTTCCTGTTGTTTTGCTGCTTCGTAGCATATCTCATCTTTTATGGATACTTTATCAAGTCCCTTGTACCAGCGCTCAACAGCATGGAACCTGGGGTGGTTAGCTAGCATCACACCGATGTGAACTAACCTCAGACTTACATTGCTTTTGACATGTCCGCTCGTGCGCTTCTTTCGAGTTCCTCTTCAGGCCACTCTGGGGGGCATTCTTGGTCTTCAGTGTCATCTGGAATTCCGGGAAATTGACTGCAGGAGTTTCTTCATCCCCAATGGATGAAGATGAAGATGATATTGACTGAACCGAAGGAGATCTAGACGGTCCTTGGTTTTCACCATCATTGACGAGGACCGTTACTCTTCCCTTTCCCGTTTGCGATGCGTTGGGATCTGGGTGAGGTAGGCCTTGCGACGGCGATTGGATAGGGAACGTTTCATTGAAGTCCTGGAGCATAAGGGCCATTTGTTGATCAGTCAGAGACGGTAGTTCATCTGAGAGGGGCTGATTCAAGGTCAGATAGTCTGATCCAGGAACAAACAAGCCATCCTCGCCATTTATATGCGCCGCGGTTGCTTGATTATTCTCCGGTAAAGGTACTACGGGTGATGAGGTCTCAATATGTTCTCCTAATAGCAGTCAGTGAGCATTACCCGTAAAGGCCGTTGGCTATTTGCATATGGGATCTCAGTTTGGTTCATCTGAAGAGCCAGGCGACTCAATGCGAATGCCTCTTTGTGTCCTGTAGCCTCTCTGCGCTGATTAATTGAATCTAAAAGCATTTCGCCCACGTCTAAGCTGTCTAGTTCGAGGGAAGATTCTCGCCTATGATGCACCTGTACGTCCAAAGGGGTTGTGGTCTGATTCACAGGTCCCTCTAGCGGCCCCGTAGTCTCACGAGGGGTTTCCATGGTCGATAAACTGTTCGCGTAAGGAGGATCAAAGCTACCTGAGAAAGAAAAGCCTGGTGTAGAGGGATACAGAAAGGGTGGCTGTTAGTTAGGAAGGAAGGGGCAAAGGAATATCGATGGAGAGTATAGAGAGAGTAGGAGAGAAGAGGAAGACGAGAGAAGAGAGGAAAGGGAAGTAACGGGTTATATAGTGGCAGGAGGAGAGAAAAGGAAGAGGAAGCAGGGAAGGAGGAAGAGATTTATATAGTTGCAGGAGGCAGGAGGGCAGGTGAGAGGAAGTGAAGTGAAGTTCGGAGAGGCTGAAGGTGATATGGAGGTGAGAAAAGTGAGAAAAATGAGGAATTGAATTAGGGGTGATAAGTAGATGAAGACAAGGAAAGAAGTATGAACCTAGTCCACTTCAGAGGTAAGAGTACGGTAAGATGCGTGTCATTAGAAGAGGAGTTGAAGGTAAGATGTTGTCTATATAGAAGTAAAAGAGCAAGGTAATACGAGGCAAGGCAAGATCAAAAGAAGGCAAAAACGAGAGGATGATGAAGTTGTTTATATAAGTCAAAGGGGAAGAAAGAAGGGAAAGAGAAAAGCGAGGCGATAGAAAGTAGCACACCTCAGAGAGGTAAGAAGAGTACGATAAGGAACTGGTATATGTGTAGCAAGCAGTTAGCAGTGCCTTTGGTGGTGTTTTGGTGTTTCGTGACGATGTAGATACTCAGTTCAATGGGTATCTGGCCAGTCATTATTAGTAGAGTAGATGAGAGTCAAGTCAGGCTAGGTTGATGGTAACGGTGAAAGTATTGTATGATGAAGAGTATAGACCGTCGCAGTTCACCAGGATGCATTGATTCGCTAGACATAACACCAATGAAAACAGTCTGATCTTCCGATGCTCTGAGGCCTTCAGTTCGATACTGTCCTGCAAAGCGCTTTTATATCGTCGCCGCTAGCCGTTGCATCAAATAATCACCCGCAGTGATACCAGGGTACTTGGCAGGATGGGTTTCCTCCTCATAAGTCCCAGGAATGGCTTCAATAAACTGATTCCTATTAGGGTTGCAAAAGTACGCAATGCTGTATCGATCGGGGTAGACATCGGAATCATTCTCTTCCTGTCCGGCTGCCGTCGGTGGCTCGACAACCCGGTGTCGGGTGCTTTTGATTATATCGTTGGACCATCGAGCCAGCAAATCGCCAGCATTCACAACCACCGTGTCCGCAATGGGTGTCGCATCCACGAAAGTACCCTTGGGGCTGCGAACTTGCAGTCCTCCACGACTATCTTGGAAAAGCAGTGTGATGGAACCATAATCACTATGTTCCCCGGCTCGGACCTGTCCCGAATTTTGCTTGAAGATATCCTTGGGGACGGAGGGGTAATGGAGCAAGCGAAGGTTGTTATCACCTGCATCCACGTATGCATCGAAGAAATGCTCGGGCAAATTCATCCCCAGTGCAATAGCCCGCATGACCTCCATATGTAGAGACTTGCACATGTCGAAGAACGACAGCATCACCTCTTTGAAGTCTTTCCCCTCATCATCAAGGTGGTCCGGCCACCGATTAGGAAGATTGTCTTCACCTTCCCGACCAATCTCCATGGTCTCCTTCAGGTCGGGTGTGGCTCGAGAAGCCCCCTCGACGTCATCGGGCATGCTTAGCTTCTCTTGCCCAGTCTTGACGTAACCACGGTTCGACTGTGGGGAAGTCCAGCACAGACCATCTTTTTGATCCTGGGGTCGATTGAAGAAGCGGGCAGAGGAGCCGAATACGCGGGAAACCACAGATGGTGGAACACCATGGTCTTTGAGATAGAGGAAGCCGGATGATTTGAAGGCGTCTACGATGGACATGGCGACCTCATGCTTATCGGCGGGGGTACCGTTAAGGAAGGGCCCGAAATCGATGATCTACACACAGACGAGAAGTCAGGATTAAGTAAAGGGGCAAGACAAGATGCAGGCACTCGAAGTGGGAGGTAGGACGAGAAACGGTCCCCAGAAATACTCACTGGGATGACCAGGTCATCCTTGTCCACGGCTGTGGAAGCAGGATGGCACTGCTGTTGGGGCAGATTGCCTTCCATTGCAACGATTCACGTTATTCCCGAGACGAAGAAGATGGTAGCAAAGACAAGAACGACCGACGCAGTGAGTCGGATGCAGGAGATTAATAGCTCCTGAGATGGGGGGCGATAGACTTCAGGGAAACGAGATGGCGCAAGGGCGGGGAATGCAGTCGAGGGACGTGAGATCACTTATCGGCGATGAACCAGGGATGAAGCTGGGGCAAGACCGTATCAATTGGCAGATGGTTCTGGGTCCGTGATAAGGCCAGACAATCAATCGCGGGGCAGGGGCAAGAAATCCAGATACGGCGTAGAAGATTGAAGATATGGCAATCTGGGGAGGGATTCTCTTATCAGGCCACAGTAGTTCGTCCGTCCCCTCGCTAAATTCACCCGGCTGAGTCGGGGTGACTATCACCCAGATATCCGATATCCCCTTGAAGATTATGGTCGGATCCTGTAGAAGATAACAGATTAAGCTGCTTATCGCGGTGGAGAGAGCGACAGGCTCGACTGCAACTGATCCCTGATAAGTTATCCTCCATGCATTCATTCCACATGGCGCTTACCCCTCATTTGCATCTGCTAGTCAGAGGTCAACCCAACATAAACAATCGACCCCTCCTTCCCTTGACCATTCCTCACCTGCAATCCAACCGCCAAAATGGCGCCTCTAATCGTTGACATCCATACTCATGTCTACCCCCCTTCTTATATGCAGATGCTTCGCGCGCGCAAAACCGTCCCCTATGTTCATGACCCAGCCAACAATGCAACCCCTCGTCTCATAATTCTCTCATCCGACGATGACCCGTCTATTCCCATCGACGAGCGCGGTCGCCCCGTGGATTCTTCTTACTCAGACATCAACGTGAAACTGGAGTTCATGCGACGCCACGGAATCAACTCAAGCGTCATCTCGTTAGCGAATCCCTGGCTAGATTTCCTCGAACCCGAAGAAGCGCAGACATGGGCGGAGCGCATAAACGACGACCTTGAGACAACCTGTGCGCGAGTGAACAACGAAGCAGATCCAGACCGGACCAAGGCACTTCACGAGAAGGAGACATTGTTTGCTTTCGGGGCACTTCCACTCAGTGCCCCGAGTCCTGATATTGTCGTCAACGAGATCAAAAGGCTGAAGACATTGCCACATTTGCGAGGAGTGATTATGGGAACAACGGGACTTGGCAAAGGCTTGGATGATAATCGGCTGGATCCGGTCTGGGAGGCATTACAGGACACAGGATCGATGTTGTTTCTACACCCGCACTACGGGCTACCGGATGAAGCGTTTGGTGGTCCAGAGGTGATTAGCCGCTACGGTCATGTCCTTCCCCTGGCTCTAGGATTCCCGCTCGAGACAACCATTGCAGTAACGCGAATGTTTTTGGCCGGTGTATTCGACCGCTTTCCGCGGCTGAAGATCCTGTTGGCTCATTCCGGAGGCACGCTTCCCTTCCTTGCTGGTCGAATTGAGAGCTGCATTCTCCACGAACGCAAGTTTATCGCCAATGGGGGTGATGTGCCAGGCCCGCAACGGAGTGTGTGGGATGTTTTGAACACCAATATCTACCTGGACGCTGTCGTGTACGGCACTGCTGGGTTGAAAGCAGCAGTTACGGCAGCGGGCGGAGCTGATCGTCTTCTTTTTGGTATGCTGTCCCAATATGGTTCTATAGTATTTTATCATTAACTTGACTATAGGGACCGATCATCCGTTCTTCCCTCCCCTGGGTGAGGACGACAAGGAATGGCCTAGTGTGACGACCAATTACAAGGCAATCCATGCCGCATTTGACACTGACGGAGACGCTACTGCGGGCGTCTTGGGTGGCAACGCGGCACGTATCCTAGATCTAAAATAGGCTTCAAAATAAGGATGCTATCAAATTTAACGACGCGACTAACATCTTTCCCTTATGGTCTCACGTATCAGCGAGACTATACGGCTCACATCCACGTAACATCTGACCACCGCCATTAAGACCAGTAGTGGCATACAGACACAGATTTGCTAGGGTCAAAACAGGGCCGAAATGATAAGCCCTAGATCTTTGAAGAGTTGCTCGTAGCTAGCATCTCCCAGCCTAGGAGCCTCCAAACCTCTTGTACAAACCAGTCCGGTACCGATTGCTCAGGGATCTGTAAGCAAGAGCGCAATTTCTCCAGGTCCGCGTCATCAGGCTGAACAGGCCGTTGTAGAACATCTGGCCATAGAGAGTCTGTGCCGAAGACTGAGTGGAGGAGGGTGCTCTGTAGTCTTTCCTTAACCTTTGTGGTGAATTGTGTGCTTAAAGGATCATGACCAGGGACATCATCCAAGACGGTCAGAATCCGTTCTAAGGGCCAAATGAGGAATTTGGCCTCCATTGCCGCCGCATTTATCGAGTTCTCGTTCAAGTCTATCTCTTTCAGACCCTCTGGAAGTGGGAACTTGGCTTCATCTATCTGTAGGTCAGGCCGTAAACGTAGATCCTGGAAAACGAACAAACAGAGTAATGTTCCTATGCGATCAAGCAGAATGAGCAGAAAGCCTTCCAGGACATTCTGCTCACTTAAGCGGTTGGTGTCAAGCGAGAGCGCCATTTTACTCAGCAACAAGCTCATCTGGTTGGCTAATTCGTAGTCGGGGTCTTTCTGCACATCGCTGGAGCAACCTGTTTTGGTCCGTTTGGGCTTCGCCTTTTGTCTCTGGCGGGATGTTTGGGCACCTGTTTTAGTATCTTGAAGTGACTTTTCGGACTTGGACTTGCAATGCCGGTCTAGAACTTCAATGATAACCTCATATAGGCGAACTATGTGATAAGTGACATGTCCGACATCTTGCATGGCCCGCCCAGTTGTAGACAACTTCCTCAAGGCTTGGACTAGAAGCCTGAAGGCGCACTCTGTGCTGTTTAAAATAGCTAATATATTTGGCCTTTTAGGCTGGGTTAGATTCTTGGTCGATGCTCGAGACTCTGTCGGTTGTTTGATTGCACTGCGCACATTTCCGACGGCGGTACTGCACAACTCGATAGCTGCTCTGATAATACTTGAGTTATTTGGTCGCTTTTGTAGGACTTTCTGAAGTGTATAGAACTGTCTCATGAAAGGTGCGGTGACTAAATGAAGGTCCTGTCAGCAAAGCCTCATCGGTCAAGGCGACAGGGATAGCAAACATTGCTCGGGGAATTGTAGGTGGTCAATAGCACCGCCACCGAGTCCATCAGAAACATTATTGGCAAGCATCAAAGAATCTGTCTGCGGGAAAATCTGTGTCTTTGCTCTCTTTCGTATCGGGGCATCATTCCCAGAAGCCACGCTCTTCCCGGTGACCTTGCGTTTCAGAGTCCCTTCTTCGCCGGTGACGCCCGTACCTTGTAGCCGTGCGAGAAGTGACTCGTTACGCTGTTCCAACTCGAATATTCGTTCCAATAATTTGCTCTGCTCGGCTTCAGACTGCTCATATGCTTGTTGCCAGAAGGAGACACTGTCGAGGTATTTGTCATGGGTATAGAATCTATCAGTCCGATGTGTGGTTCCAATGTGGCGTCGAATCTGCAATAGGTGTTCTAGACCTCAATTAATATGCGTATCTGTCTCAGAGGAAGCCAACGCGGTTATGCCTTTGATATCCAGGCCCACTGGCTTCAGCTTGACAATGGCCATTGCTAGAGCTAGCTGGGAAGGCGAGGGTATCGGGGTTCTTTCCATCGTGTGTAAGAAATCCTATGCGGGGGATGGCGGATGAAATGACATCCTGTATCGAGACATTGGAAAGATGAGTTGATGGGTTGATGATCTCTTCTCCCATGTGGGCCACGTGCCTGATATGGAAAGTACAAGTCGCGACCTTCTGCATCTGGCATTCTCTCTCAGCAACCACGTGTGATACTTCAGTATCTAAAAATACTACTTTTCACTCGAAACGATCTTGAGTGTGTGTTTAATAGTTACCAATTCGATTATGGTGCATGCTAAGGACATGAAGTCCTTGGCGTATCAACAACGTACTATGATGCTACGCTTGGATATATATTTCCAATGTAGGAAGCCAACATCAGGCTTTATCCTTATTTAAAAGGGATTCGTGCCATTTGAAAATATATCTTATACAGCTTATTGATACCAATCTGAACTGTCTAAATAGACACCGGGAATTAATTGGTCGCGCTGTTGATAGCGATAGGCGTGGATGGATAGTGGGTAACTTATCCCGAACCAGTTCCGCCACCGACAGACCCTCCGCCAAGACCGAGGTGAAGCTTCATCTTCCTATGCTAACGGTTTCTTTTCTCTTTCACACCCTCGACTCCAGACCTTCAGGTGGAGTGTCGCACGCTATTCAAAAATCACGACAACCTCTTACCCTGATATTTGAAGGGAACGCCATACCTAATCTCTAAATAAGGACGCGACAGCCAACGTCTTGAAGGCGGATCACCATGGCTTCGAACGACGACCTCAAGGCCCACGCGGCCTCCACTGAAGACTTCTACGCCCTCCTCGACATCTCACCTGCGGCCGCAGAATCCGAAATTCGCCGCGCGTACCGTCGAACAGCTCTGAAATACCACCCGGATAAAATCGCGAACCCGACTCCTGCAGATATCGACAAGTTCCACGTCCTCCAAATCGCCTACGATGTGTTATCCGATCCTTCGGTGCGACAGCTCTACGATAATGCGCGTGAGGCGCGCGAGCGCAAGAAGCGCGAACGGGATATGATGGATGCGGCGAAGAGGAAGATGAGGGAAGACCTGGAGGCCAGGGAGCGCGCTGGTGCTGCGGCTATGGGTGGCACGGCGCAACGGGGCGTGAAACGGCCGTGGATGGGCGCCGATGCCGGTGGCGATGATGCCGAAGCCAAGCTGCAGAGAGAGATCGATCGGATTGCAGAGGATGGACGGCGACGACGACGCGAGGCGGAGGAACGTTTGAAACAGGAAATGGAAGAGGAAGAGAAGTTGATGCGTCAGGAGGAAGAGGAGGCACAACGCGCGGCAGACAGGAGCAGCCAGAAAGTCGATCGCTCGAAAGAAGGCGGTGCAAACGTCCCAGAATTAGAACGAGGTGTAAAGGTGCGTTGGGTGCGTGAAGGACGGGGTGCGGACCTGGACAAAGATCGGTTGATGTCGCTGTTTGCTTCATTCGGCAAGATCGAAAACGTCTTGCTTCTCAAGGATAAGCGACAACGTCTCGGGGATAGCCGCGAGAAGAAGACGATAGCGACAGGAGTGGTGATATTCGCTTCCATCGTCAGTGCCCACTCTGCTGTCCTGGATAGTGAGAAGAGGATCCGTCAGAGTGCTCAAGCAGACAGCGACTGGTCTGCTATCGAATCGGTCTTCTGGGCATCAGGTAACCAACCCGATCTGGGCGCCGAAGCCAACGGTCACTCTGCCTCCACATCATCCGAAGAGAGCACTGCATCCAAATCCCAAGGGCCAGCTCCTTCAGCCGCCCCATCAAAACCATCCTTCAACTTCCCGGGTCTCAAGTCAGCATCGTCTGGTGCTGCCGGTAAACAACCTGGAAAAGCCCCATCCTTCGGATCCTTTGCTTCCGCAGCAGCAAAGTCAACAAAACCCGCGCCTGCTGGCTCGACCAATGGCTCGGGTACCCTCAGCTTGGAAGAAGTGACGTTAATGCGATTGAAGAACGCACAGCGAGAGAAGGAACGCAAGGCCCTCGAAGAACAGCTCAGAAAGGAAGACGAGGCTGCAGATGCCGCGGAGGCTGCCGCGGCCGAAGCCAAGGTATGATTGACATCGTGTGTACATTTGAGGAGTTTTGGTCGGACGACGTCAATGAAAAGCACCAGGTGTTGTGTCATGTATTCATAGACAATTTTATAGCATAGATACCCTCGCATTCATATCACTCATTCACATTGCATCTATACAGGTCCATTTTGAGATATTGTACATTTGTTCTATGATACACTTTATATAAACAATTAATCATTCCGTCGTGACGTTTCCTCTTCTTCCTCCAATTCCTCATACAGTTCCCTAGCCCGCTGGCTGTCCATTTCATGGTTACGACCCTGATTCTTCTTCACCCCACCATTATAAATATGCTCCCTTGTCCAAGGCGGAACAATAGCCTTGATCTTCACCTCCCCAGACTCAGACGACCCATCTTCGGCCCCAGTCCACGAAACCTTGAACTCCTGATCAGGACTATACTGCGTAGGCTCCCCAGTCAAAGCAACATCCGTCATCATCTCCAACCGACACAACGCAAGCCCGATATTCCCAACCCCACCCAAGAACTTCCCTGTACTGCGGCCCTTGCGCGCGCTGACCTTCGAAATATTCGACCCAGATGGCGGCAAGCCGATCTCCACAGAGGGATCATACACGGGCGTATCCGCCGACGCAACACCATCCTGACGGACTCCCTCAGACAAATGAACCGGCAATATCCTCTTCCTCACAACCCCCGTATGATGAGTCCGAATGGTAAGTTCCTGACCAACGTAGCAGCCCTTGCGGAAATCAATGCCTTGCATCATATCCATGTTACATTCCAACGGAAGTGACGATTCGCGAATAATCTCTGACTGTCCCTCCGCCACACCATGAAGCATTCGTCGCACGGTATAGGTTCCTAGTCCGACCTCGGAGCCAGAAACCTCTCCTTCCTCCGCGAGATGTGTCCTGAGATCTTCCGCCCCGGGCGTCACTAGTCGGGACCCGAACCCCGGTGCTCGGGTATCAACACAGCCGGTGACTGTTGTCGAGGACGAGGCGAAAGGGGATAAGGACTGCGAGTCGAGATTATATGCTGCCCATCGAGGCTCGCTGTGATCTTTCCAGGAGGCCCATACGGTGCGTTCGCCGTCGTCGAGAGCACGTAGTTTGAGTTTCGCGCGGAGTTTGTGTTTCTTGAGATGTTTCATGAGACTTGTGACTTCGTTCTTGTCCACTTCAACTAGCCATGCGAGTTCGTCTGGTGATGTGCCCTCTGCTTGGGGGAGAGGGTAGATGAAGGCATCGTTGAGGATGCGGCCTTGGGAGTTTAGGAAGGCAGTGTAGGATCCGGTTCGACGGGTTGCGCGGTTCGGGTCGTTGGTCACGAGCATGTTCTGGGTGATGAGGCCTTGGAGGAAGGAGGTGCTATCTATGCCTGTGATGGAGATTAATCCCCGGTTTGTGAGACGAGCATACCCGGTTGCTGGCGGGGAGGGTGGGTTGGTGGTGCTGGATTGTTGGGAGCGGCGCTGGATGGTTGTGGAGAAGTATCGCCCGCGGTTGAGACATTGCGCACATACTGTGCGTGTAGATGGGCTGGAACGCATCATTTTGTGAGATGACGCTGGAATGGATTCTGCGTAACGTTTACAAATCCGAGGCCCATGACATCGTTTCAAGGGCGGTGGTGTGGGGCAGAATACCCGACATGACATAATCAGAAGTGACGGGTTTACGAGCTAGTCGAAAAGGGAATAGGATCTAGTAGGCACAGTAGGGATAACATTCAATTGAGTTCAGGATTATGAAATGGCCCGCCGCTGATTTGTTTGGTGACCAATATGGGACGGCGCGGACTATCAAGCAAAATAGAGGGGGTTACTTCTGCCCTTTGGCAACTCCTTCCAGGAACCCAAGCAGGAAAGCCTTGTTGACAGGCGATGAGACTGAGAGAGGTTTGGACGTCGGACTATCCTTTTGGCCAAGGGTTCCCTGCCCCCCTGAAGGAATGGTGGGAAGATTAAGCGGCGAGAGTGGGCTAACAATGGAGGAAGCCTCCGAAGGCTTTGGAATAGACGCGCTGAGTTCCGCAGGTGAAATACTTGGGGAGGAAGATGGCTTGCCAAAGAGGGATAGAAGCATCTCTTTTTGCGCAACCGTTTGACTTGGTCGACGATCGAAGTTGGGCTGAGGCTGCGACTGCTGCGGGGAGCTAGTCGCGCGTGTAGGGTCCTGCTGGTCTTGATTCTCATTGAGTTTCGTTCGGATAGGCAAAAGGTCGATGGCATTCGGGTTGTCGGAGCGACGTAAAATTTGCGGCTGGAACGGTTTCGGTGGTTCGGGAGTACTGGGCTTCGCGGGTCGCGTCCGAGAAGAAGGACGAGAGGTTTGCGAAGATGTGCGCACCGGGGGTTGTTCTTTCTTCACAGTTTGTGGTCTGGACAAGATTGTTATTGGGGACGCAAGAGCCTGGGCCTGCTCATTTCTGTTGGCCTTGCGCGCCGACACATTCTGCGCCTTTCTACCCGATGGTTTCGGTGCTCCAGATTGCGGTATATTTGCTGAGGGGCCAGATGCTGGTGCAGACGCCCATGGGTTTGCCGCCGGCCAAGTCACATGCTGATTTGTACCAGTGTGACGTGCAGGGCTCTCGCCACGGGCTCGCTGCAGGATTTTTTTCCTAGCGGGAGAGACTGGTTGGGCCGATAGTTCGACCGGTCCTGGGCTAGCAGGAGCGGGTGACCCTCTCAGTAAGCTAAGGAGCTGATCCTGGTGCTGTGATGGTTTTCGTTCCTTCGTTTGCGCCGTCTCAGACTGTGACACCAGGGTCGCCTTGGGTGTTTTGGGTGTTTTGATAGATTCGTCCTTGAAAACACTCAACAGAGCCAGGGAATGGCTGGTAAGCTTCGGTGGAGGCAGATTGCTTGCTGGTGGTACTGTTGCCCCCCGAACTTGAGAAGGTTGACGACCAGAGTGCGAAAATTGGGGGTCGCCTGTTTTCTGATAGGGGGCCGGACCAATCGCTTGATTATGCGGTGTAGGAGGGAAGCCTGACACTAAAGCTCTGTCCGTATACGAGTCCGGCGGAAGTTGCTGTTGAGAGGAGAACGCCCCGTAATAATTGGCAGATGGCCCTGGATGAGCAGCCGAAAGAGGTACTTGGTTCAGTGGGCCGCGAGGCATTGCATTGACGATGGAAGGCGGCAGGTGCGCTCCAGGTTCATGACGGGGCTGTTGATATTGCGGCAAGCTTGCAGGTAGGCCACCATGAGGGCCTTGCTGAGGGAAGCCTGGAAAGAAGCCAGGAGCGGGATAAGGTCGACCACCTGCTAGAGGAGCCGGCGGCGAATTCTGCTCGGCCTCGGGAACCTGGTGAACAGATTCGCGAGATGAACCGGCCCTCAGAAGATCCAAGAGGGCATTTGACTTCGAGGCATTAGCCCCAGGGTCCTGCAAAGGTGTAACAGACGGTGGAATGATCTGTGAAGGCAGGCCATTATTGATGTTCAAGAGACGCTTTAGATGAGCGGAGGCGTCCTGGGATGAAGCAACCTCAGGCAAATCACTTGGCACAGGCATCTCCGCAGCGACCTGGTTTGGCGTGAAGCTGTGCATGGCATGAGACGCTTCATCGATTGACATCTCGGCATCACTTGGCATGGGTAGCTTCGGAGCCCCTTGGACCTTTCCTTCAAGTTTCTTCTGTTGGGCAATCCATTTCTTGAGCGGGTACATGAAAGGAGCAACCATATAGAATTTGTTCGCATTAGCGACAACGAAGCCTTGGTCCTGCTGCTTGCTCTTCTTCAAGGTCGGCAGTTCCGACAGCTTGTACCACTCTATCTTGCTGATCTCCTTGCGGGTACGCGGCTCGAAATGAGCGTCCTGTGGCACGCCACGGAAAACGTACAACCGCATATGCTGCTCTCGCATGGTGATCTCGATGAACTTGACGTCATTCTCGTCTTTGACTAGTCCGGCTTCTCGAACGTCATAACCGGTCTCTTCATACACCTCCCGAATGGCACAGTCGATGTCTTTTTCATCTTTATTGATTTTGCCTCGTGGGAAACTCCAGTTGGCGCCCTTCTTCCAGCCTTTAACCAGGACTACCTCATCCATGTCTTGGTTGAGCATAATGGCACCGCGCACGGGTACCCGGGTTTTGTAGGCCAAGAATTCGGAAAACGCAGTGATGTGATGGTAGTGGGACCATTGAGACATCAGTGGACAATGCTGGAAGATGCGCAGGGCGAAGGCTTTGAGAGACAACGACGGAAGCGCCGGGTCCAACGGTCGAATGAAGTCCTCGTAGAACCATTGTGCTTCCTCAACCTGAAAACAAATGCGTTCAACAGATTCAAGCTCTTCTCGAGGTAAGTTGATGATGAAGCGGACACACAGATCATCCAGCCCTGCCCGAAGCCATCGTGGTTAGCATTGCCGAGGTCATCGTAGCCATCCGGGTGGGAGGGATGGGTAGGGAAGATGATAAGGCCAGACTTACAGTCTTCCAACTGCATCTTTATTTCTGTCATACTGGACAACGTGCTCTAGCATTTCAACAGAGGGGAGGGCAGGTGAGGAGCTCCCCGAGCGATAAGCGGAGAGAGCGCGAGCGAGAGCGAACGGTGACTGAGGGGACAGCACAGCGCGCCGCTGCAGCTTCAAGGAAGGGTGCTTGGCGAAGCGCCAACCCTGAAGCGTACTTTTGCGAGAGAGCTAAAGAGGCAGGGATGAGAGCAAACCAATGGGTGGTCAACCTGGAGGCAAGTGAAGACGCGCTGATAGGTGGGTAGGGATTGGAGTGAGTGTGGCTCTTCTGGTTGATACCCGACGGCCTAACAATGGAGGTAGGCTAAGGGAGCTGCCGATGACTCTCGCTCGGTTCAGGTGGTTGTTGGGGAGCCCGGGCCAGCCGCGCCACAGTCCGCTGTGGCGCTGTGGCTAGTGCTGGTCATCGCCGTTACGTAACTGGTGGCGCCGGAACAATGACGTCGCCGCGCGGCTGGTGTTCCAGATATTCAGGTCATTGTCGACGTTGTCGTCCATGACTGGCTGTCGAACACAATTATCCCAAGGCTTAAAACCGCCGGACCCCCTTTTCCCTTGTCGTCCAGCGGCTACATCTCCAAGTTCTTTGCAGAAAACTGTCGCACTTACATACGCCTCCTGCTGAATGCTTGGCGGTTAAATAGGAGCCGAGCGCCCCTCCTGGAAGTCGACACTGACAGACCCAAAGAACCCCAACACTGCCTTTCAATTTCTTCCTGGCCTACTTTTGCCTATCATCTCGAACCTGCCAAGTGAGAAGACATGTCGGCGCAACTTGCATCCCTAGTGGGCAAGAAGATCCTCGGAGAAACCGCACGGAACCATTTTGGAAAAGAGGTAAAGCCCTTTTTATTCTCTGAACGGTACTACGGTCGGAGCCTATGGACTAAGACACTTCATCTGGGTGTAGGACCCTTATTTTGAAGAAGTCCCCGCCTCACGCTTGAACCGCGCCTTCGGAAAGAAGACACAGAAGCGGCGTAAAGCAATACCGCCTGGTTTATCGGAGAATGACAGCAAAGTCCTGACCCAAGTCAAAAGAAGGGCGTATCGGCTAGACTTGTGTTTATTCAGTCTGTGCGGAATTCGCTTTGGATGGGGAAGTGTTATTGGCTTATTCCCTTTGTAAGTCGCAATCCCCGCATATGCACCCCGATGAGGAACTTATGCAGCCACCCAAAATAGTATCGGTGATGGAGCGGATGCTGCACTAGCCTTGATGGTGGTGCACACCTGCGATAAGATCGACGGAGGCCTCCCGTCGCGGCTCCGGATGATGATGCTCATGAATATTGTCATCGACTTTTTCATCGGCCTGGTCCCTTTCATAGGTGACGTTGCCGATGCTGTGTACAAGTGCAACACGCGGAATGCTGTTCTCCTGGAGAAACATTTGCGGGAAAAGGGGGCCAAGGCACTTGGGAGACAGGAGAGGAGGCAAGGAGCGGATATGAGTTTACCGGATGAGTTCGACCGGTATGATGAGGATTCATCGGGTGAGCCATCTAGCCACAAAGGCCAGCCGCATAGTCGGAACACTGATGGGCCAGCGAAGCCTCAAGCAGCACGGCATCCAAAGAGAAACCGGTCGCAAGGCCGGTGGTTCGGCGGAGGAGGTCATCGGGAGGAGGACCTGGAGAGGGGAGTGGTGGATAATGCACAGTCAACTAGGCGGACAAGATAATGCTGTACATAAATTAACAGAACATCCAGTGCGCTTTTGTCTGAGAATGAATCTAGCAGTTCAATTCTGGCCGGGACCGAGCACAGGCGTAACAAAATTGACGCTGCTCATCTCCCTTCGTAATCTCTCCATTCCTAGTTATATAAGCTCCACAGAAGTCGCACTGTGGCCCACCAACAGAGGTACCGGACGACTGGAGCTTGCTGGCGGTTCTTGTCACGTTCAACATGACACCAGGATATTTTTCACCCTGAGTACTGACATAACGTATCATCAGCTCGTCAATCGACAGATTCTTCGTAAGCGTATTTTCTGAGGGAGGCTCATCATGAAGGACGATGCCAGAAAGTTCCGGAAAGAGGCTGGCGTAGGTCTGTGTTTCTACGGTGAACACGTCCCGGAGGGGAAAGTTGAATTCCAAACCAAAAGGAGACATCCCATCGCACACCTGCCACGTTACTGCAGAACCACGTCCTTTCGCAACGTTGGCAAGAGTCTTGGCAGCGAGCTTGCTATCCGAGTCACCCCACACTATGCCCCGACATTCCATCTTCTTCGCGAAAGCGACGATGAGCTTGTTCAACAGGATACGATCGACATCTGATTTGGACGTGGCCGTCGTAATGGACCGACGGAAGGATGCGAGTCGCTCCTCGTTGGGTAGGCCCGTATCATCCGTAAAGCCCTCCCCGGCATACTGCGACATGATCTGTTGAACATCCGGATCGAGTTCGAAGATACTGTGGAAAGGCAGCTGGGTAAAGGAGCAGAGTGGGAAAGTCTTTTTCGCAAGTTCGAAGCCTTCGTCGTGTGAAGAAATGGAGGAGATAGTCGAAGGATCGACGACTAGGACAAGAATTTCGAAGCCCGCGGGGCCATGTTGCTTCGATCGTAGCACCTCGATTTGCTTATGTAGCATGTGCAGTAGCACGGTGGACGAGACGCCATATGAGAGGGGTAGCAACAATTTGCAGGGACCGGTCTTGGGCATATTCTTCCGCAGACGATAGGCCTCCATGCGTTTGAAGGGCTTGAGGCTCAAGAAGCGGATATAGCATTCTCTGCATGAGGGGTAACTGGTATCAGTATGGAGGAACGGCAGCGACATTGTGCACTTGGGATGGTGGAACATACTGGCACACGCAACGACCCCGCAGGGTGAAGGTTGGTGGCGCCTCATGGCAGTTCATGCAGCGATCAGGAAGCTCCTTTCCAGGCATCTTTGCGGTCGGGGATGAGAATGCAACAGGAGGCAAGAATGGATTGATAGTTCGCAGGCGGGATGCCGGTGGAGAGTGATTTTCGTCAGGCAGAATTTCTCGGCCGTGCCACTGGCAGGCCGGCACGGGCTTAGATAATAATTGGCGGGACCCCCGTCAACAACACGCGGCTTCCCCGGTTTCAGGCAGTTGTAGCCACGATTCGTGAGATCGTCGCAAACATCGCTCGGTCACCACGCATTCCACCACGCTCAAGTCTTGGAGCCCCTCCCTAGGAAGTCCCCTTCCTTGTCGACTTGGCCATCGTCCATCGCCTGGGCCTTCTTATGACCCCGGGTTGCCACTAAACCCTGCTCTCGGCGACTCCGGAGCTTTGTTCTACTCCCAGGAACCTACCGCTTAGCTCCTTTTCATGGTCAGAATGAGAGGCTGGCTTCGGACCCTCGGCTTCACTGCCCTGCTGGCAGGAAGTGTACTTGCAAATGAAGTTGAATTGGTGCGCAAATCTCTTGTCCTCGAACCCGTGGTCCGTGCCTAATTTTCCATGACTTCCAGACACAGGATGAAACCCATCGACAGCGATGTTCGGGAATGTACAGTCGCAAAGCTTGGGGCGGGAACGTAGATCCCTTCATTTTGACCAAATTCGTTCCGGTCGCTGAATCTGGGGACAGCGACCCCCTTGTCAGTCTCGTCATCTTCGAATGGAACGATGAGAACCTCATCGGCCGGCCCATACCCGGCGACTCCGGGGTACGTTTCCTTTGATGACAGCTATGTTGGGATACTTTAACTTACACATGGTGTCTTAGGAGAGGGAGACTATCTGCGATGAAGCTAGCGTGCAGGCAAACCTTTGCGAACAAGATCAGGTCGGCTCTTTCATCCTTGCCGCCAATGTGAGCGAGGCCGCCAGCTTCCCCATCATCACCAAAGCCGTCCATCTGAATGACCCTGCCGCTATCAACTACCCTATCAAAAAGACTGGATTCTACTGTGTGAGCACGTATGGATACTCCGGAGTGGACTACGAAGCTGTGATTGAGTTTCGGAACTCGTACGGTGAACTTCCAGCTGCGCAGATCGCAAAGCTGCCGTTCTACGGTGGCTTGACCATCGTCTACGCGGTGGTTGGCCTGTATGTGCCCATGATGTGATCCTTTGAAAATATGGCTAATTGGAGATAGGTTTTGGGCCTTTCTATACGTGCAGAACCGTCACGATATCTGTAAGCACGAGCTCGGGATATTCCATGTTCATTGACTGATTATCTGCAGTGCCCGTACAAAACTATATTACCGCAATCCTGGTGTTCTTGATTGTTGAGCAATTGATGACATGGGGTTTCTATGGTATGTTCAATGGTAGCATACTGGCAACACCGTGTTAATCCTTTTTCCAGATTATCAAAACCGGCACGGCTTGAATGGCGGCGCGAAGGCATTGATGGTGATTGTTGCTGTGCTCAATGCTGGACGAAATGCCTTCTCGTTCTTCCTGCTTTTGATTGTGTGCATGGGCTATGGTGTTGTCAAACCCTCGCTCGGTCGAACCATGATCTACGTCCGTGTTCTTGCCATCACTCACTTCATCTTCGCTGTGATCTACGCCGTTGCAAGTTTGTCGATTACTCCGGATAGCGCCGGCCCACTTGTCCTCCTCATCGTGCTTCCTCTCGCTGGTACGCTGACGGCCTTTTACGTGTGGACATTGAACTCTCTGAATGCGACGATGAAGGATCTTATCGACCGAAAGCAGAAGGTTAAAGCTTTGATGTACAAGAAGCTGTGGTGGTGCATCCTTGGTAGTATCATTGTGATCTTCGGTTTCTTCTTCATCAATTCCATTGCCTTTGCAGGACGCAGCGAGGCCAGCTTCGTACCCGAGCACTGGAAGTCTAGGTGGTTCGTGTTGGATGGCTGGCTGAACCTCGTGTACCTCTTCGATATCGGATTTGTCGCCTATCTGTGGCGACCTACTGCTAACAACAGACGGTTCGCAATGAGTGACGAAGTAAGTCCAATTGCAGTGAAGTCTACGCTTGGCCATCATGCTAACGGTTTTGCAGATTGCGCAAGACGACGACGGATTTGAAATCCGATCCTTCGCTAGCGCTCTGGATGAGGAGGACGCTCTGGGTGGTCCCGAGATACCTTCGGCTTCGGATCATCGCCGTGATCTGTCGCCTGTGCCTCCTAAGCCCGTCCCTGCGGCGCCGCGTCAAAGGGAGTCCCTGGACGGTGAGACAATTTTCGCTGTCGGCGAAGATGGTGACAAGTGGTCCGATGACGAGGACGAGTCGCCACGCAACTCGGGTGAACGGCAGCGACTTACGGGCAAGCATTAGACCCGGTGCAAGCCTACATGCCCTGTGTAGGGCATGTTACCTGAGATTTCAGAGCGAACCATGGTGCCTGCAATATCTGCTCTTATGCTGTTTTGATCGGACCAGGTTTCCCTGCTATTATTTCGGGGGAAAATTGGAAGTGTTGGTGTTCTTCTGCTGTGTTATTTGGCTTGCAGGCATATGATGGCGTTTGGCCTATGGTGTATTCCCGTCGTTGAACTTTCCTTGTACCTTTCACCTATTGCTTCTCACACGATGGAGGATGAGGTATCTCTTGTGTTCTATTCTGTATAGATTCTTACCGTATGTAGCTCCAACTATGAAGCGATGTTTTAATTTTCACGACACCAATCAGTCCTGTGACGTCCAGAGAATCTCCCATCATAACCTCCACAAACCTTCCACCAACTCTTGCCCCCGGCGTCGGAATGCTCTTAAGTCATAGCCCCAGCTCCTCCGGTGCCCTCCCGCACTAGTACCTAGCAGCCGAGAGCATGCGAACAATCACCTATCCGAGACATGGCGACCAGCGCCCAGCAGCGTCAACCATCCAATTTGCACGGCCTTAGTGGTCCGGCCATCAATCTGCTCGCCCATGACTCACAGAATTCCGCCAGCTTCCATCAATCTCTGTAACACGTAAACAAACATTACTCCCACTACTACTACCACTACCACCACCGCAACAACCTCTTCACTTCCAATTCTTCACACCCTTCCACCACACATACACATTCACGTACCTAAAAACCACGTGCACACGCGTACGCGCACGCGACAGTCCACCATGTCATTCAATAATCACACCCCCAACAACATCAACAACAACAACAACAACAACAACAACAACAACAACAACAACAACAACAACAACAACAACAACACCGAAACCACCAACCTATCCCCCTCCCTCCCCGCCGAAGAATCACCCGTCCAAATCAGCCGATCCCTCGCAACTTCTCTCGTGGCCAGATGCCAGGCTCTTCTTGCTGAGCTGGACGCGTTCCAGGCCCTTCTTGTGGAAACTCAACGCAATCCGCAGGTCGTGGAAGCGCGGTCGTTCAAATCGAACGTGTTGGCGGAGCTTCGTACGTTGGAGAAATTGGAGGCGCAGGTTAAGGAGATTTCTGTTGAGGGTGAGGGTGAGGATGATGGGGAGAGTGATGAGGCGGCGAGGAAATTAGTTCATGCGTTGAGGTCGTCGAATTTGCCGTTTTATGAGGCCGTTTGGGGAATTGCGAAGAATACCTGCCAGGGATTGTTGGCGTTTGGGAAGAGGTTTTATTGGGGAGGGAAGGGGGAGGGCGAGGGGGTGGGTAAAGGGAAGAAAGGGAAGGGGAAAAAAGGTGGGGATGGGGAGAGAAGGGTCGGCAAGGATAAGCGCAAGAGCGTGTTTGTTGATATTGTTGCTGATGATGGTGAGGAGTGGGTGAAGGTTTCGACGATTTCGGAGTCTAGGTTGTTGTTTGAGATGGCTAAGAAGGGCTGGGAGGCAGACTCGGAGTCTGACCATGACGGCGAGGCCAGAACGGTTCTACGCAACTATGATGGGGACGATGACGACGACGATGACGATGAGATCGAGCTTATCAAGTTGGCCAGCGATTTGCGCAAGGCTGCTGATGCTACCAGAGTCAAGTACAAACGCCCTCGCCTACGATTTGTCATTCCGAAGATTGAAGAGGGCAGTTCGGAAATTGATGGTCTTTTGAAGATTATCAGAGGCTATGGAATCAAAGTGGACTGCGGGGAGAAAGCATATGCTGTGCCTGATGCCCAGAAGGGCTTGTCTCATCTCCTTCCTAAGCCTTTCAAACGCTTCACCTCCCCTCTGAATGTGGATTGCACATTGCTGCTCGCGGCGGTCTCGGACCTGTCGCATTACAAGACTATCAACCAATCCCCCGAGCATCATAAAGCCATCAATCGACAGATCGCGGTTGAGCATGAGCGACCATTGTTGCCCACCGAGCTATGGCCTGCAATGGCTGCCCACGAGCTCGTGTGTGTCGAGGAGGCTGCGCGACGGATGAAAGAAATCGTGAACATTATCGGCACTGACACAGAAAAGCTGCGCATGCGAATTTTGACTGGTGAAGCCCCGTTCAATGCCTGCAGCCGAGAGGAACTCATCCAGAAGTACCAGGAGCTATCGGATTATGAGATCCCTGCACAGTGGAAACTCCCAGTCAAGACGGTTGAAGCACAGTCGGTGATTGCAGCAGCGACCGATAATGCAAAGCTGCCGCCTGTCTATCACAAGGTGGCCGATAATCTCTCCGATATCAACTACAGCGTGTTTCTGTACGGATGGGCTGCTGGGCTGGCGACCATCTCGAGCAATCGCACCGTGGTTAAGGAGATTGAATCGATCGTTGAGAAGCACCGGGATGGCGACGAACACCTAGAAGGGCCTTTGATATGGGTGTGCGATACCGCTAGGAGCTTGATAGGCAAGGAAAAAGGCCGGAAAGATTAGACCGTTCACCTCAAAGAAAAATATGAATAGATCGAACATGACGACAGAAATGATCCATGCATTAGCGGCACTTGAGTCATTCTAAGCGGATTGTGATTTTCGATTTGATTTTCAAAGGGGGACAGTCGAAGGGAGCATGTGGGTGTTGTTGGCGTTGTTGATGTCGGGACTCGACGGCTCTTACTTTTCAGAAGGCCGGGAGTTATCCTCCGGAAGCCAGAATACAGTTTCTTTGTCCGCAGATGCGATCATGTTGTACCTTGGATTATATTCGACGATGGCAGTCCGTCCTCGGTGTGGCAGTCTAGTTAGTGGTTGCAATAGACCGTTCGGCTCTGGAGCAGGCTGTTGTAGATCCCATACTAGCATGTCGGAATGGTCTCCTGAGCCCCCGATCAAGTATCGGCCATCCGGTGAGAAGCAGACATCTCCCTGACCAAGAGGTTTTCCGGTTGTCGAAACTGGGGCGGCTCTTCCAGATGATCCAGCCCTTCCCACCAGGAAAGCTCGGATGCCGGCCTCAAACGCATCGAGAACGAAATGCCCATGGTAGTCTGTCCCAACAAGCAAGTGTTTCCCATCATTGGAAAACTCGAGGCGAGTCCATCCCCGGCCGCGCGTCGAAGGAGTATACCGTTCCTCGTAAGCTCCAAGATCGAAGGTGGAGAATGGAGCCTTGTCGTAGTTGCGGAGGTCGTACAGAAGGACGGATGAAGTAGATTGAGACGCAATCGCAATGACCGAGCCAGACGGATCGAAAGCGACAAGATAAGGAGTTGCAAGCTTCAACTTTCCTTGGGCGTATCGTGAGCTCAAATCCCAGAGCGCAACTGTGTCGTCCTTGGAGCACGAGATGAAGGAGTCACTGCCAGGAGACAGAGCCAAGCAGGTGACTTTATCAGTGTGGCCCTGGAAATAACGCACGTATCCTTCGTTGTGGAGATCGAGCAGGCGCAGCGAATCTGACTGTGTCAGTCTTGGAGGTAGGGGCTGGAAGCCGCAGTAGACATACCGTCGACCTTGGTGCTCGCGTGGAGGACTTGACGACTGTGGTGCGTGAACCTGGCCAGGTGGGCGCCATACTTCTTGCTAGGAACCGATTTTGTAGATTTGCCCTCCTTAATGTCGAAGACCTGAATGGTTTCATCATCACCGGAAGCCACCAAAAATTCACCCTGGTCGTCAAAGTCCAACGACGTCACATAGTTGGAAGTATCTTTCGGGGGCCGGAATGCCTATGGTAGAGTACGGTTAGGTCAGTGGCCCAAGGAATAAGAGCCATTGAACTAACCTTTGTAGGACGGAAACTACGAACGATGTCCGAGACCTTCTGGCACTGGAGCATAGGCTGCTGGGGTTGCGGTTGCGCCGCCGGCTGCGGTTGGCCTTCAGCCATACTTTGGCTAGACGATGGGAAAGTGCGGGGAATGTGATGCAGTGTTAGAATGCCGGGCCTGCGGAAAGTTACAAGCCAAGTAGACCCTTCTTTCCCAGCTTCCCTCTGCAAGGCTCCTTGACCTGCAACGCTTCACCAGATATGTCCGACGGAGGAGTAACCGTCATGATGGCCGCACGCGCCGCCATGGATTTTGACGCGTTTGACCGACTTCATCGAAACAATGTTGTTCCGTCCCGGCGCTTACAGTCGGCAGACTTGGACCGATTGGCCGATGATCGGAGCCCCGGCTTGAAATAAGCGGGCCACTCGGCCAATCATCGGCCGCGGAAACCAATCTGAGAGGCGTTGGAGAGATTGTCGACGGATCTCACGCATGAACACCTCAGCTCTCACCGGCGGAGTTTCTGACATTCATCTGTCATCACCTTTCAACGTGCTGTCGCTGAGTTGGGCATCTTCCCCCTTAGGGCACCCAAATTCGTTGTCGCAACAGCCTCCTCGTTCAGATTTTACCTGCGCTCCTGCCAGACTCGCCCTCGCCCTTCCGCGCCGTCTCGATCCGCTCTCCGTTAACGGAGCCAATCTGAACAGTGACCATGTCCACAACAACTGGGTATGTCGCATTTCTGTCCCTGCTATTAGAGGAAGACGGTCGCGCTGACGAAGTGAAACGTTTACTATAGTGCATTCATCGCTGGAGGTATCGCAGCATGCGGAGCAGTGACGGTCACTCATAGCTTTGAGACGGTGAAGATTCGGTATGTCTCGTTCTTTGTGCAATTGTTGTCTTTCTCAGTGTCGCGTAAGGTTAACTTTTGTCCGTGTATAGTCTACAACTGCAAGGAGAACTGCAGTCCAAAAATGACGCCGTCAAGAAATATCGCGGTGTTTTGCACGGCGTGAAGGTCATCCTGCAGAATGAGGGCCCCCGGGGTCTGTTCCGGGGAATTGGTTCAGCTGTACGTCGGCATGTCGGCTTGGGAGACACTGATGCTAACAATGCTGCAGTACATCTACCAAGTCCTGCTCAACGGTTGCCGTCTTGGTTTCTACGAGCCATTGCGCAAAGGCATCACCACCACGATATACGACGATCCCCAGGTGCAGTCGCTGGGTATCAACGTCTTCGCTGGCGCGGCATCGGGTATCATTGGTGCCGCTGCTGGTTCGCCCTTTTTCCTTGTCAAGACTCGCCTGCAATCGTTCTCACCATTCCTTCCCGTCGGCACGCAGCACAACTACAAGAACTCGTTTGATGGTCTGCGGAAGATCTACACCTCGGAGGGAGTCAATGGTCTATATCGGGGAGTTGGCGCAGCTATGGTGCGCACGGGTTTTGGTAGCTCCGTTCAGCTGCCGACCTATTTCTTTGCGAAGCGTCGCTTGACGCAGCATTTGGGCATGGAAGATGGTCCAGGCTTGCACCTGGCGAGTAGCACGGCGTCTGGCTTTGTTGTGTGCTGTGTCATGCACCCTCCTGGTATGTTGTGCGCATCTCTGTAACAAACCATGCTAATCCAGATGCAGACACCATCATGTCGAGAATGTACAACCAAACCGGCAACCTTTACAAGGGCGTCTTTGACTGCCTTTACAAGACCATAAAGACGGAGGGTGTGTTGGCTATCTACAAGGGATACTTTGCCCATCTTGCACGTATTCTGCCTCACACGGTATGTGCAGTCCCTTATCAACTTCAATCGCAGTCTACTAACTTGACTAGATCTTGACTCTCAGCTTGGCGGAACAGACCAACAAACTTATGCGTAGATTTGAGGACCGGTTCCTCTCCGACTCGCTCAAGGAGAACTTGTAATCACGATACGATAATAGCGACTGGCATACCCTTGATTTGCGGCACATATAGAGATGTTTCGGGACATTTTTCGGTTTTGCATGGTTGAGCAGTAGTGCAACTTTGCTTGATGTGTATGTACATAGGGCGTTCTGCTTGGGCAGCCATGTCGTGATCTTAGACTTGACATATTGGTGGATTGAATAGATTTTTGACTATACCTGCTGCGGTCGCGTTCTGAAGCGAGGTGTGGGTAGACGGACGCGAAAACCTCACCGGACCGAGGATGGAGAAGTAATACACAAGCTGCCGAAACAGGATGTGGATCGGATGGAGCTTTAATAAAGCAGTGAAACTTACTCCGTAAACTAGTTGTTCTGCATGTAAATCTTGCCGAGAATGACGCCTAGACTGTTTGTTCCGTCGGACCTTTGACCTTGGATCAGACGCGTCAAAAGTCAGACAGAGGAACGCTACAGGTCGAGATTGACAGCATACTACTTTGTACATAGTCAATGATATAAGACGAACTTTGTAGCAGTTGGCAATCCAAATGATTATTAGAACCATAGAACATCGCTCTATGCAGCTCCAACAAGGTTCATGTTGCACTCGACGCGTCGCGGCGTAACGTCATCAACGACGGAAGAAAACACTGATCAGCTGGGCCCACTTGGGCAGCTAGCCAGCAGGATCTAGAATACAGTGGGATAAGAGCAGGGATCCCGCATTGGGGTGCTGAATGCAGCTTCAAACATCCGTAAATCCGCAGTGGGTGCCCAAGTTGCCAATGTGATGGAAGGACCCGACGCGACGCGTTCAGCACAGACTCTCTTGGCTAACAGACCAACCCAACTAGGCCTCCGCGATCAAGAATCTTTCAGCTCGGATTTATCCGGAGTGGGGATTGCCGATGCTCTGCTTATGGATGATGTCGTAAAGAGTATCTAAGCACTGCAGGGACCTGTAAGGTACTGTACAGCTGTACAGGGGGCAGACAGACAGAACTGTCACGAGACGCAGACATGTGCTGCCAGGCTGCCACAGGTTACACAGGAGAACTACTCGTTCCGGCTCAGCAAACATGGTCGCTAGGGACTACAGTGTAGCTTGATCGAGGGGTAGACGGAGTTTGATCAGATAAGATAGCAGCTGGACGACGTAGCGCATTCTAGGCATCTCCCTCTGGAGTCTGGAGTCTGAACAGGCACCAGCCCTTCTGGGAATGTGGAGAGACAAACCTGCTGCAAGGTCCAGCTAATGATACAGCCATTTGGTTCAGTGGAGATCTAGAGCGTCGGATGGCACAGCGGCCGGTGGTCTGATAGCGCCGTTTTGGAGGAGGAATCCGCAGCAAGGGACGTGACGACGCGACGGACATCAACAACCCACCCGGATCAACAGTTGTTCCGCCAGCCACCGGGGCAAAATTCGCGCCAAATCACGTGTGCGACGTGACTAGCCCGTCGCGCTAAGGATCACGCTCCTCGTCTGAGCGAGTATTTCTGTCGCCTCGCCCTCCTTTGCTGCAGCTCTTTCTTCAGTCTCATCCACCAGCTCAGTCTTTTGGAGTGTTTCTGTGTCTGTGTGATCAATTCTCGTCACTGTTGTCTCTCTCACTCTTCACACACTCAACATCATGTCTGTCCAACTCACTCCCTCCAAGCAGGTAAGTGATGTCACGTCTCGCCTCCCACGCTCGACGCGTTGTTAGAGCCAATTAAGCTAACAGAAGCTATTTCCAGGCTGCGTCCTCCCTCGAGAACCTCAAGATGAGCGATTCGCCCGTGAAGAAGCTCAACTTTGGCGCTGCCGACAAGGAGAACACCCCCTCCACCTTCGACACCGAGAAGCCTGTCGAGAAGCCCGTCGAAGCCCCCAAGGTCGCCCCCGGCATTAAGGAGATGGAGGCCAACGAGCCTCTGCTCCAGGAGAACCCCCACCGTTTCGTTCTTTTCCCCATCAAGTACCACGAGGTGAGTGGCACACCGCTACGCGTCACGCGTAAAGTGGTTTCGACATCCCGCGCGTCACGAGCATGCGCTAACGGATTTCGCACCCCACAGATCTGGCAGATGTACAAGAAGGCCGAGGCCTCTTTCTGGACCGCCGAAGAGATCGATCTTTCCAAGGATCTGCACGACTGGCACAACCGCCTCAACGACGATGAGCGCTACTTCATTTCTCACGTTCTTGCTTTCTTCGCGGCATCGGATGGCATTGTCAACGAGAACCTGGTCGAGCGCTTCAGCGGCGAGGTCCAGGTCCCCGAGGCTCGTTGTTTCTACGGATTCCAGATCATGATGGAGAACATTCACTCCGAGACCTACTCTCTGCTTATCGACACATACATCAAGGAGCCCAAGCAGCGCACCTACCTCTTCGATGCTATTGATACCAGTATGTACTGCGAACCGGATTGTGATTGGACAATTGCTGACATGCACAGTTCCTTGCATTGCCAAGAAGGCCGAATGGGCCATCAAGTGGATCCAGGACCGCGAATCAACATTCGCCCAGCGTCTGGTTGCCTTTGCCGCCGTGGAAGGTATCTTCTTCTCGGGATCTTTCGCTTCCATCTTCTGGCTGAAGAAGCGTGGTCTCATGCCGGGCCTGACCTTCTCTAACGAGCTCATCTCTCGTGACGAGGGTCTGCACACTGACTTTGCCTGCCTGCTGTTCTCGCACCTGAACAACCGTCCCAGCAAGCAGATGGTCGAGGACATCATTGTTGAGGCTGTCGGCATCGAGCAGGAGTTCCTGACGGACGCTCTGCCCTGTGCTCTGCTGGGCATGAACTCGAAGCTGATGTGCCAGTACATCGAGTTCGTTGCCGACCGACTGCTGGTGGCTCTGGGTAACAAGAAGTACTACAACGCGACCAACCCATTCGACTTTATGGAGTCGATCTCGCTGGCGGGCAAGACCAACTTCTTCGAGAAGCGGGTGGGTGACTACCAGAAGGCCGGTGTGATGGCCAGCACGAAGAAGAAGGAAGAGGAGGAGACCAAGACCTCCTCTGGCGGTCTCAGCTTCGACGAGGACTTTTAGATGATGCCACTATACCCGGTTGTTGGCACAGCCACGATATTGCTTTGGTTTATGGGATTTCAGTATAGCATGGGATTGGCGTTGGAAGGTATAATGTTAATGCAGTATTTAGATGAATGTAAATTGGATGATACTACTATACCACTTGTAATTTGTAAATCCAGCTACCAGGTGAACTACCAGGTCAACTACCACCCTCACTAAACGTTCATCCTAAACACCACCAAAACAATAACCCACACCAATCAAACAAACAAATCCATTAATAGAAATAAAATACAACGAAAAGAAGAATCACCTCTTCCCCTTCCCCCCCTTCTTCCCTCCTTTCCCCCCTTTCCCTGTTTTCCCAGCAGCACCCGCAGTACCATTCCCATTCCCACTCCCCCCTCTCCCCCATCCACACCCTGATTCCCAGAAGAAACATCCCCCATCACCACATCCTTATCCCCATCCTTATCCCCCCCAACACCAACACCCCCAGAAGAAAGAATGGTATTCCCCAACCCCAACCCCTCCACATCCGCCCCCGCCGCCAACTTCCCCAAAGAAGTAATCAGTCGTCCCACTTCCGCCCCCTTATTCGTTTTGTATTTTAGACAGATTCCCGTCCCGGGGTGGAAGGTTTTGAGTTCGAGGGTTGCGATGCGCGGTTTGGGTTCTGATGCTGGGGTGGGGTCTGTGGTTGTGGGTGTGCGTGGGAAGGTGTATTTTGTTGTTATTCTCTGCGTTTGGTTGGTTAGTGTTGGTGGATTGGGGTGAGTTGGGGTGGGTTGGGTTGGGTTGCGTACCGTGTCTGGGTAGGCTTGGAGGAGGAGAGAGGATTGTTCGAGGTAGGATTGGGTGGTTGGGAGGTAGGGCATTTTGGTGGTTGTTGATATAATCTTGGGTGGTGTGATGGTGGGTGATTGAGGAGGTAGGTTGGTAGGTAATGAGGTAGGTAGGTAGGTAGGTAGGTGGTGGTGGTGGTGATGGTGAGCTGTATTTCTGCTAGTGCTGTGGTGGTGTGGGTGTTGTTTGCGGCGGAGCGCGGAGGTGAGGTGCGGGCGGTGTGCTGGCGCCGTTCACCGTTTGGCTGTGGGTTTACTTCTTACGGAGTCAAGCCAAGGATGCTGTAGCTACTGACTGTCTCGTACTTTTTGTTTATGGTTTAGGTATACACTCCAGAAATCATTATTTATTCATCAGTCGTCCCTCGTATATCGCCTATCTTCCATAGTAGGCTATTGTACATACATACACAAACTGGTAATTACATCCCTCCCATACTATGTCCACTATACAATGCTAACTGATCGGTCGCGCACACCGCACACATACCAATCGCTGCTTACCATTGCGCGCCTTGGTCGCTCGGAAATTCGTCCCTCGGCAATTATCGCATTTCAGGACCTCCCCGTCCTCCCCGTCGCCGTTCGATGACGCATAGTCGCTGCTTAACGCACTGCCTAAGCTTAGCTGGCGCTCTCCCGGCACGGACAGGCGATGGGGACTGAGGAGTCGGTTGCTGTCGGTTCGTTTGCGGTTCTGGATCGCCATTGCGTCGTGCGCGATCTTGTTGTAGAATGCGTAGCTTTGGTCGCCTTGTAGCCACAGTGGGTTCTCTTTGTCTCCGCCGCGGGGGAACCAGGTAGTCGGCTGGTTCCGGGACGGGTCGAGTGTGGTGGTGTGGCCGTTGTGTCGGGTTGTGTCGCCGCTGGAGCGCTGGCTGTCGAGGGAGTTTTTGTATGCGGAGGTGGGCGAGGAGGTGGTGAGGCCGGAGCGCGAGTCGGGGCGTGGGATTCGCCCTGGGCTGGAGTAGCCTGGTAGGTCGCGGAGGGATTTGTGCGGGGAGGGACTGCGGGTGCGCGGGGTGCGCATGCCGGAGCGGTTCCCATGGCGGATGACCGAGTTGCGCCAGGAGATGATCCGTTCAGAGGGCGTCTTGTTCAGGGAATCCTTGCCGATGGAGGAGGCGATGCTGTGGCGCGCCGAGTTGGTGCGGCGCAGGATGCGCCGGGAGATGGTCGAATGCGTGTCCCAGCTGTCGTAGCGCCGTTTCTGGTACGCGCAGTCCTGTCGAAGTACCTTGATCTTCCCCGCGTAGTCGGCTACGATGAGAATGTTGCCGTCCGGGTGCGAGGACCGGGAGAGATACGTCGGGGATTCTTGGGCCAGTTTGCTGGCGCCGGAATTGCGGTTCGTCCGTCCGTTCTCCCTGTCGGCTTGGCTGACGAGGGTGACTGGGGGCGGGTTGCAGATGTCGTAGATGGGATCCTCTGAAAAGGCCAGCACCTGTTTGGCTCGCGTTGGGGCCATGATGGCGGCCGTCACCAGGGCCGACTGGGTGTCGAAGATCTCGACGGCACGTTTGTCGGCGTCCTTCTCCATGGGGCCAACCGGCCAGACGTAGGTGCGGCGATCCTCACTGCCGCAGATGATGTGTTTGCCGTCGTTGCTGAAGGAGGCGCGGATCTGGCTGCATGAATTCTCGTTGCCGCGGTATTTGGCCTCGAGGGTGCGGTCGCGGAAGTTGTAGAGGCGAATGCGCGAGTCGTTGCTGGTGATCAGCAGCTTGACGTCGCCGTGGGGATCGCCCGTGGGCAGGCTGATGGTGTCGATGCCCGTGATCTTGCTGCCTTTGGCGTTGCGGCCACGCGCGGACCGCACGTGGATTTGCCCGACGGCCTTCAGCCCATCGGTCTCGTAGATATTGCACAGTCCGTTCAGACTGCCCGAGACGGAATATCGCCCGTCAGGCGTGAACGCCACGGCGGTGATCATGTCCGGCACCGTGGCCACAAACGCCACGCTCTTGTCCGGGATGCTCCACAGGCGCAACTTGGTGTCCAGCGACCCGGCCAGAAAGAAGCGGTCATCGCGCGGGTGGAACTGGATGGAGGTGACGAAATCGCTGTGCTTGAAGCAGCACAGACACTCGGGCCGGCTGACATGCCACAGCCGGACTGTCTTGTCCATGGACGACGAAAGCAGGAAATTGTTCTGTGGCCGTATTAGTGACCTCCTTCACCTCTCGTCAGTCATGGTACCTTGCTCCAGCTGAGATCCAGGATACTGCCGGTATGCCCTTCGTACACCTGGACCGGCTGGCTTTTGAACACCTGCGCATTCAGCCGAGGCGCGTCGTCGTCTCCCTTGGGCTGGCTGGGTTCGCGATCATCCGCCGACGCCACCACCTGCCAGACGCGCACCTTTCGGTCCTGACCGGCTGCAGCCAGGTATTTGCCGTCATTGGAAAAGACCAGAGCCCAGATGGCCTTGCCCGTATACCGCTCGTTCTGGGGACCGGCCGTGGAGATGGCCGCATCCCGGTCCGATACACTCGCCGAATCGTCGGCGCCGTCCAGCTCCTGCGCCAGGAAGACCCGGTTGAAGGTCTTTTCTTTCTTGTAGTTGGCGCGCACGCGGATGTACTTGGGAGGAGGTGGAAATCGCGGAACGAACCCTATCGGCTGGGCGGCAACGTCGGGATCCATGCGGGTGGTTTCAGGTTCGGAGACATCGTCTTCTTCCAAGAACTGGTCTTTTTTCTTACCAGGGATAATGCGACTGAGGAAGGAGACTCCTTTCCTGTTCATATGAATCACGATTAGTGGAGATGCCTAGAAGATGTCGAAAAAGCAAGGCAGGTGACCGTGCGGGGTAAAGAACAGCTGGCTTACTTACTTCTTCTCCTTGGGAGGCTTCGGGTGCAACACCGTCTCTCCCCGCGCTGACCCATGGTCCATCGACCCTCGAGGATCACTTCCGCCCAGCTCGGCCTCGGTCGACGCTCGTCCTAGCAGCTTCAGGGGGATAGTTTTCTGCGTGTTGGTGCGCTTGATGATATGCTGTCGCGACCGGTCAATCAGTTGCTCGCGCTCCAAGGCACGGGACAGGGCCTTACTTGGGACAAGGGATCGATGGCGCTGGAATCGGCGGTGGACTGCACCAGGCTTGGAGATGAGGCCAGATTCTTGACGGAGCCGTTGCTCGCCGCCGGAAGGGTGCGGGAGTCTTTCCTGGCATGTTGTTGGTATCCGCTCGACGCGGAGGCCAGATCGGATACCGAGCCTATGCAGAACCATCATGCCTGTGAGCCCGCATGACCGGGGAATAAAGGAATGTCTGGACAGGCCGACTGACCGGGTCGGGAATGGATGACATACCGATGGGAAAACTTTGCGAGGAACGGAGGAGGCCGGGACTGGGGATGCCGGGGCTGTGGTCGCCCCGGTTGAGAAAGGTCGGGCTATTGGTGGCCGAGGTGGACAAATCGTGCTGGACAATGGTCGAGGACGAGGCATTGGTGGTGATGATGGCCGGCACCGTGGAAGCCCGCGAGTGCGCGCCTCGCTCGTCGCGCATTCCCTCCGCCATGGCTCGGGTGTCGCCGGGAACGGCGCATGGGATTGGTGGGAGGACACACGGCAACCGTCCGGGAGACCCGACGGATGGGAAGGGGGAAGAAGGGGAAGAAGGGGAAGAAAGGGCTGAAGACGAGCAAGGGAGAAGGATTTATTAGTGATTAGGGCCGGGGAAAAGAGCGGAGGACGTGGAGGAGCAGATGAAGGCTGGACTGCTGGAGACTGGAGTGGCCGTTGGCAATGGCACTAACTCAGAGGCCGGTTATTAATATCCGAATCCACAGATGACATCAAACAGGTCGATGAAACGCTGGGTCGGATGCCAGGGCCGCTGGTTCATCGGGGCCCATGCATGTCAAGCTTTTCATTGCATGGTTCACCGACAAGGGCTCTGCATCGATCGATGCCTGTAGCTTTCTTGCGACCGTCTTTTGAATCTTGATTAAATGCACGCGGGAATCACCCGAGTCACCACCCACTTGACTGACTGACTGACTTGGACCCCCACATGGATCATGGATGGGTTCTTGCCACCCAACCCTAATCATGGACAGCCCAATGAACGGCCTCATCGGGGCTCGACTGGGCCTGTGCTGGATTCCTCCACCAATTGCTCCCCAGCCAAGCGTCTCCGGGGTTGCAGTTGCATCAGTCCCTTCCAGGAGAATATCCGACAGTTAAACCCGAGTGGATTTGTGAATTCTAATCTTTGTTTTGACTCCAAGCTAGAACTGCACGTGTCGGATGGCTATTCCACCTCCCCGACCATCTCCGACTTGCCCCGCTCGTGGATCGCCTGCACCTCCAACTCTTCGTCCTCCTCCTTCGCGTACGCCACTTGATAAACCGTGTACCATGGCCGTTGAAACAGTCCGTCCAGCGCCTCCAGCGACCGTCCCGTCGTGTCCTGTTCTGTCAGCCCACGCCTGCCATCATCACTTCCAGAGTCACTCACCGGCATCGCGAAAAACACATACACCAACGAGACCAGACAGATGCATGCGAAAAATGCAAAAGCCCCCCACTCGTGCGTCACTTCGAGCAAATCGGGGGTTGCTCGTGAGCAGCCAAAGGCAAACAGCCAGTGACACGCCATGCCCATCGACACCGCCAGCGATCGGATGCGAATGGGGAAAATCTCCGCCCCGATCAAAAAGGGCATCGAGAACCAGCCGATGACCCACCCGACCCCATGCAGGAAGATGGCGGCGATCGCGCCCGTGGACGCCCGCGACGCGCTCGGCGCGTGGAGCAGGGCCGTTGTCGTCATCCCACGCGTAATGCCCAGGTAACACGCCAGGTAGGCCAGCGTGGTGATCTGCAGGGTGATGCCCGCCATCAGGGACCGCCGGCGGCCCACGAAGTCGACGATGACTAGGGAAAAGACCAGCACGCAGGCAAACTTGACCGCTGCATAGATGCCGGTGGTCAGCGACGCGGTATCTCCTGATGTCCCCAGGTAGCCGAGAATGGTCGGCAGGTACTGGGTGATCGCGTTGCCACCCGACCATTGCGAGAACAGATGTGCCATGAACACCAGGAAGAACCGACGACGGTTCTCCACGGGGACGAACGTCTCCTTGAGCAGACGCCATTGCGATGCATCCGTGACGGCCTCCCGCTCTTGCAGGATCTGATACTCCATGACTGCAATCTCTGTGACCACCGTGGGGTGATTCCTGGGCAGGTGTCGCAGCCGGGCCAGCACCAACACGGCCTGCGTTCGTCGTCCGACGTACAGCAGCCAGCGCGGCGATTCTTCGCAGGTCAGCATACCCAAACCCCAGATTGCGGCAGGGAGCAGCTGAATCAGAGTCGGGAACATCCACTGCATGTCGGTGCCGTCGTACGTTTTGGTGATGCTATAGTTGATGAAGAAGCCAAACACGACTCCTAGTTGTTGACAGGCGGTGTACTGCAGTGCCAGAAGTCCTCGGATCGTCTTGGGTGCAATCTGCAGGGGTCAGTCGGTTCCACATGGCTTGGGGCAACGTACCTCGGAGATGTACATCGGGGGCGTGACGGTCATGCCGCCCACCCCAAGGCCCGAGATAAGTCTGGATACATAGAGTCCGGCCAGGTTTCCATTGCACAGGCCCTGCCCTAAGATTCCACCCACATACACCAGGGTGGAGAGCCGCATTGTCCACCGCCGTCCAATTCGATCATTGAAAGGCAAGCACTATACCGGATCACTTAGTTGGGTCTAGGATTGGAGTGGGCAGCCTACCGCAAGACAGCCCAAGGCCATTCCGGCCGTGAAGATGGATACGATCCATCCTTTGGTATTGGCATATTGTTCGGGGGATTGTTGATCGAGTCCGAACTTGATACGGAACTGGGATTGCACGACCAGACATGCGATGTTTCCTATCAAGCTGAGTACGATCATGACATATGGCTTGCTTTCTTACCCTCGTCAAACCCTCTGCTGATGCCTGACAGGGCGAAGATGGCGGTGTTGAGTAGCAGATACCAGTTGAAGACCCCGCGGGGGGAATCCTGGATGGCTTTTCGGGTTTCTGCGATGAGCCCCATGTTTCTCAGGAGGCGGCAGGCAGGACACAGACAGACACACGCGGTGAGATAGGCAGCGCGAGAAGCAGCGGAGTCACAGGCTCGAGCTGTGATCTTATACATGGTGAGGCTTGACACCGGACAAAATAACGCATGGTGGCGTGGGTGAAAATATCTCATGACCCTCACCAGCGAAGCAAGGAGCTCACCCTCACGGTGTCCACGGTATGTGCTGTATCCAGTGCAGACAGCTGTCGTAGCGAGATCGGGTCAGCGCATTCCATGAGGGATTTGTGCAACCTGGATATGCACGATAGGGATCTAGCGTGGTACTGCATGGGGTTACATGGCGGGTGATAGCCATTGCTTGAAACTTGGAAGACTGCTTCTGCAGTCTCAGACGTTCCGCGGTGCAGTTGGCCTGATCCTGGTCTTCCTTGCCGTTGAACTTCCTGCAAGGGTTGAAGTAATGCACGATATCAACGACACCAATCAAGCCATATTTGCTGCTGCATAGACATGGTTCATAGGACAAGCGAGGGCCCAAAATAGACAATCGAACCGGCTGGATCGTACGAGAATCGCAGTTACTTTCATTCTCTGCCGCCGGAATCACCGAACTCATGCGTTTCCCTCGTCGCTCTGGTGGTCGCGCTGGAATATCCCGCTAGATTGATACATTACTTACCCATACCTGGACCACCAAAGATGATTGTACTGATTAGGAGAATATCAGATGACTGCCAACACGAGAACGACATGACAATATGCGTCAGTCTTTCTATGTATTCATCTATCTCGAGTTTTATCTACTGCATCTTCTCTTTTTTTTATCCCGAAAAAAATAATAAAAATAAAATTAATGGGGGGTGGCCTATTTCAAGCCAATTGATCCAATCTTGCGTGTTCATTGTATCTGGAACCTTTTCCACGCCGACTGTCGTTGTCTACTTAGGCCTGTCAGGTTTTTGATTATATGGAATATTTATTTACGGCGCGTATCACCTCCTGTCCCGAGGAAAAGACACTTTTTTTCTAGACAGTTATGCTGATGCTTTGCTTTACACCAGAACACTCACCATTTTAATCCCTGCCATGCGTCCGTATATCATTCTATATCCATCTATCTATAGATAGATCTAGTACATAGTATAGCCGCATACAACCGGGAAGTTGAACCGCGACAAAATAGTACACGCAACCCACACAACCAAGTCCAAAATACACCCACGGTCAAAACAAAACGGACATATACATGCAAATAAACGATAGCAAAAGTCACAAACCAAAAACACGAGACGGAGTATAAGAGATTAGAAAAACTGGGGTTCCAAACAAGATACTTAGCTCCAGTACGGTTCATGCAACATTTTAATCATCGCGATATTCTTCCTCTTGTCCTCTTCCTTCTTTCTTGCAAGTTTGTTGAGCTTGTGCGCGGAAAGCGTGCCGAGCGGCATAGGTTCCCGGAATACACTGTCGGCTTTGCTAGCGAAGAATACCTCGAGGTATCTAGAATCATAAAGCCCAGGCATCTGGTCAGGGAGGTTCGCGGTCTGGAGAAACCAACGCAGTCCGCCGACAGTCGCAGGAACTTTGCACAGGCTTTCAGGACCCCCAAGCTGGATGGCAGCTTCGATGAATGACATAGCGACCTCGATGTAGACGAAGACGTTCTGCGCAGACGTGCTCGCGGGCCCTCGTCTGAATTCGATGGTCCCATGGGGGCTATTCAACAGGTAAAGAAAGTTCCATCCAAACATTTTATCGTGGTCCGGGTTCATGAGAAGGACCAGCTCTCTCATGTTGGTGGCTTGTTCGATGACGACTATGCTTTGGTTCCGCGTCAGATTGCGATGTCCGAAGTTAGCGTTATCCAACCAATTGCTTCGAGAATATTCATTGGAGAGCCTCGATTCCGGTAGGAGGGCTTCGAAGGCAGGCTCGAAGTGGATGATGCTCTGGCATATTTTCTTGAGATTGGTGAGCGAGTAGCCCCCTACCCGGGAGATATGGACATGTGTGCCACAACTGTCATTGGAGCTGATGTCGTAATGGAGGGAGAAAAACCTCCAGAGAAATTCGATGTGTTGACGCCATTGAGAGCCAGCGTGGGCGCGGAAAATCGGTGAAATACATTCAAGACCCCCTCTGCGGGATATTAGTAAACGGGGGATATCTCGAGTCTCTGGGATTTCATGACATACACGGTGCTTGCCCTTTATTTGGCGTCTCGATGGTTGAATCCGAATCAAGAGACCACTCGGCAAACTGGGGTCCCAAATATGCTTCATCGATTGCATTGTGCATTTGCGGGTGTCTGGTGGACCCTGTCTCGGCCAAATAGGCATTGTAGGTTGATGCAACCTTCTGAGAGAAGTCACGGATGCTGGGACTGGCACTGGATCTGCCACGAGGTTCCAACAAGAATTCGACTTCCACCCCGATGCCAAAACTACCGGGAGGGTATTTGGGAGCGTCTGGAGAAGCAATGGGTTTCGGTGCTAGCGATAGTATATAAGCATCACCGACCATTTACCTGATGTCCACAACCATCCAACATACCTGACGTTGTGGCGGAGGGGGTGCGGGGGGCGCAGGAGGAGGCGGGGGAGGGTTGTGTGACATGAGGGGTCAAGCGGGAGAGTGCTTGGATGTATTTTCGTATATATAGGACGAAGGAGATGAGGACAATTCTTAGACAAGACGAAGCTGAACAGATAGAAAGCACGCCGCGTCGTATTTGAGACTTTGAAGAGAGGGATGCAGGCTGGTACCCTATTTATGTCAATGGATACGGAATCACAGAGCACCCTTGACTTCTGGTGTACGCCGGGGTGTATTAGAATAGAAACCCTCGGCGGCTCCATGGGGGTGTCTTCGGCGCGTGTAGCATCTCAAGCAAAACACCACGATAGCCAACCGTCAAACTAGGATGGCGTCAAGGGGTCACAATATGACCCACGAAGGAATTAGGCGTTGATATAGCAGGGCGTGCGATTGGCCGAGCACATGGTTACCACGCACGTCGTGAGCGCCGATCCCCAGTAGCCGCCATACTCGCTGTCCCGAGACACAAACCAGATGGATGCTATTCAGTAGCAGAGTACACTACTAGTATTAGGTACCTAGGCCTAAGCGGATTCAATCATTGATCCTTGTTCCTTGTATGTGGAAATCGAGATTGCTGATTGGCTGAGGAAGACACCCGATGATTACATAAGTAATACGCGGGCTGGCCTTGTCCTTTACTCGGCATTTTTCGCGACTTGATTGGTTCCCTCCTCTTTCAATAATGACCTGGGATCGCATCGCATCGCATCGCCTCCCTTTCTATATGAAGCCTACCAATCCCCCGTCAATCCCCTTGTAGCTAGCTCTCTCTATTTCTCTATTTCCCCCTCCTTTGTTACAGCCATCGCAATGTCTCCTCCAACCGCCACCGACCAAGGCAGCCGCCCAGCCCCTCCCCCACCGCCCCCGCCGGAGGATCCTCATTCCAAAATCTCCCCCTTTGTTCTCAAGCTGAGGAGTGCTCCTCGCGGTTACTTCTACGAAGCACCAGAACCGTCTCCCTGGGTGGATTTGTTTGATGCCCCGACGGGTCCATACTTCTTATATGGCACACTGACAGACCCTTCCATGATCGCGGAAATTCTCGGCCTAGACGAGGAACCCACTCTGCGACCCGCTTACATCATGGGCTATCGATGTAAGCTGTGGGGTCAATACCCGGTCTACCATGTCCGCAGTGTGGAAGATGGTGAGAAACTGGCGGCGTATGAGACGAACAATTATCGCGCAAGCCCGTGTATCATCATGTATACTGATGGCAAGGAGCCGGTGAAGGAATACGGCTCGACTTTCAAGTTTGTGGGTAACAAGAAAGATTTGAGTGAGGGGGTGTTTGATCTAAGGGTGTGGTTGAAGATGATGGGGAGACATGCGGCGGTGGAGAAGCTGGATGCTGCGAAGAGGATTGCTGTTCCGGAATGAATTCTTTTGTCTTACGTCTTGTATTTCATGGCGATGGAGGATTTGGAGGCAATTAATGCATAACGGTTAAATGGGCGTGTGGTGTGGATGATATCAGATACAGCCAGCAGACAAAGAATTAGGTCTGGGTATGTGCTGCTGATACATAGCCTCTTATACTGGTCAAGCTCCTTGTGATCGCGACATGGAGTCCGTACCGTCTTGTTGCCTAGGACTAACGTGCAAATATTCTTTGAAGAGGGCCAATAACTTAGACAGCCGTCACAGTTAGGGCTATACTCGATATACCCACAATTTCCTTAACAATAGATCCATGATATTACTTGTCAAAGGGACTAAAAAGGATTTATTCCATCTGACTGCTAGTGTAGAAGGTAGAAGATTAGCCGACACACTCCACTTGAACAGAGAAACGAGTAATCTAATAGTAACTAAATATACGATTTGAATATTAAGATTCAGTAAACCTATGTACACTTGAACTCTGACTATGGCCGGTCTAGTTTAGACTGTGTACTAGGAGACACAATAGTTTCTAGACTTATAATCTCAAGCTATCAATCAATTTGTAAATCGAAAGGAAATCATATATCCATTCTGATTATTAATATGAAAGATAATAACTATATGTTCCAACGCAGCTCTCTTGAGCAGAATATGGTGCAACTAAATACAAGATACTACAAACATTAACATCTAGTAATCTTATCTGGACTCAAACCCTGGTTATTCTGATTTAGAGTGTATTATTAGAGACAAAGCAGCTTCCAAACCTATAACCTGTCAAAGCTTACTATTACAGAGACCAAAAAGAATCTACCCCTTCTAATGACTAGCATATAAAGTAGAAGCTATTCCAACATTACTCGAAGAATCAACAATAAAGACAACACTAGTCCCATGAATATCACGCACCCACCACCATCAACACCATAACATACATCCCCCCTCCCAACCCTAACCCCAAAACCCTAAGAATCCCCTCTAAGAAAACACCACCCCTCAAACCTCCCCCCCAACCCCCCAAATGCTCCTCCCACCTCTCCACCCCCACCTCCCTAACCCCCTTAACCTCTTTCTTCCCATCCGTGACCAAAAACCCCCACTCGAAGGCAACAACCGGCCTCACCACCCGACTCATCAGACAATCATCCACATAGACCAGAAACGTCCGCGCAGTCCAATCCATCTCTGTGGCGTCGGGGTAGGCAGGCGCGTCGAACATGGTGGGTAGGTGGCCGAAGTAGGCGAAGGGGGTGTTGGTGCTGGAGGTTAGGGGGAGGGGGTCGTGGGTCCATGTTTCTATTTCTTTCTTTTTTTCGGTGTCTTTTGAGGATAGGGAGGGGGAAGGGGGTTCAGATGGGGGCTGGGAGCGGACGAATTGGATCCAGCCGTAGAGGGAGGCGTAGCCGGTTGGTGGTGGTGTACTTGTGGAGGGTTGAGATGGGGTGAGTGTGGCTTGGCAGATGGGAAAGTCGAGGAAGGAGGTGATGGGGGTGGAGGGGAAGAGGAGGTGGAAGCCCACGTCGCGTGGGGAGGTGTTGCGGGTGATGGTGATGGTTAGGGTTAGGGGGGCGCGGTTGGGGATGGTGAGGGGGATGGTGAGGGTTTGGGGGGTTGTTGTTGTTGGTGGTGCGGTGGTGGGGGTGTCGGGTGTGGAGGTCATTTTAAATTGGGTGGTTGTGGTGTTTGTTTAGTAGATAGGTGGGTGGATGGATGGTTGTAGTGGTGGAGGTGAGAGGGGGGTAGAATAGGGTTATATACTGCATCTGATATACTAGGCAGTCGTTAATCATTGCCGTGGTAACAGGGATGGTGAGATTGGGCACAAGAACCAGTAGATTCTTATAGTAATATGATAAGGAATCATGTTGCCTGGCGTTAGTTGCTAATGCTACTAGTATAGGGCTTACTGTTTGTAGCTATCGGCATTGGGATAGGTCAAGCGCCACGCTAGGACTGACCCACTTGTTGATTGCTTAATGCAATAACCATGCAGTCCAATAGTCCAATGCTAGCTGCTTATCAATGACGGATGGAAACAGTCACGCTAATCGTAACAACGGTGCCGATCAGGGTGACATTAGTTTCATCCTATCAGTATTACACTGGTCAGCGCATGGACAACTCCATGCATCTGTATAATATACTACCGGAATTAGTCTGATTCCTTGCTTTCATAAATAATCTCAAAATAGGCAAATTGTAACAGGCATGAAAAATGACAGAATTTCCCAACTAGACCAAAAGAGATACCTCTTAGTTTAGTGGAACAATTCCAAGGTGAATAGTTCCAACAATAAACACTAGGTTGGGGTTCAGATGTTAAGCAGATGTCCCAGGAAAATACTCAGTTTATTATATTCACATACTTGCCGAGCAAGTCGTACACACGTCACTAGTTGTTATACAAGCTGCATCCGTAACCAAGACAGATATACATCGCCACCCTAAACGGCTACAACAGAGATTTCACAGGCGCAGCAGCCGTAAGCACCGGCACCAAATCCGGATCCCCCTTCTCCATAGCCCGCTTGTAAGCCTCACGCTGGCCAATGCGTTCCAAATACCGCACAATATTCGGATAATCATCCAGACCGTACGGGATGAACAGCCGTAGCGTCGTCAACGGGAAAACAGACACGCAATCTGCCGCGGTGAACTCGTCCCCGGCTAGATACCGGGACTTGCTCAGTTGCTTCTCCATCGCCTCGCACGTCGCTTTCACGCGGGCTTCGGACATTTTTGAAACAAAGTCCTCGTCACTACCTCTTAGTCGACCGAACATCAGGCCCATGAAAGCCGGCATTGTAGACCCGTTCGCCCGGTGCAGCCAGAACACGTAGTCTGCGTAGTTGGGGTGGCTTGGAGGTACCACGATACGTCCGTTGCCGTATTTGGTCAGGATGTATTCTGTGATGGCCATGGTCTCACCAAGGATGACTCCATTGTCCTCGATAATCGGGGCGGTACCCGACCAGTGCAGCTGGCGGTACTCATCCGGAGCCTGCAGTGTGGGTTGTTGCCGGTCGTAGCATTTGAGGTTGTAGGGGATGCCGAGTTCTTCGCAGAGCCAGATGATTCTCTCCGATTGAGAAAGTCGCAGGTGGTGAATGGTGAGTCCAGATGACATGGTGCAAGAAAGACGAATGTAGAGGTGTGTTGAATGAATATTAACTGCAGGAACTGGATTGCAAACTTAAAATAAGGGATGAAGAATGCTGAATCACCATGTCTTCCCGCTGTGGATCCCTATGCGAATAACCTCGGAACCCGGATGTTATAATTCGGATCGGGTTGCCCGTTGCCGAATGTCACGCCAGTGACAGTGGAGCTGAGAAAAAGGGATGCATAAATCCTTTGCTGTCTCGTTCATCAACGTCATAGCAATGACTCAGACTATACTTGACTGAGACCGAGGGTCAGTTTGCCTCACCAGGACACTTGTCTGTCTCAATGTCGCCGGGACAATCTCAAATGTAGTTGACCGCAAGGAGTATCACTGCAAAACTATGGTTGCATTGTATGAAGCCACATATTGAAGCACTGGCAAATCCAGTAGAGCATATAGACCTTCACTGTCACGGGACAGGGTGGCTACTCCCAGTCTATTGACACTCTTTGACAGATGCGACAGCGGGTTGAGAGTCGTGTTTCCCAAATATCAAGTCAGAGTAGGTGACACCCATCAGCTGTTCTCGACCTGATCATACTAATAAGAAATTCGAAGAATGTAGGTTGAAGAAGATGGGCAGACGATGAATAAGGTTTCTCATCTCGGGCCTGTTTTAAGTCCCGGTGGCGGCCCTGACAAATCCGCAACCCAACTATACCAGTATAAAACATCGACCCCAGACGGATTAAAGACAACAACAAACATCTGCATCTCTGTCTCTTACTTCACAACATCTCATTACTCTTTAACCCCCCATACAAACAAAATGAAGGTAGGAATCGCAGGCATCACTGGCAAGTTTGCCCGTCTTCTGGCCACGCACCTTCTGGCACACGAAGAAGCCAACATCAAGGGATTCTGTCGCACTCCGTCCAAGGTGCCCGAGAGCATCAGTTCATCTCCCCGGGTCGAATTGATCCAAGGTGAAGCCTTTGACCGCGAGGCGGTTCGCTCCTTTGTTCAGGGCTGCGACGTCGTCGTCTGCTGCTATCTGGGCGATGACGAGTTGATGGTTGATGGCCAGAAGCTGCTCATCGATGCCTGTGATGAGCTCCAGGTTGCCCGCTACGTGGCGAGTGATTGGGCCCTGGACTATACAAAGCTGCAGCTGGGCCAGCTGTTCCCTAAAGATCCCATGATCCATGTCAAGGCGTATCTGGAGACAAAGACCAATGTCGCTGGAGTTCATGTTCTCATTGGCGGATTCATGGAGCCGGTGTTGAGCCCCTTTTTCAATATCCTCGATCCTAGCACCATGACCTTTAGGTACTGGGGTGAGGGAGATGAGATCATGGAGGGAACGACTTATGATGATGCGGCTCGCTATACGGCGACGGTTGTCTTGGATTCTACTGCCACCGGAGTTCTTCGCTGTAAGTGCTTGTTGACCGCTTGAGAGCTTGACTGACCTGTGAAGTTGTCGGTGGCCGTGCCAGCATCCGCGATATTGCTAGCTCGTTTGAGAAGGTGTATGGAGTGAAGCCCACTCTGGAAAAGCGCGGCTCGTTGGACGAGTTGTATAAGCATATGCACGCCCTGCGATCTGAAAACCCGCAGAACATCTACGGATATATGGCCCTGTAAGCATGCTGCTTGATCATTTGTTTGTATCGTACTGACCACTTAGCTTCTTCTACTACTACTGGATCAACGGCCAGACATTTGTCGGCCCGCAGTTGGACAACGCCCGGTATCCCGAAATCAAGCCTGTGGATTGGGAGGGATATATGTCCAAGTGGCCGGTTGACAAGCTACCCACCTCCTACTTTGCGCTGAGCATGTAATGTGGCCGCCGGACTATGTGAAGCCATCACCGTGTATAGAATATTAAATCAATCTGAAGATTTCAAGTAATGTCAAGGTGGCGGTAATAATGTAACAGTGCTCAGTCAGTGCCGTCATCATCAGACATCCTAAGTGTAATAGAATGGTAGAGATTACCGGAAACACGGCTTGAATGGCAGTAATTAACAACGGTGCAATAACGGCTAAGTGTTCTCTCCAAGCATGACCTCATTTAAAAACTCCATTGGCGCCATATCCTCACCACTTCGACTCAGAGTTGCATTCTCAGTCTCGTGGCCATCTATCAGAGGCGCTGTAAACTTAGATGCCTCCGGATCGGCAATCAATCGCAAGGTGCTGTCTACGTTAGTCGCAGTACGTCCATGCACCGCAGCTGCTTGCTCCATGAGACGTGAGATGGGCTTCATCATCACCCCTCCCCTTTGATAGTCCCGGCTGGCCCACCGTTCAACGGCTTGATTCACTACAACCCACGCTCGATCCGTCTCGGGTGATGGGGCCTGGGCACACATCTCAGCCAGAATGAATGTCACGGCATGCCATTGCATGTAGGACTCAAAGAGCCAAGACCATTTCGAGGTCCTCGGATCGGTCTCCAACAGATAGGCAAACTCTACCACCTCGACGGCAGTCAAAAACAACTGTTCCTGGTTTGGAGATACCGATGCGAGGTCATTTAGCTGCCACTGTGGGAGATGGGTGACCAGCCACAATCGTGCCAAGGCCAGCCGGATAACAGTCGCTGTGGTCCATTGAATTGGGATGGATACGTCGCAGAACCGGAGGTATCGCTCCTGCAACCTTGCGTGGATCTTTTCTAGTTCGTACAAACGGCTCTCCAAGTCCAGATCTTCATGCACGCTAGACCCAGTGTTGGTAGTCCGGCGAACGAAAACGGTCATTTCACATCGGATCAAGCAGAATGTCATTTCAGAAAAGCCGACATGCTCCTCGGGTAGTGCTATAGACTCGGGTGCAATGTCAGAGTCATTGATGTTCAAGGGCAACCTCGTGTCATAGCTTCCCTCAGTAATGAGATTTCCCGTGGGATAGGACTCAGATGATTGGGTATCTAATAGATAGATGGACCACCATAGCCGCCGACGCATTTCAGTTTCAAATGGTGTCAACCCGAAGTGCGTCCCGTCGCGATGGATTCCAAGGCCTTGGGCCAGCCGATGCACAGCCGCTACCATGGTCCAGACAAAGTCGGCATCTCCTGCACCTCGGAGACAAGTGAGAAAGAGCACGGTTGCCTGGAGGACGGGTAGACACCGTGATTGGAGAAAACCCGCTCGAGACAGGGCTTGCTGGGTAGCAAAGCGATAGCGCTGTAGAACCACCGAGTGTTCTTCCCCCAGGTAACGAAGACAATCGTCCGGTCTCAAACTGGTTGCTGCAGCGAAATAGACTGCAAAGACCACAGCCTCGGAGGATCGGTCGAGATACTCGGAGTTGGTGGAAGCTTTGGTGATCATTCTATGGAGAGATAGCTTGTGAAAGATTGCGACGACGGGTGCTACATTCTGCTCGTAAGTCTGCCACAGCCAAAGGCTGTGAGTGGTGTTGGGATGGTATTCACGGAGAGAATATGCGAGCGACGAGTAGCCAAAGACAAAGTAGTTGGTATCATTGCCTTGCTCTGGTTCTGCGCACCCCTTGTCGGGCGCTTCTGTGGTTTCTCCAGACGAGGCCACAATGTCCTGGAGCTCTTTGATCTAGTGACCGGCCGAGTGACAGATTAGTTGAAAATAATGCCCGGAGATTAATAAGTACTTTTCTGAACATACCTGGCCCCCGAGGCCAATCAAAGCCTCGTGATTGAGATACTGAGTCGAGTCTCCATCCACGATCAACGTGCCATCGTCTGCTGCACCAGGGCCAGCGCGGCGTGCTTCGGCACGATCCGACCCGCCTGTAAGCTCGGTGAGCTCCTGTTCGAGGGATTTCAGGCGAGCCACCAGCTCCGCCTTCAAGGGTCGTTTCTTTCTCCGCGGGGCGCGACCGGGACCAGGAAAGACGCAGTCCAGGCCGAGTCGAACACAATGGTTGCACGGCACGGTTTTGCTACAACGGATCTTCTTCCGGTTGCACCGATGGCAGCTCCGCTCGCCGCCGCCGGTGGAACATGGATGGGTGGGTGCTAAATCAGCCATCTGCCGCGTTACTCCGAGTCGACAAGGGATTGCAACTCCTGGTGAATCCTGGATCTTCATCGAGGCGGAAGGAATGCCAAGGCGATGACGAAGCGGAGATGATCGTCGGCCTGGATTTCAAGGCCGAGGGGCGGAAATTAGTCAATACTAGTCAGTACTAGTCAATACTGGTCAGTACTGGTGGCGTCTCGGGGCCGACACCGACGCCGAGGCCGAGATTTCTCATCAACTCCGCTAGCAGCCCACGTGTACGCCATCGTACGCCATCCCGAGGTGGCTGAAGTCATTCTCAGCACGGTCTCAATCTAAGACCGAAGTCCGAGGGGCTGAACTAATCTGTAGATGGCTGAACTTTTGATCATCTTGGCAAGATGCATGACCGCTTTGCTTACTGTAATCTATATAACTATGGTTGAGGGGCAGAGGAATTGGTGTCTGTATAACCACACAACTCCAATCTTCACCCTGATCTCAGATACAGTACAACTATAACAACCCATTGCTCGCATCCAGCAAAATGAGCGCGGTATTAATCACCGGCGCGACGGGAAAACAAGGAGGTTCCCTCATTCGAAACCTCATCTCCCGAAAGCCCCCTTCGAGATCCTTGCCGTCACTCGAGATCCTCGCCGTCACTCGAGACCCCACTTCCGCTTCGGCCCAACGGCTCAAACAGCTATCCCCCACTACAGTATCAAGTTGGTACAAGGCAACCTAGATAACCCCGCAGACATCTTCCACAACGCCCGCACACAGACCACTTCTCCCATTTGGGGCGTCTTCAGTGTCCAGGTACAGTATCTTGCACAATTACCATGCCTACCCCAGATTCTCCAAATTCTTTCCCAATCCCTAGCCTTATTACACTAGCCTGTATACGGTTAGACGGGCATATTAGTGCTCTTGGCACTAATGGACACGTTTTGTAATTTTGATGACCTTACTTCTTAACCTTACAGTAGTACACGTAAGAGGAATACCGCAATCTAGAAGCTTCCGTGTCCAGGCAACGCTCCAACAGGGGCACCTCACTGTTGTTTTACGACTTTCTCTTCAAACATACTGTCAAGTTGCTATACTGCCAAAGGTAGTACAGCGATGGCACCACACCTATCGCCATCAAAGATCCAGCTTATATGCTCTATGACGAGTTGCGGCATGTCTATCTCGAAAACCGCTAAAGCTGCCGAATGCAGTAAGCAGGCGGTCAAATATATCCGCTCCAACCTGCGGGTCTTCGGCTCTCCTAGAGCACCGCCAACTCGAGTTGGCCGAGCGAGATTAATCACACCGGTCATGCTGGAAGCACTATGCGAACACCTTCTCGAAAAGCCTGGCTTGTACCTAGACGAGATGGCAATGTTCATCTGGGACGAGTTTGGCCTGTAAGTAGCAACCAGCAGCATAAGCAGAGCGCTTTCCTCGGTCGGTTGGTCCAAAAAGACGGTTCAGCAGAGAGCAAAAGAGCAGAATCCCGATCTACGCGACGAATATAACCATGACATATCTGAATTCAAGTCATACCAACTGGTGTTCGTTGATGAATCTGGATGTGACAGGCGGATAGGATTTAGACGCACGGGCTGGGCCCCTAGTGGTATTGCACCAGTGCAAGTATCCCAGTTTCATCGCGATCAACGTTACCAGATTCTCCCTGCATACTCCCAGGATGGTATTGTCTTGTTCCGCATCTTCAATGGCACAACAGACGCAGTTGTCTTTGAGGAGTTCATTGAAGATCTCCTTCGGTACTGTAGGAAGTACCCAGAAGAAAGGTCCGTGCTTGTAACGGATAATGCTGCATTTCATCACTCCGAGCGAGTAGAGCAGTTATGCTCTGAGAAGGGTGTTAAGTTAATATTTCTACCGCCGTACTCGCCTGATCTGAACCCAATTGAAGAGTTCTTTGCCGAGCTGAAGGCCTTTATAAGGCGACATTGGTATCTCTACGAGGAAGACCCTAGTCAAGGCTTTGAAAATTACCTCACACAATGCGTGGATACAGTAGGAGCTCGAGAGAATAGTGCCAGAGGCCATTTCAGGCATGCGGGTCTAGTAATAGATGAGGTACAATGAAGGAATATATTCAACATGTATATAAAAATATCCATAGATCGGCTGCTAAATTACAGTTAATTATGCGTTTCCATAGACAATTGTTTACCTTTCTCAAAACTGGTATGCGGTTGCAAATGTCTCACTCCATCATGCAGGTACATGCCACGAGAAGAGTGAACCGGTGCGCTTCAATCGCAAGCCGGTAGCTCAGCCGCAAGCGGCGTGGCTTATGTGAGGCTAACAAAACATCACGTGCAAGGCAAGCTCCCAAGTGCTTCGACGTTCTTAGCGAGACAACTTCATCAAAAGCCTTAGTCCAGGCCGTCCGTATAACAGCCCCTTGTCAGTGTCATAGGCTGTTCGCAAATACTCATTCAATGATTTCTCGCGCGCTTCTGGAGGGTCAGCTCGTACCGGATGCTCATGAGCCTCATATTCAAACTCAGGAGGTGCAATCCGAGGACGCAATTGTGGCATAATTTGGCACCGCAGCGACAGCTATTGCCGATATCCGTCAGATTTGGAGTTGTGGGAACCCTCCCCCACAACCCATAAAAAAGGCAAAAAAAAGGCAAAAAAAAAAAAAAAAAAAGAAAAAAGAAAAAAGAAAAAGGAAAAGAAAGGATGAGTCTGGCAAATCTGGCAATCTGTCAACACCCTTCCTGTTCAAATCTCGCCATCCTGGCATCTCGGTGCTTATATGAAGTGCTCGAGGCGTCCAAGTGGAATATGTCAATGATCCTGTCTATCATTCTTTCTAGCTTGTCAGCAGCTGCTTTCCCTAGTGTGAAACACGTCTCTTGGATGAATGCTAACATGCTCTGGACACTTAGGCTTCTTGGTGGCATTTATTCCCTCGAGGAGATGGTCTCTCTCCACTTGAGCCATGGGAACAAACTCTATCGCATACCCCAACTCCTTGTTTTCAGCACCGAAAATACCACCATCTGGTCACTGTCCTCCCCCTAGCCGTACGTTTTTGGGATATTCCACACGCTTGTCACGATCCCAGTCTAGCCAACCAGGTCTCCACGATGATGCTCAATTGAATAGTGGAGGAACAGAAGATGAGCATCTGTCCTCTATATCCTATTTGATCGAGTGGCAGGTGACCCTTAATAACCGGGTCGTAGCAAAAGATACAGAACAACACCTGGTTTCAGGGCCCAGTTCGTATTGGCAGAAGATTAAGCAGAAGGCTGAAAGTGTGCTACATGGGGAAATAGTCCGTCACGACGAGTGAGTTAGACGATACTACAGTATCTGTAAATGAATGTTCATAGCGGGATCTTCCTAAGCGTTTTGAGAAGACTGATATCGTCTGGACAGCTAAAAATAGGCAGAGCCTCATGTGGCAAAATCTACTTCGTCAGCCTAAGAAGCAGCTCAGGATTTTCATATTTATTAACTATATAGAGGACAGCAACCTTCCCCCATCAAGGAAAGCTGACAAAACTAAATTCATCAGTAACTAGCAGGATGGTCAGGTTAATGCTGAAGTCTCTCCTAAACAGGCTTCAGTCTGGAGGGATGTGTACAGCAAAATACGTTGCCTGGTCCACCATGCTATCATGAAGACCAATACTCCGGCCTGATCCAGGAGGGAAAAAGCATTACAAACCCAGAACATATCACACGGGAGTCCTTATTGAATATGAGGAACAAGGCGGTATCATTGAGATGCACGGTGATATTCCAGACACCATGCGTGAACAGCTGTACGCGGAAGAGCGGCAGTGACTTGAAAAGCAACATAAGGCCCCCATCCATCCTCGAACTGAAACAATGTTTCCTCTCATACATATCAATGTCCTCCCGACGCAGTCATCTCAGCCTGTGATATTCTATGTACTCAGGTGGCAACACTTTCGGGAGGTACTTGGAGTAACTCCATTGATATACCTGGGCTTCTCGAAGTGGCTGTGGAGGAATACACTAGTTGGCAACTATCACGCGTGAAAACGGAGATCTTCAAAGATAATTTTAAAAAAGCGCTAATATAACGTACTAGAATTGTCTCGACCTTAAGCAAATCCATTTAAACCAAGACACGAATTTCTTCGTCAAGCAGGGGCGTGAAAGTTGGCGTCGCCCGCCGGTTCGTTGGCGAGATCAGTCTCTGGATCAAGCATTGTGAAACAACAACAGTTAGGACAGAATGAATTGATATATACCGTATTGTGTTTAGAAATCATGCAGTTGTTACAGTAGAGAATCGCCTTCATTGGCAAAAACATTATCACCTGTGAGTCGTGGAAATTTCAGGACGTTAATAATATATTATTAACTGGGTACATTAAAGTTTGGTAGAATGGAGCACTGTGGGACTAGCTTCGGATCTTCGGTACAGATACGGTCGCGGAAATCGGCCCCGTCTACAAGATGTAATGAAACCACCTAATCGAGGGATGTGGGCGCACAGAGCTCTGCTATGTCGTTGAGCTTTGCTTCGGTTTTGCTTAAAGCGTATAGGATGGGTAGATTACACAGCTCGTTGCGACCGTGGCAGATAACTAGGTGCTTGGCACATAGTAGGTGCAAGTTATATGTGGCTGGTACGGTCCTATTAATTAATCCGATTCCGATTCCGAAACACAAAAAGGGGTTCTGCCCCTTTGTTTTGCTTTCCTTTTGCGACAGGGTGAATCCCATTCTTCGATCATCACCGTCCAGCATCATTCTCGTTTCCCTCGCAACTGCAACCACAAGATAGCCATGGATTTTGACCATATTGCTGAAAAGAAACAGGAACAGAAAGCTACCGTTTGGTTGAAACTTTGGTCGAACCGACACCCAGAAGAATTGTCTATGCAGCTTGCTAAGAAGCATCGGCCTGGAAAAACTAAGTCTGCATGCCTATGGAGAAGTGGTGCTTTCAATATATGCTACAGGGTCAGATATGATGATGATGTACATGTCATTGTTCGTTTCGCTTCCCTTGGAAGGGCTATTCTCCGCAGGGAAAAAGTCGAAAATGAAGTCGCAACGATGGAGTACATACGGCACAGCACTTCCATAACTGTTCCTGAAGTGTTCGGCTCTGGTAATTGCTGGGCGGGCCCTTACATTGTTATGTCATTTCTCGAAGGCGTGCCATTGTCACAGATTCTCAAAGATCCTTCTATAGAAGGAAGACCAGTCCTGAACCCGCAGATAAGCGATCGGAGCCTGAAGTGGGCTTATTACGAAATGGCTAAGGTTATTCTCGAATTGTCCAAGCATGAATTTGATTCTATAGGTGCGCTTGCTGAGGATGAGCGGGGTATTTCCATTGCTAGGCGACCTCTCACCTTCAACATGAATGAGTTAATGGCGTCTGCAAATTTGCCTGAAGAGGTTTTCCCCTTGCAACCTTTCAGGTCAGCCACGGACTATTTTAAAGCGCTTGCTATGCAGCATCTCTTCCATCTTCGATTACAGCAACGAGATGCTGTTAACAGTGAGGAGGACTGCCGGAAAAAATTCACCGCTCGTTGTTTATTTCTTAATCTTATGGAGAAAATCTTCCCCCAGCACCCTCAAGGGCCGTTTCGGCTATATTGTGACGACTTTCGTCCTTCAAACGTCCTTGTGGATTGTGATACCTCCCGTGTCTCGGGAGTTATTGATTGGGAGTTCACATATGCTGCGCCTGCTGAGTTTACATATGTAGCTCCTTGGTGGCTCTTGTTGCAAAGCCCGGAGGACTGGGAGGGTGATCTCAACCAGTTTCTGAACCGTTATTCCCCCAGACTTCATGCCTTTTTGAAAGTTCTTGGTGACTATGAAAACGAGTTGATAAACCAACACTCCCTTTCTGAGTCACAGCGCCTCTCTCCACGGATGCAACATTCAATGGATACTGGGTTATTTTGGGTATGCTTAGCAGCAAGATATAGCTCTATGTTCGATGAGATCTATTGGACATTTATCGACCCTCGGTATTATGGAACGTTTACCTCTCTTGATGACCGAATACGGCTTTTGGACCAAGAACAGCAGCGTGATATGAATGAGCTTGTGCGGCACAAGGCTGGCCATTGCACTCAGGATAATGAGAGTTTCGACGATCACTATCCAATTGAGAAGCTACTTGTATTATGATCAAGTATTTATTTATCTAGCATTGAGTTGCGCTGCGGTCTAATAATTAGTGGCGCCCGCAAATAATTGATTCTATGGCCATGGATGCTGAGAGATATTCAACCTGCGCTCAAACAAACAGTAAAGCGCCTATCAGGTGATTTAATGCAAGGCTGTGAGTGGGAATTCCTTTCTGTCCAGCCACTGGTCATCTTGTTGGAATCCAAGTGCAAGGGTATGCCGAGTGTCAACTGGGTTCCTCAATACTTAACCCCTCTTTACCCCGCCCCAACTCGACACCTCTTTCTTTTCTTTTTGGCAGCAGGATCAAAAATAATTGGGAAGGTAGGTAACTAGAGTTGAAATTCAGTCAATGATATATGCTTATATTATGAAAGGACCTCTATCTGAACAAAACCTGCTCATCCGAATCATTTCGACCATGAGTGACCAAAAGGCTCGCGAGAGCTTCGCGTCCATCCTCAGCTACTACCGCCACAATCGCGAGTCGTTGGAAAGGGTCCCAAACTGGGTTGATGACCCTGACAGTCAGAGTATCGTCATTGGCTTTCTTAGGGACGCACCGACCGACGAACAAGTCGAACAGGCTAAGGAGGAACTAAAAGCTTTAATGGCCATAGAGGAAATTAAGGAAACGTTGTCTAAAACGGAGAAGGATTTGTTGACGGCGGCTTCTCTTTCTAGCCGTGCAAAACGACTGCAGAACAAGAAGGACAAATAAGGCGATACCCTTGATTTAGATTTACATATCAACGTACATGTTCTGATTATATGACATTCTATGATGATAGATTTATGGAAAGTTTCAATCTCTGTACATAGCCGCTGCTTCTTACGGTTAGATTGGCATTATTCCGAGACGCCTTCACATGACCAAACAGGCGCAGGTTATAGACATGCCACCTAGTTGTACTCTCATTGCAGCCAGCAGCCTTAGCCATCTGGGAGGGGGTGAATTCGTTACTCATTATCATACCATGGATAAACTCCACGGTTGATGGGGCTGGATTGGGTGCCATCCTGCATTGTTGACCGAGTATGATTAACAAGACCTTCCAGGAGATCTTCGAGTGAACTGAGCGAGGATATCAAGGTGGGGTTATGGAGGTATCTGTTGTATAATTGATACACGTAATGTGAAGCTGTCTTTGTCGTGCCTTTCTTGACCATCCGCCTCTTTTTGGGTGGGCCCGTTAATAACTTACTTCCACCTAACCTCAACGGAGAAAGCGGTCTCATGCTGCCACGTTTGGGAAGACACGTCGCAACCATTCATGCATGCAGTTGGAGAGAAAGACACTGTGCGCGTATGATACATCACCTAATAGCCGCTACCAATCAGTGATCTCTTCTTATCTCTCCTGGGTATGCAAAGATGCCAAGTTAGGCAGCCACTGGTATTCTAGAGTCACCCTTTTAATTTACCTCAACATCGTCAACAAAAAGCAGGACGAAAATGCTAAGCTTTATTTAAGAATAGCCAAGTAGGCCCTACTGAGTCAACACACGCTCTAAGCTCCACAGACTATTTGTACTTAGGAGGAAATGGAGGATGCCTCTTTCTCCCGTTTTCCAGGCTTCCAGCCTAACCCGTCTCTTTCCACGACCGAAGAATTTTCTCGTCTAGCACATCATATGAATTGGAGTACTGGTTCTAAGAGATACAGAAAAGAACTGGCCAAATTCGCAAGCACAGAGTTTGCGCATTATTATGAGATCGGCAATAAGCTCCAAAACTACCAAGCTCTCTGTCAGGAACTGCGGCTCGAGGGGCCTTTTGCTAGCGTCACACAGTGCCGAAAGGTATGTTTTCCCTTGTTTTTAGTTATCAGTGGCTTAGATTCACGGACTAAATCCTAAAGGCTCTTGCTACAGTGCATATCAATATCTTTGACCTAATTGACTGTCGTCGCACAGGAGCGACCGTTCAAAGATTTCCTAACCAAGCCGCGCTCAAGAAGTACACCAGAGAAACCCAAAAGATATTCCCTAAGCAAGCGGCCAAAGCGGACGGCTTTCTTAAAGAACTACTACGCAAAATCTTCTGATTAGGCACGACTGGCGGTACTAGTTCTTTTGACCCAATGATAGGAATTTTGCTCCGAGCATACAAGCTTGGGGCATAGTCTGTAGTCGTCTGAAGGACTGTATGCCATTGCCTCTAATACGACAACGGCTTTGAGCTACCTAGAATTAGTGCCATCGCTGTTAGTCTTACAACCAGTGCCTGCTCTCTTGTTGGGGAAGGCTTCATCTGACAGGCCAAGTAGAATGTTTACTAACAGCATGAATTCTGCTAACTCGGCCTGTCCTGTTCAAATGATCAGCTCTTGTATGGTGTTTTCAGACAGTTCAGCAGCGCAAGATTTAGGCATGGGAGAGTGAAGACGTTCAAGTGTTGACAAATTGCCTCATCTGAGTGGCATGTGCCCGAGTCACCCACGACCGAAGCATCTAGAATTCTGTATGGGCTTTACGCCTCCTGTAAGACCGAGTGTAATTTTGTCAGAAATTACAAGACAAATCGGTACCTGCCAAGAAGTCTAATTTACAGGCTAACTATATACAGACTAGTATATATATTAGGGTTTGGGAAAAGATTCGGGAAGAGTCTGGGGTAGGCATGGTAATTGTGCAAGATGCTGTACCCACCCACCTCCATTTTAACGGGACCACGAACTAACCCAACTAGTTGGCCATCGGCAGCAATGTCGCCGAAGAACCACAAGGGAAGGCTCTGGTCGACGAGTCCCTCAAGCAAGGCGTCAAGTTCTTCGTCTATAGCTCCGTAGACCGTGGTGGAGAGGCCTCCTGGAACAATCCCACCAATGTCCCGCACTTTCTCAGAAAACACAACATTGAGCATCATCTAGCGGATCGCGCCAAAGGGAGCGGGATGGAATGGACCATCCTACGTCCGGTGGCGTTTATTGATAACCTGGTTCCTGGATTCCTGGGCAAGGTGTTTGTGACGGCTTGGGAAATGGCCCTGAAGGGCAAGTCTCTTCAGGTAATTGCAGTCAGTGATATTGGGCATTTTGCTGCGGATGCTTTTCTCAACCCCGAGGCATACAAGGGCAAGGCGGTCTCGTTGGCTGGGGATGAATTGACGTTTGATCAGATGGTACAGGTCTTCCAGCAGAAGACTGGACAGCGTCTGCCTACTACCTTTCAGTTTGTATGCTCTCTTCTCTTGGCCACTATGAAGGACATGGGTTCTATGTATCAGTGGTTTCATGATGAAGGCTTCGGTGTTGATATTGGCGAGCTGCGAAGGCAGTATCCGGGTTTGAAAGATGTCGGGGCCTGGCTGGAACAGGAGAGTAAATTTGTCAAGGGCTAGGTAGGTGGATGGCCAGTTTATAACCATGATACTAATGTTTAATTCTCATGAATGACTATAATCATATGAACAACGCTGAGAAGTAGCTCACTACTGAGCACTGCTGTATTGCATAAAATCCTGATGGTATCTACTCATACCAAACCAGACACATTAGCCATCAACATTTCCTCCAAAGAACTCCATCCCGACTTTCCCATCTCCTTCAACAGCTCTTCGCATCGTCTATTGGATTCAACATCCAACAAGGTGACTTCCTTGGACTCACCATAGAACCCATCGGGAAAGTCGCGACCGGGAAACAATTTCCGGAGAGCAGCCATAAAGTCAGGCCAGAGAAAAGGGATGCCAAATACGAAAAGACGCTCATTATGAACCGTAGGGTTGGACAAGCTTGCTACATGGAGGAGCCCGACATCTTCAAGCCCAACGCAGTAGCCCCCTTGTATTGATTAGTACATGCTTGAGGCAAGCTCTAGCAGCCGCTCTTACCGATAGGGGTGGTGGAGTTTATATACGAGTGGACCGACTCCGGTTCATTCTTAAAGATTGCTGCTGGCCAGATAGATGTAGACGGGTGGCCCTGGTGTTCCGGGTCCAGCGAGGCACCAAAGCTTACGGATGGTAAAACTGGCTCATGAATCAATCATTAGCGGTGTCTTCCACATCAAGGGCTGGGTTACCTGTGTTGGTCACGAATCCGGGCTTGTGCCGTTCCACCCAGTCCCAGACCCCCCGCTCACCGAAGACCTTGCTGGCGCTATAGACATGGAAATATCTCTTCGGGTCAGAAAGCGACCTCGTCTGCGCTCTTTGAATTGAGAACTCGTTCCACGATTCGGATGTTACTGGTTTATCCACCGGCTCATCGAAAGAAATCGAAGTTGCCGCCTGGGCGGAGGAGGTGTAGACGAAGCGTTTCACGTTGGATTCAGCTGCGGCGGACGCAAGGATATTGCAGTCCGATTTGTTTATGGCAGCAAAGAGCTCATTTGGATCTTCAGGGTCCTCGAGAATAGTGGCGACGTGCGCGATGCCTGAGACACCTGTTGATGTTGTGCAGTGGAGGGTTTAGATATCTCAACTTGGTTCCAGACATTAGGAGAACAAGCCCTTGATGGCTTCATTGAAAGCACCCGGGCGGAGTTGATCCTCGATCTGGACCAACTGGAATGCCTCGTCCCCGTATTTGCGATGGAAAAGCGTCCGGACCCATTGGCACCTCTGGCTATCCCGCACGGTTCCCCGCACTCGGTAACCGTGGGCGAGTAATTGATCGGCGACGTGGGATCCCACCAGACCATTGATGCCGGTGACAAGCACCCAGGAGCCTAGGGGAATGGCAGGAGTGTCGGCAATTCCAATTGTTGTCCTGATATTCCTTCACTGGGCAGGAATAAGGGCGGAGGTGTGTCTGGGCCGATTTGATATATGAAGTGCCACGTAGCCTTGCCTGGTATGTAGTGCACCCCGCACCTAGCAAGGAGTATTTGAAATAGTGCGGCATTTCGGCCCAGTGAGATTGATCGTAGTATCTCAAGGCATCCATAATTCAGCTGGCATTGCCACCTTCGGGAATAGCAACCAGCGAAGGCGGACGGCAAGTCACCGTTCATCCTACTCCAAAGCGGGAAATTATAAATTATATAGATGTAGTGCTAGCAGTAAAACAGGGACATACGATACAAGGAGGACGATTAAAGTATCCTGTGTTCTGTCATATAGTAGCCTGGGTGTCTCCCAACTTGACTGTGTCTGCCACCTCTCCAGTGCAACACCATAACCCTCGCCAAGAGTATGTCTCCAATAACCATGCTGAGTGTCGTTCTGACATTTACAATGCCATCACTCTGGTTGTCTTTTGATCTGGACTTGTGTAACTCATCACGTGCTGCAGACGACCCTGCCCTTTGGGATTCAAAAGAGCCGAGGAAGTATATCGCGGCACTCGACCAGTCGGGCTTACATGGAGCATTTTGACGACCAAACAGAATACACCGGGTAACCGAAAAACATGCACCGGTATAACAACCCCGAGAAAAAAAAAATACACTGTGAACTTGTCTTCGTCTGCATATTGTAGTTGTTAACAGGTTCAGGGTCAATATATATACTTCCTGATCATCAGATATTGCTAAAATCTCACGGTCACGATGGATCAAAATGTGATACAGGAAATGGCCTTCTGTATATGAGACATGGAGAGCCAGAATGGTAGGGCTGCCAGGCGATGAGTCAAACAGGCTAGTCACGGCACGAATCCTCAGGAGCCAAGTGCCTTTTCCCCGCAACCAACTCAACACCTCCAATCCAAAAATCCCACGACCATGGCGGAGAGAGTCTCGGAATTACGCTTCCGATCGGCGAACGTCCCGACGCGATATTTCAAGGCATGTCGCTGGTGCCGAAAGCAGAAAATGCGCTGCGATGCGCGCAACCAGGTCCCTTGCGCCCGGTGTCGCGCCGTCGGCCGAGATTGTATTCTCGACCCGGTCGACCACGCAAGGCGTCGCTCCGACCGGCCACCGACCCCGCCCACTCACCCTGCGCGGTGGGTATTTTCCCATCTCCTCTATATACCATGGCCAGGACCTAGCTAATCCGTTGCATGTTAGCCCCAGACGACAGACGGCACGGTCTCCGTGGAGCGAGCACAATGGGTTTGGTAGTCCTTCCCCCCAAGAACAAGACTATCCCGCCGCGGCAGTGCCAGAAGTGCCCATCGATGCCTCCATCGATTCTTTGCCTGAGTCTACGGCCGTGGGGAATTTGGGATCGCCCGGGACTGCAGACCGGCATGCACAAGAACCCCAGCAACTCAGTCCCAATGACATGATCGCCCCCGTCTCCGTCATGCACTCCATGTCGGTCAATCTCCTGGGATCTAGCAGCGTGAGTCTGAAAAGGAAATATTGCAGGTGTTTACTGAACGATTTATAGATTTTCATGGACAGTTCAAGCAAAGCGGACCCCAAAAGCGACATTATCGCCAGAGGGATTATCAGTGAAGAACGTGCTCGGGTCATGTATGACCGGTATTACCGTCCTCTATATGAGTCTACCCGGCGGAGGACTGACATATGCTACCAGATTTATGGGAGGAAGTAAAAATTTCTTGGCACTGTTTGATCCCATCCGCGACACCTTCGATTCTATTCGCTCTCGCTCTCTCTTCTGCTTCTCCGTGATCATCTACCTGGCAAGTCGGGCGGTTATGGACTTGCGGAGCGATACCCATCTGCAGCGCGTGCTTCAGGATGAAGCGCAGAGACTTGCCGAGGATAGTTTCTTCGAACGCCCAACAAAAGTCGAAACCGTCCAAGGAATGATCCTTCTCGCCGCCTATTCTGAAAAAACTTGGTTCTCAACCGCACTCATCCTGCGTACCGCGCTCGATTCCGGGCTAGAAAAATCGCTGGATGCCCTGCTCTCTCAGGAGAATGTGCCTCGAAGTTACTTGTCTGCTTCGATGGCGGACCGTAAGCTGGTGTGGCAGACCAGGACCTGGCTAATCAGCTTTACACTGGAACTGGACGTAGCCTCCGGCACCGGCCGCAAGTCCCGGATCGACGCAGTGGACACTATGAAGTTACGGAAATTTCTCGAGTATCCGCTCTCCCTGCCCTGTGATCTGCGCACAATATCGATCATCGAAATCCATCAACTCAGAAGTATGACTATAGGCTCCGCTCACCTGGCCGTGCTAACATGGTCTAGGCCAATCTCGAATGTCTATTGAGAACTGCAAGACGATCGGCGAAATTGTCTTGGTCGAGCTCCCTGCGGTTATGGCGAGGTTGCAGACCTGGTGGAATACCTGGGATGAGATCCATGACAGTAAGTCGGCAATCACACAGTAGCGGTCAATTATACCGACAAGGGCTGAATCTCCGCAGACAATGCATTTCATGCGGGTGCCTTTCAACGCTGCAGTCTCAAGTTGATGCTGAACTACGGCAGAATATTTGTGCTGTGCGCCTCATTGGCTCGTATTCAGAAGCTCCAATCGAACGCTGCCGAGTACGACTCGGAAACGGATGACAAGGATATTTCGCACCTGTGGCGGTCTCTGGCCGCGACCATCATGGAACAGCTGGCCTGTTTTATCCGGGAAAGGGCCTACTCCTGCCAACTCTCATGGTCCCCGACATATCCAGCGCTAAATATTGCCTTTGTCAGTAAGTCAACCCCCTGAAAGGCAACATATGCGACGTGGTGGGTTCAGCTAACAGGGAAAAGCGACATTCGCCCTTAGAATCGCTCGATGGCGCCCAGACCTGATCGATCAGGAGCTTCTCCTAGAACGAGCCCAGCTGATCTGCGATTTTCTCAAGCAGCCGCCCTATCCGGATATCCACCGGACCGTGTCCATCTTCGTCAACTACTGTCGTGCCCTGGTCGCTAGCCAACGAGAGCACGGGGAGTATTGCGCCGAGGCGACAAAGAACTTTGAGCCAGCCAATGGGCAACTGTCGCTAGGTAGGGAGACAGACGGGGCATCGGTGGAGCTGTCAACTTCGACAGGGCTGCCAGCCGAGCAGGTGAGCTACCGAACTGGCGCCATGACCCCTCAGGCCGACAAAGACCCTGCTGCTGCTGGGCTGCCCAATAGCACCGACAGATCGGCCCCTGCCCGGCCGCCCCCCGCTCGACTACCGGGCCCAATGGAGGCTCCCAATTGGTCGCTGTGTAATCCAATCGCCGACTCCTTCGGTTTGTTTGAGGAGGAGCAGAACGACATCTTTGATTTCCTGCCTATGATGCCTTCCATGCCGCAATAGCCCTCGTATACCCCGGCCATCAATCGAATTCTAGCCTCCTATGGATCTGTTCTTCACCAGGTGTCTCGAATTGACCTGTAAACTACAGCATCGGACCTGGGGTACTCGTTGTCAACCCCTGCTGGCATCAATGACGATGGTCCACACGCCGTAGGTCAGCACCTTTACGCAGGAGTTGGGGTAGGAGATAGCTCGAAGTTATCTTGTTCTTTGGAACTGGAATGGATATGCTTGCAACGCCTGCAGTGCTGGAACCGACTTGTCATTACACGACCTGCCTCTTGCTTGGAAAATTTTCGCACATGTGTCTAGGCGATCATTCCCCGGTGGATCACAGAATCTGATTCACCGACTTGAGACGAGTCGCCAAGGACAAAAATTTCCAGGATGGTGGTCTTGAACGCAAACTCGTGGACCGGCTCCTGCTCGGGCCCGTTGCCAGGATCCTTCATGGGACCGGCCCCGGACCGGCCCCGCACTCGCGGGTGCGGCAGCCGAACATCCAAGGCCGCCCATTGGGCCACGAGTCTATACTGGCGGTCCAGATCTGTGTGGACTGTCGCAAAAGGTCTGCAAGATACGTCCAAGGCCCATGACTCACGGAGTTCTATCTCAGGCCTCTCAGTTTAGGAAGAGTATAAAACCATGCCGTTCGTCAATGGCTGAACCCCTCGACGGTATGCAAGAACATCGCCCAAGTAGCGAAGAATTGGTTGCACCCCAGGCAGAGACAACATCATGGCTACTGAGCGTTGCTCCGGTGCTCCCATCAAAGATTACGATCCTCCAGGTATGACCTCATCCCAGCACTCCCTTGCGTCTCGCTAACCCTGCCTCCTTATCTCATCCTAGATCCCAGCTGGAACCAGAGCAAAGAGGCAATCCCTTCCACTGTTCCAGTGGGAAAAATGGCTTCAGACGGCCAAGGATACCGGCTCACCAGGTTGGGGGAAGACCAAATATTGGTAGACTTTGATCATGGGTCTCCTCAGAACCCGGTCAATTGGAGTCATGTGAGTGATGCGCCCGCCGGACGATCAATGACTCGACTTTCCAGCTGACCGCAACCCATCGATTCCAACAGGCAAAGAAAATGTACACCGTTTTCACAGCTCTTTTTCTCGTTCTGAACTCCGGAATATCGTCGTCTTTACCTAGCAATGTTGTTCCATCGATAATGCAGGAATTTAATGTAACCGGAGACTCGCAAAAGGTTCTGCCCACAGCCGTATTCCTCATCGGATATGTCGTGGGTCCCTTGCTCTTCAGTCCACTGAGTGAGACGATTGGAAGAAAGCCCGTTCTGCTGTGGAGCTTCACTGTGTTTGTCCTGGCAACGCTGGGATGCGCCTTCGCCCCGAACTGGCCGGCGATGCTGATTTTTCGATTTATCTGCGGAGCCATGGGTTCCGCTCCCCAGACCGTGGTCGGCGGAGTCTATGCAGACATGTTTTCGACTCCACGAGCCCGTGGGCGGGTGATGACCTTTTATATGGCGGTATGTTGCACAATCTATGTCTTCTGAGACTCTTGTCTGACACCCACAGGCTGCTAGTTTCGGTCCGATCATTGGGCCAATCATCTCTGGGTGTAGCTCCCAATACGGCTGGCGATGGACATTCCGCATCGACCTTATCCTTACTGGCTGCAGCTTGCTTGGATCCCTTTTCATGCCAGGTGTGATGTCTTTGAGTCAGTAGATTGGTGTCTGCAGCAGGCTAACATTGAGTGGATAGAAACCTTCGGTCGCGTCATTCTCAAGAAACATGTAGCCATGCTGAACAAGAGCGCATCCATGCCTAGCTATGTCTCACAGCAGGAGCTTCAGAGCGTAGCCGTCGACTGCAGCTTTGCGCAGACATTGACGCGACCCATCACTATGATGATCTTTGAGCCAATCATCCTGTTCACCGGAATTCACATATCGCTTGCCTACGGCCTCATTTTCTTCTGCTTTCAGGCTTACCCTATTATTTTTGAAGGTACTTTCCCTACTTAGTGCCTCTTAATGTGTCAGGCCGACAGCGTCTGCATTGTTTGAAGGACCTGGCTGACTGGAGAAGACACCTATGGCTTCAGTATCCAACAAACTTCGTTGTGCTATCTACCCAGTAAGTGGTGGGATCCGATATCTACTCTTGATTGGTACTAAGTATATTAGTTGGGATTGGCGCTGCATCCTCCGGGCTGTTTTCACTGTATTACGACATCATTTATGAGCGAGCCAAAGCGCAGGGGAAAAAGTGGACGTCAGTGCCCGAGCTACGGCGACTCCCAATCGCTTGCATCGGCGGCCCCTGTCTCACCATCAGTCTCTTCTGGTTGGGATGGACGGCCAACCCCCAGATTTACTGGCTGGTTCCGGTGCTGTCGGGCCTGCTGTTCGGGTTCGGATACCAAATCATCTTCATCTCGCTGTTAACGTATGTCACCGATGCGTACAAGATCTATTCCGCCAGCGCCCTCGCAGCATCTGTCATCATGAGGAGCATCCTGGGGGCTGTTTTCCCCTTGGCGGCCAATCCGATGTATTCGACTCTCGGAATTGGATGGGGCACATCAGTGCTGGGGTTCGCGAGCCTGGCCTGTGTTCCCATCCCGCTGGTCTTTCTGTACACTGGGGCTTGGATGCGCAAGAAAAGCTCCTTCTGCCAGCGGTTGCTCAAGGAAGAGATTGCGAAAGAAGTGCAGGTGACGCAGCCTGCCACAAAGGAGGAAGTTTGACGTTCGTGTCACCACAACAGGCCGCTTTCGTCCGCTCAATGAATGCATTTCCAGTCACATAAAAGCTTGTCTTCTTTTTCAAGCCCAATCTCGACATCACCCCCTCATCAAAGGCCATTTTACTTGCTCTTTCATTCTTCCGTTCGGCACGATATTCGACAAACAGAATCGCTGCCTTTATCACCTTTCGACAAACCAGAACACCAGCCGTAGGACAGACTCGGCCGTGGTCACTCATTTCGGAGACGTCACACAACAGCTGGACAAATTAGCGAGGGCAGACAAACCTTTGGAATTACGATTGATGATTTACAACGGCATAAAGTATATGAGTTTAGATGATAGACATACCTGGGAGCTTTAATAGATAGTTTAGTTAGACAAGTTATATCAAGACCGCTTATCACCAAGACGATGGGTGATTCACTCAATGCCGATCCATTCCCGCCTGAGGCCGTGAGGGGGTGTGAATTTCTCTCCCGTTACATCCCAAGAGGGGCTTGTGTCGCCTTTTTCCTTTCTGTCTCCCCGCCTCCCTTCACCCCCGCTTCACTCCCCGTTCCTGATCCCATATTCGTCTCCCATCTCTACAAACCTTCTTAGCCGACCAGAATTTTGAAGATATCGATGAAGATTGCACTTCTTCTCATCCTGGGCCTGGCTGTCCTCGTGTCAGCCGGGGAACTGGTGACGACCATGTACCCTGGCCCCTGGCTGATGAGCCCAGAAAACAAGGTTGCCTCTGTCATGGGAAACGTAGGTTCTGAGCAGATGTTATTCAGTCATGCATGACTAAGAATACCCCCTAGAATGGCACTGAGACAACCTACAGCATCACTTGTGCAGAAAACACTCAGTTTACATGGTGCGATATCGACGACGGACTGACCCTCACTGCTGGTGGATCACAAACCACAGTTGTTCGCCAGATCTCGTCCGTTGACGGGTACGAAATACTGGGCATGTGAGAGTTCCTTGAATTATGCTCAATATTGTGCGTTGAAACTTACAGCTTCATTAGATCTCAGAAGGCGATCTGTTCCGTGGATGGTACGACATCAGCCACCTGCACTGTCACTGATATGCACGAGACACCAAGTTTCTATACGGTGATATCTCAGGGTTTTGAAGGGGAATCTTTCTCGCTTGTACCTGTCACCATTACCGCGGGGACAATCACTCAACTATCGGATACTATTGTCACTATGTCAGGGAGCAGCCCAAGTCGTCCGACGTCCCACTCGGCCAGTGCTACATCGGGGTCGACCAGTCGCGTCTCTAGTGCGGAGCCTAGTGCTAGCAGCGATGGGGGATTCATGAGTATTATGACTACCAAGAGCCAGGCATCGACCACCTCGTCCAGTTCCTCGGTTCGGAGCACCGGAGGAGCGCCAATGCCCACGGGGGAAGTGGCTGTCATAGCCGGAGGGGCCGCGATGGCGTTGCTGGTGGCCGTTTTGTGAACAGGGTGCCAACATTAAGAAATAAGCGATCGTGGAGGTTGTGGAAAGCATAAGATGTTATGAGAGCACAACTATGTATCATGCTTGGCAGTGAGACGGCTGTCATCGGACTAATAATGAAAACGCCCCGTTGGTGCCCCGCCCATATAATCACTACCTTCATCGGTTAATATCTACTAGATATCTCATTAGCTGATAGGCATGGGGTATACGCCGGTTGCCGATCGGGCAGTCGGCAATAACGTCATCCTCAGATGGCGCCGGCCCGATGGCTATAAGCACCACCAAGCGCTTCCTCTCCGTGTATCAACTGCAGAATGGCATCTCAGCAGATGGAACCAGATTTATTTGATAGGACCGATTTCGCAAATGCCTCCCGGGGCTTGATCGGGTCTCTTCAGCCGGGCATCATCCGGGCCGCCGATGGCCGAACGGTGTACAACGACGCCTACGACTTCTTGCAAGCGTCGGAATGCCCGGCCACCGCGAACCCAAAGCTGTGGCGGCAAGGCCAATTGGCCTCGATGCAGAGACTGTTCGAAGTGACCCCAGGTATCTACCAGGTCCGTGGCCTTGACTTGGCCAACATGACCGTCGTCGAAGGCGCCGAGGAGGTTATCATCATCGACCCTAACATTCGTGGAATGCGCTGCTGCCGCCTTGACTCTGTATAGAAAACGTCGCGGCGATAAATAAACCCGTCACTGGAGTGATTTACTCCCACTCTCATATAGAGCATTTCGGGGGAGCCCAGGGGTCCTCCCTGCTTCTCCCGCATCACAGTCAGTGTCCATCCCACTTATTGTGCCAGAAGGGTTCGTGGAGGAGGCTATGAGCGAAAACATCTACGTCGGGCCCGCCATGCATCGTCGCGCACTGTACATTTACGGATACCAATTACCCAAGTCGCCCAATGGACAGATCGGGTGTGGAATCGGAATGACTGTCTCGAGGGGGACAACCTCCTTTGTGCCTCCCAATACGATTGTCAGCTCAACTGGCGAACGGACCATTGATGGGGTCCGGATTCAATTCCAACTGGTTCCTGAAACGGAGGCGCCGGCGGAAATGAAATTCTTCTTCCCCGATCATCGGGCATTGTACATTGCCGAGTGTGCCACGCATAGTCTGCATAAGATCATTACGCTCCGCGGGGCTTTGGTTCGCGATTCGAAAGCCTGGGCACGGTACCTCGACGAGTCGCTTGTCCTGTACGGTCAAGAATCGGACGTCTTATTCGCCGGTCATAACTGGCCGACTTGGGGACAGAGTGAGATTGAACGGCTGATCTACGAACAGTGAGGCATGTACGCCTACCTACATTATCAAACTGTGCGCATGATGAACCAAGGCTTGACCGGGATGGAGATCGCCGAGACCATGGCCCTCCCGCCCGCATTACAAGCGGCATAGCATGTGCAGGGATTCTACGGATCGGTCAGTCATAATGTGAAAGGAATCTACCAGCGGTACATGGGATGGTTTGATGGAAACCCGGCGCATCTGTGGGAGTATCCGCCTGTCGAGAACGCGAAGCGATACGTGGCATGCATGGGCGGAATTGACGAAGTGGCTGCAAGGCCGAGAGATTCGCGCAAGATGGGGATTTACGATTTGCTGCCACCCTCCTGGGACACGCGGTCTCCTTTGATCCAGAACATGAGAAGTCGGAGGGACGCTGGCCGGGGTGTTGGAGCAGTTAGGGTTCGGGGCGGAGAACGCCACATGGCGCAACTTCTACCTGTCGGCGGCGCGGAATTTGCGCGCGGCGCCCCAAATTAAACCGATGCCCCAGAGTCGGAGTTGAATCCGGGGCAGTCGGTGGAGTAGTGGCTGGCCCTACTGTCGGTCCGCCTGGATAGGCCTCGAGCGGCGAGCGAGGCGTTTACGGTCGACATCGAAGTGACCGACGAGGAGCAGCGATGGACGCTGATTCTCAGCAACGGGGTGTTGACGAGCCGAAAAGCCTCCGGTCGGGCTGCTTTTCAAGACGAGTCGGGCTTTTCGATGTCGCTGACAAAGCGGCGCTTGCGGGAGATTTTGAGCGGGAATGCAGATCTGGAGGGGGTTGATTCAAAGGGAGACACAGCATTACTCCACCGATTGCTTGCTTTGACAGCGTGATCCCATTGATAACTGAGTTAATTTTGCGCGCTGGTAAACAACCATCTCATTCCCGCGCTGTCGTGGCCGCAGTTTCAACCAATCATTCGAGACTAGTCATCCCGTGTCTCAGGAAACCCTAGGGGAAGCGAAAAGACGAGCGCTAGGCGTCGCGGCGAAAACGTTGAGAACATGGAAAGCGTTGAAGTTAATTTGGTTCCAGAAAAGTCTAAGCGCGACCGAGGCGCGTTTAGGGGGCGGCGCAGCAGCGGATGTTTTTAGGGCTGCAGGGCGTAGCCAGCAGGCATCCTGCGAGGCCAGTCCCTACGGAGTATCTCTGTCTATTATCTTGATCTTCCATGCAGACCATCAATGCTCAGTTCCCTGTTTTCCTGCTTCCTTTCAGCCTACCGTGTCCACCACCGCGCACTTAATTCTCTCCTGGACCGTTTTGTTGGGATTTCCCCCCACAATGAACGGGCGGATCCGTGGATGGGTCTCGACCTGTCCGGTTTTCGGTTGCCACTAGCGATCCCTGGCAAGCCACTAGAGACTCGACGACTCAGCGTCTGCGAGGTTAATGGAATATCCTGTCGCCCATGGGTCCACCTCGGGTCTCTGAGAATTTCAAGAACTCGTCCCGTCTGATTGGTCAATGCCCGCGACGCTCAGGAGAGACCCTTGCCTTTCACAAGGAAAATTTAGATCTCAAATTGTACATAGGGAGCAGCGTCTGTCAGTTCTCCGTGCTTTGTTTCGTTCCCTGTGCGAGTATCCAACATGGCCGAACTTCGTAAGGTGTCTGCCAACCAGGCAGCGGTATGTCCATTCCCTATGTTTATGCCTATGCCCTAAGTCACGCTGCTAATAATGCTCCCTCTCTCTAGCAGCCAATTGACAATGACAACGTCCCCAGCCTCCAAGCCCTCAAAGACGCCATCCCCAAGGAATGCTTCGACTCCTCCGTCGTGACCTCCCTCCTCTACCTCGCCCGCGACATTCTCTACTGCGCCATCCTCACCTACGCCGCCTTCCACATCCACCTGCTCCCCTCCCTGCCCCTCCGCGTCATCGCCTGGGCTGCCTACGGCTTCTTCCAGGGCTGCGTCGGAACCGGACTATGGATTCTCGCTCATGAATGCGGCCACGGCGCCTTCTCCAAGCACCAATCCTTCAACGACTTCGTCGGCTGGGCCACCCACTCCTTCCTCATGGTTCCCTACTTCTCCTGGAAAATCACCCACGCCCGCCACCACCGCTACACCGGCCACATGGAAAAGGACACCGTCTTCGTCCCCTGGACTGACGACCAACTCGCCAAGAAGAAGAACGTCCGCATCGAACAACTCAAGCATCTCGCCGAGGAAACCCCCATCGTATCCTTCGTCCAGCTCATCGGCCACCAATTGTTCGGCTGGCAATTGTATCTCCTCTTGAACGTCACCGCCGGCCCCAAGAGTCTGGCTGATGGTCGTGGCCGTACCGGCATATCCAGCCACTTTAACCCCTTTGGCGAGATCTTCACCGCGTCGCAGATGCTTAGTGTTGCCCTCTCGGATCTGGGTCTGCTCATCATGGGCTCGATCCTGTACTATGCGTCCACGCAGATCGGAGCCTGGAATGTCGTTCTCTTGTACTTTATCCCTTATCTGTGGGTGCATCATTGGTTGAGTACGTATCATCCATCAATACACACCACGGAAGGCAGAATACTAACAAAAGCAGTCGCAATCACCTACCTCCAACACACCCACCCCGACGTCCCCCACTACTCCGCCGACACCTGGACCTACACCAAGGGCGCATTGGCCACCATCGACCGCACCACCGGCTTCATCGGCCGTCACTTCTTCCACGAAATCATCGACTACCACGTCGTGCACCACCTCTTCAGTCGCATTCCCTTTTACAAGGCCGAGGAGGCTACCCGCGCTATCCAGCCCCTTCTGGGCAAGAACTACCGCGAGGAAAAGCAGACGAGTTTCTTGTATTCGCTGATGACGACCTTCCGGAAGTGTATCTATGTCTCGGATGGGGGGAAGAAAAATGGCGTTTTGCATTTTGTTATGTCGGAGGAGGCTAAGTGATGCGTGTTGGGTTTTGGTGTGGTATTTTATTGGTTGGGTGGGGTGGTTTGGGGGTGCGTTGGATTTGCATATAAATAAATATAAGTATAGATTAGATTGATGGATAGATGGATAGATGGATAGATTTGTATCAAAATCATTGTGTTTGTGCATATTTTGCGATTTCCGAGGAAAATGCCGTTGATAGTAATCATAATGTTTGTTTCTTTGTCTATGTCTCGGGTTACATACCCTAATATTCCATTCAATAACAATCTCATCAATATAAATCATCTACTCTCCTCCAAATCCCAACCTTAACCTACCTCAACCGGAATAACCCTAACCAACCACCCACCTTCATCCAATACCAAGGCACATTCCCATTCCAAATCTACCAACCAACCACTAAATCCAATCCCAAACCCCAAATCACGACTCCTCCCATTCGCACCACGCAATGACCCATCATCTCCTAACAAAGGACAACAACCACTAACAAAGCAACAACAAAGACCCAACCATCAACCCACAAACACAAATCCATTTAAACTTCCCGCCAAGGAAATCACCGTGTACCTCCCGTAAAGAAAGACAGAGACCGGTTCGGGGCCCTGTTATTGAGATCTTAGCTTTGTTGAAGTCTCGGGTGGTGTATTAGTATTATCTCAATGGGTAGGAGGTGGTAGGGAGGGTTCCTGATGTGTATAGGTGGAGTAGGGGGGGAGTTGGTGGTTAAGAGGGGTATATATAGGTTGTTTGTTGCGGGTTGTTGAAATGTAGGGATTGGAGTGAGTATTGAGTGTTTACTGTTGAGTGTTGGTTAACCGGGTTAGTCGAGCTGTGAAGGCGTGAGATTTACTTGGATTCATCTCGTTTCTGGATTCTTGTCCGAAGAAGAAGCAGCAGCAGCAGCAGCAGCAGCAGCAGCAGAAATGTCATCCAAGCCTCCATCTATCATCTACGTTGGGGATAATCATCCGTTCTATTCTCGCCAAGGAAGTCCATCTGATGATTCACGGTCCTTGGAAGGCGACGAAAATTCAAACTCATACTCATACTCTGGCTCAGATATAGACTCCATCGCAGATCAACCACAATACTCTCCCCCCTCACTCATTTCCCATCCACTCCCCCAACTCCCCAAATTCCCCAAACTCTACATCTACGACGGCGACAACGCCACCGCTCTCGCCATCCGCCAATTCATCCACGAACGCGGCGGCGTGCGCATCCGCTCCGGACTCCTAGATGTCCAACCGAAAGACCAGGTCCTGCCGTTGTTGGTCCATGAGCATGATTATGCAGGCGAAGTACCGATCTTGTATCTGGATCATCCGGCCCGGAGACCCGTGGAGAAGGTTTTTGGGTTCGGGCCGATCACCGAGTATGTGGATAGTGTGGCTGTCGGGGGGAGGAAGTTGTACGGGGACACGGCGCAGGATATGGCGGTGGTGCGGAGCTTGATTTATTGTTTGAATAGGGATGTGGTGGAGCCGTTGTATGGTTGGAATAATAATCGTCCTGGGAATGGGTCCGGTGAGGAGGTGACGGGGTTGGTCCCGGTGCCGAGCCGGCAGGAGGTGTTGAAGAGGAGGGTTTTGGAGAGTTTGGAGAAGATGGAATTGGATTTTTTGGAACAGGGGAAGGGGGGTTGGAAGGATCGGGGGGAAGGGATTGGGGAGAGCAGGTGAGGTGGAGGGAGGAGGAGATGAGGTTGCAGGAGACAGGATATTTGCTAGGGAGGTCCTCTGCTGCGGATGTGTTTTTCTTTAGTCTAGTTGTGGCTCATGGGGATCGGTGGGATTGGTTTTTTGATGATGACCCACGACCGAGAATTACCCAGTACTTTGATCGAGTGCGACAGAGGCCGATGACGGGTTTTGCGTATGAGTTTTGGGATACGGAGGCGGCGAACGTCGTGAAGGAGGGGGAGAGATGGGGGTTTATATAGTGTTGTGGGTAGTGCATACAAGGACTGACATTCGCGAGCTGTGGTTTCAGTTTTTATTTTGGGCAAGTCCCGAGTCTGCCTATAATGGTTCGATATGGAGAGCTGATGCTATATCGATTCTGACTTCCATTGTTTCTCTAAGTATATGTGTCAAGTAAATTGTTCAGAGGAAAGTATCGTTGTCTAAGAAACATCAATGAATATACGTGCCGAGCTGCCATAATTGTTGAAGTTGGATGGCCTCTCCTTGTTGTCTGGCGGATATCATCGTGTCGTTATGTCTGCTTTGAAAGGACAGTCAAGTGCAAGTGGATGGAAGATTCACGGGCTTAACCGTGAACAGGGGTAAGTCCTCGGGATCACGAACTTGATCATGGGCTGAATGTCGAATATGGGCAAACCGCCCCAGGACATGGTAATTGCGACTGCAGGATTGGGTGCGGATGCGCCGACATCCATGTGCGGTTATCCCATCGGCTGGAAGGTCAGCTGTTCTTCCGGGGATCGTGCCATAGCGAATAGATGCCGGAGCAAACCATCATGTAAATCTGAATACCGGTTGTGAGCGGGGATCAGCTGGATGGTGGCCAGCCAGACTAAGAACGGGATGCATTGACGTCCGTTGTATGATTGGCTCCGTATTGTGGAAAATCGAGGGATTAGTGCAGCAAGAGCGTCGGCGATATTCCGCTCCTGATTGGTGGCCAATTGCCCGATGGCCGCTGCCGCCAGGGCATCCGGGTTAATCCAACCCCGTACAGCCGGACATATGGACCCCAGATGGCCAGCCAGCTCAGCATATAAACCCTCTCGCTGTGATGTAGATTCTTCATTCAGTCTTCAACCCATTTATCGATTACAAAATCAATGAAAATGACCTTTTCCGCATCCTCAACCAGCGAACAAGTCTGTCAAGTCCTCGCGACCAAATCAAAGGCAGTATAGGTACATCACCGCCCTCCTTTCATCCTGCATGTCTATGACACAGCTCTGATCGAACGTCGTCAGTCCTCATCACCGGAGTATCACCAGGAAGCATCGGCGCCCACGCGGCCCTGCACCTCTCCCGACACAGTCCCGCTTTACTCATCCTCGCCGGACGAACCCTGTCCCTTGCAAGCCACCCAGAATGCCATCAAATCCGCGACACCAGATGCAAATACCCGCCTCCTCATCATGGATCTGAGCTCCCAGGAGAGTGTCCGCAAGGCAGCCGAGGAGCTGAACAGATACCCGGAAGGTATTGATCGGATCATCAAGAGTGCCGGGGTGATGGCCGCGCCGTATGGGGTCACCTGGGAAGGAGTGGAGATGCAGTTTAGGACTAATCATGTCGGTCATTTCTTGTTTACGAATTTGGCTCTCCAGGGAATGATCAGTCAGACTGCAAGTGGAATGGTGAGGGTGGTAAATGTCAGTAGCCTCGAGCACAAACGAGGGCCGGTGCGGTTTGGTGATATTAATTTTCAAGTTGGGTTCTCATTTTCTCTTTCCCCTAGGGCATGGTCATGGCTGATATAGTTTAGGACGGCAAGAGCTATAACAAGTGGCAGCCATATGGTCAGAGCAAAACGGCACATATGCTCTTTTCAGTATCCCTGGCAGAGAAGGTCGGTGGAAGGGAGTGGAATCGTTCAGTCTCTATCCCGGTCGGGTTGTCACTGGGATCGGGAGGCATTTGGTCCCGGAAGTGTGGATTAAAGCGGGTATGTCGACACCCTGCTTGATCAACTGCGAGATGCTAATGTTGGGTGCACAGGATGGAAACACGAGGACGGAAGTATTGTCGATGACCCCAAGTTGAATTGGAGAACACCCACTCAGGCAGCCGCCACATTGATTGTGGCAGCATATGATCCGATTATTTCCAATGAGCTGGCGCACGTTTGGCTGGGAGAGGCTGACACAGAACCAGATACAAATGGCTCGTACATGGTTAATAACCGGGTGGACAATGATGCGGCGGCAGATTATGAACTGGACTTGGAGAATGCAGAGAGGCTCTGGAAGCCGAGTGAGGAGATTGTCGGCCAGAATTTTGAGTATAAGATGTTCGTGGCATGCTGATGGGTGCTTGTGCTGCTGCAATCATCATCGCTTCTGTGCAATATGATCAGGAGATATGCTGCATGCTTATTTTCATTCTACAATATGTTAATCGTGGGTATACCGCCGCGGAAGACAGATTTGTTGCGCAGCTTGATAGGCCGCTGCCGCCAGTATAGCAGTCCCCGTTCCCTTGCCCGTACATCCTGACTGACATTGGGCGAGGCGATTCATAATGTAATGGCAGAGCGCGTCAGCCTTGGCCAGTCGCTGCCCAATTACCCTTGAAGGTGGAAAGTGATCTGAGTTTGCCATTGCTCGCAGTGTCTCAGCTATCGTAGCATAAACTAAAACCAGGCCCAACCAGTAGAGTAGAAGGTGTGCTATTGCAGACGGATCCGTAAAAAAATCATCTCTTCCGGCTCCTGGGCGTGTACTGGCACGGGCGGCACTGTAGCTGGCCCGACCATGAAGAGGGGATGGATGGCTTTCGACTGTAACTCGTGATACCAACACAAAAGCCGGTTCTCAAAACACGTGGACGCCCTGAGGATGCCGGCAGCGGAGTCCCACGTAACCTCACTGCGGAAACTTGGGCGCAGACCGGTCCGGAATTGACAAATCTCGGATAAAGTATTCAAAAGCAAGTCAAAGCTGTCAGTGAACAGCTCCACGTGCGAGGGCAATATCGAAGACGCCTGATCTGGGACGTTGACACACATGCGGAGAAACTGCACTGTCAATACAATGCCATATCCCAGATCCCAAAGACCCACCTCTATTGTACGAAGCCGCCGTCAGACCTGTGCGTTCATCATCTCCGTTCCCAAATGTAGTTCACGAGCCAAGTTGCAGGCGGCCTGAACATGGACATTCCATGCGTGGTCCTGCCCGAGCGGCCGTGCGTAGAGCTCGTAGAGTGCCAGAATCATGGCGGTGCAGATGAGATCGCAAGGATGCACCGCCCCCTCCAGCGTGCATATTTGCTGCACCGCTTGCATGTAATGATCCCTTCCGCAATGGGCCAGCGCGTCCTCGTTCCGGGACTTGGCCAGGTGCGTCAGAACTAAAGCGGACAGCGATGACTTGATGGCTGGCGACTGCGAGTGGAGGAAGGTAGGGAAAAGCTCCACCCAGTAGACAGGAGACTGGTGCCTGGGTGAGTGTAAGCCTCCTGGGGGGAGGTATTCGCTCAAAAAATGGGCGACGAGTTGGGATTGGTTCTGCCCCAGTACCAGGGATCGCTCGTTCCATCCGACGGAGGCGTCTGTAGGGAGAATACTACGTCTTCTGGTCCGTTAATCCTTGCGCTTAACCACCGTTGCATGAACTCACACGCCATGATATCCACCACAGCGACGGGCTGGGGATTGGCAGCGCAGACACGCCCGATCACACTGCGGATGCCAGATCGGTCAGGCATCAGTGTCTGTCAGCGAGTCCGGCGATCGGGGACATCCCACCTTGACCTTGCGTGTCAGACGCGTACGGCAGCTCTGGGTCTTCCAACTGCTGCGTCCCATTCTGAGTAATCAAGGTATATCTTCGAGGTGTACCGTGGTCTTGTTGATCACTGTCGTGTTGGGAGAGTGGAAGAAGACAACGGCGAGGTGGACAGGATCCGCGCACATGACAGCGCGCCGATACGCGTAACCAATCATGTTTGCTTTTTCAACCCACTCGTCATCGTCTCCTCTTCAGCTTATCTATCTACTACTATATAGTACTACCAAGGTGGCTACCCGCCTACACCTCTAAACGTCCCGAAAATACATCCATCAGTTGCAAAAGACTCTCCCATCGGTGGTCCTTCTGGACCTCAATCTTGCCCTCCGCTGTCATCACTTTGTACTCGTCCGCAGATTTCGTCCCATATGCATATCCCTGCTCGCCCTTTACGAATGCCACCAGATCCCGGATCCAGTCGTCCATCAAGGCCCGATCCGCAGGACTTGGTCCGTGCATGATCGAGTAGCTGGGATCGTGTCAGCGCGCTCAGCAGATACGGAGCAGACAACTTACTTCCAGATCGGTCGGTCCATGGCATGGCTCACCCCAAAGGACGCGGGAGCCACGGCATCGGTGATAAAGGACAGCCGATAGGCGATCAGGTACCGCCAGACATCCTCAATTTTCACGCCGTGCTCCAGAAGGTTGTTGACCAGAAATCTCGAGGGCGCTCGGACCTGGCCATCTGCGATGATCTGCCCAAACACCGACTGCCACTCGTGTTTATCGTGCGAATCCGGGAGCGCATAATGCCGCAATAGACGGTCGGTTGTGGCTGGGGAATAGTAATTCGACACCTGCAGTTTCAGCGACTCCAGATTGGCCTCGGGGCTATTGGTGACGGCATAAAGCGTGTTTTCGTCGCGCACTTCTCCAATGAACAACCGCAGGCCCCGTTTTTTGAACTCCTCTGCAAAATGTCCGTCGCGGTAGTAATCGAAGATACCAGGGTGGATAAAGACGCCATCGGTGACGGGCCGAAAGGTGTGGTGTTGGAGTTTCATGATGGCGTCACACAAGTCCTTTGCACCGATGGCTCGCAGCTGCTCCAGCTTCTGGGACCCCGTCAGAGTTGCTGGGATATCAAAGTACTGGCACAACTCATCGAACTGTGGTTGGCAGTCTTCCGGAGTCTTGGGTTGTGTTGGAATAGCATTGGAGTACATAACCAGTCTCCGGAACTTATTTCGCATCGCCTCATCCATCTGCCCCCGGAAATCATACAAAGCTTGGGCCTGGACCGCGTATGCGCCTGCGCTACGTCCAGCGAGGACAATATTGTCAGGATCACCCCCGAATGTAGCAATGTTGTGATACACCCATTCGATGGCTTGTCTCTGGTCCCAGAGACCATAGTTGCCGACTTCCTTACCCCCCGATTCCTCTCGCAATGCCTCCCCTGCCAGGAAGCCGAAGACGTTCAGGCGGTAGCCCACCGTGACGAAGATTGCATCTAGCTTTCCGGTGGAAATAAGCTCGGTCGGGTCCATGCCCGGCTCTTGGCTGGGGTCGCCAATTTGGAACCACCCGCCGTGGAACCAGACGACAACTGGCCAGTTAGTATGGCGCACCTCGGGGTCGGGAACCGGCGTCCAGATGTTGAGACGCAAGCAGTCCTCCTCGTATGTGTGCCTTGGGCCATGCGCGCCGACAGCCTTGGAGTAGTCTGCCTGGGGGCAAACCGGGCCGAACCGCGTCGCATCGTACGTCGCTTCCGGTTGGGCGGCTGCGAGCTGGTGGAGGGAGTAGGGTTGAGGTTTGCGCCACCTTAAATTGCCAACAGGGGCTTGTGCGTATGGAATACCGGCAAATCGTCTTGATTGGGTACCATTCTGCAGGCCTCTGATGCGACCCGCCGCTCCGGGCAAGTCCACTTGGCATTCGGATGTTTCGTAGGAGATGTGGTTTCCCATGGTGGATATTGTGCTTGAATGAGGAATTGATGGCCTCACCATACGGTCAACGGGATCGATAGAGGGGTAGCGGACGAGTTATACTAGTACTATTGCCAAACCCCTCCTGACGCAATATCCCGGAGTGGGCTCTCATTGGTCGGTTTAATCGACGGCCCAGGCACTGACATGCACCTCCGATAAGATAGCATGGACATACTGTGTCACAGTAGTACATAGTACTAGACTCCGTAGGGATCATCCGGCTGAGACACGTGGAACGCTCGAGTTGGACTCCTGAAGACTGAACAATCTATGGCAACCGTGGTATCATTCCGCAGGCATCCATAATTCTTGCCCCGTCTATTTTTAGCCTCCCGTCCCTGCCAGGGGTCGAGGGATGCCATGGTATGGAGTACTCTGTACATGACCGCCAATAACTGCCCATCGTGCTGGATCCGCGCAGGGGCAAGGGTCTGGCAGCCATTCCCTGGGAGATAGATGTTCTTGAATGGAGCATCGACGCTGCGTTGCCAGTCTGACTCGCCCGAGTTCTTCGCTTCCAGGCTCCGCACGTGACCGCGCCCGCTGCTGCCTCAGGTGGCGACGCGAGAATCTCGTCTGGCCCCAAGGGGGCAAAATCAGAACGAATACGACATTGTCAGCCCCCAACGATGGACGACGCCCTGCCCATGCAGATTCGCTCCAGGCGATCACACAATAAATCCCGCTCGGGTTGTCAGAACTGCAAGAAAAGACGCATCAAGGTAGGTCGCCTTCCATCATCCATTCTATTCATCCCGCGGGATCCAAGGAACATATATCTATCATCGTCATCTTCATTACCATCAGAATGCGCTCTGTTCTGCGGGCGTTGGCCTGCTTTTGGTCCAAATCTGCTACTTACTCTACACTCTCCGACCATACTAACCTTGCCCAGTGTGATGAGAAAAAGCCACATTGCACCAACTGTGTGCGGCATTCGATCGAATGTGACTTCACCAACCCGGCCTCGGCCTCATCCACGCCCCCCGCTGCCACTCGACGATTTCGATTTCGACAATCGAAATACCAGCCCGCATCCAGAGCATCATCTTCCAAGGATAGTACGCCAGAGGCAGGCCATAGTGAGCCTCCCTCCACCTCGACGGGAGTGCAATGTGATCTCGCCGCCAGCAGCGTGGCCGGCGGCATCTCGTTCGCCGACCTGAAACTCTACCATCACTACGTGACCGCAACGTACAAAACCCTGGCGGACGAGGAAACAGACATCAACCATGTCTGGTCCGACCACGTGCCTCAATGGGGTATCGCATTCCCCTCCATCATGCATTTGGTTCTCGCGCTCTCGGCTCTCCACTGGGGACATGAGGACCCGGCATCGCGAACGCAGTACATCGCTCAAGCCGACGACCACTTCACGTTTGGTGTCCGATCGGTGACGGCCGTCTTGTGTCTCCTCAACGCTGAGAACTGCCAGTTGATCTACATGGCGGCCGCGCTGATCTGCCTAGTGTATTTCGGTCGGGGGCCGCGACCCGGCGAGTTTCTTGTCTTCAGTGACCGCGGACAATCCGAGTGGCTGGTGCTGATGCGGGGCGTGCACTCCATCCTCAAAGAGCATCATAGCCGCGTCTTCACCGGCGTGCTGACTCCAATCCCCGATGAGCGGGTCCGTGGCGTGAGTGCTGAGTTACAGCCCGAACTGGAGGAGCATCTGCAGCGGATTGGCCGCATTCGTGCGTTCGTGCAGTCGCGCGTCCAGGGTGAATCGTGCCAAGCCATGTTTGACACAGCCATTGATGACCTGCTCTCCGGGCTTGAAGAGGTGTATAAGGTCCGCAGCGCCGGGAAGGATGGTATCAACCTGATGCACATTGTGGTGGGGTGGGTGTACCGACTTCCGGAGCAGATGATCGGTCTGTTGGAAGAAAAGGACAGCTGCGCATTGGTGATGTTTGGGCATTGGAGCATCCTGCTGGTGTATATGCGGTCGTCGTGGCTGATGCGAGGATGGGATGCGCATGTGCTTGAAGGCGTGCGGGCGTCGTTGCATGAGGGGGACCAGCACTGGCTGGAGTGGCCAAGCAAGGTGATTTATACGTGAAGTATCATCATGACTATACCATAAGAGCATTTTGTCTCTCAACCAGCTGCCCGGATCCACCGATATATTTTATCTTTGATCTATTTCCGTATGCTGATACTCGAAACCAACAAAATAACCGAGTAACCTCTTGAGAACATGTTGTGTATTATTCAACCCAGTTACAATCACCTCAACCAAACGATAAATAAAACAAGCAACGAAAATAGCATACCTTCATATACATCCACAACAAACCAAACAAGCTCCCTGATCATCTCACACAATGAAATACCAGTTTGGTACATCTATCTTCAAGAAAGCCCCACGATCTGAAATTCCCCCCGATAATCCCCCCAGCGATGATTCTTACTTTCCCCTCATTCCCCACATGCCCAGCTAAACAACCACCGCGTTGATATACCCAGTAGATAATCAGCATCCCTCCCTCAACATGATCATCTACGCCATCTACCCAATCACCATTCTTCTCCCCTGGACATGCTCCAACATCATCACCCAGATCACTCCACCTCCCCGCATGAACCCCTCCCCCCATCCTCAGGGATCAAATAACAACCAATTAACAGAGTGATAATACCAGTAGGCTGCACGCTGTTTATACTTGTTTCCAGTATCTGGGAGGTTAATCCGGGTGTGTGTCACCATGAGATGAAGTGGGGGGCGGATTCATAAGGAATATTCTTGCTGTATCACGGTGGGATAATTGTTGAGATTTAGTCGTGGCCATGTGGAGAGGATTGGAATCTTGATGGCTCGTATGATGGATGGGCTTGGGTCGTGCGGTTCGTCAACTTAGGTTGGATATGGGAGAATCCCGGGTTGTTGGCTGGTGGGAGTACGGATTAGATGGTATCGGATGTAGGAATGTTAGTTTAATACAAGATGGAGATGTATTGTATGTCGAGGCTAGTCATGTCTTGTCTATAAGCAGATAACAAAGGTGATCCGGATGTAATATTCGCTGCTGTCGACTACACTACGCAACAAATGAACATCAGTCTTTAGGCAAAAGTCTATTCGCTCTGCAAGAACACATGATCCCGGGTAATCAGACGGCTCTATCTATTGAGGTATCTAACGCTAACACTATCGCCATCATCCATCTCGTATCCAGTCTATTTGCCAAACACCTTGAAGCGGTCCTCCAGCGGCGCAAACGCCTTCTCGCCCGGCGCCGAGGTCGGTACACCAAAGACCAGCTGAGCGTCAAGCTTCCACGAAGCCGGCAGGCTCCACTGCTTCTGAACTGCCTCGTCAATGAGCGGGCTGTAGTGCTGCAGGTTGGCGCCGAAGCCCTCGGACTGGAGAGCGGTCCACACTGGATGGGGAGAATTAGCGGCCTGGGAAAAAAAAAAGGCGGGGGGGGGGGGGGGGTAGGAGCTGGGAAATGACCTACCTAGGTATTGGGACATGGCGTTGGATTCGAGGGCAAAGGAATCGAACTTGTCGGCGTAGATGGCGAACTTCTCCTTGATGCCGGCCAGGGAGTCGAAGTCGACGAAGAAGAGGACCTAAATTTGGGGAAAAGGGGTCAGAGAAGAGGGTCAAGGGGGGCGGGGCAGGAGAGCAAGCAGCATACCGTTCCGTAGGCGGCGCGGAAGGCGTTCAGCTTGGGCTTGGTCTGGGTCTCAAAGGTCTCCTTGGGGAGGGTACCGGCGGCGACGAGACCCTCCATGGCGCTGATAGCCAGGTCCCAGACCTTGTGGTGCTCCTCCTTCAGCAGCAGAACGACGCGGGAGGTCTGGGTGTTGAAGGAGCTGGGCACGTGCAGGACGGCGTTGGCGACGAGGTGCTCAATGGCATCGTCGGCGATGGGACTCTCGTCCTTGAGGCCGTAGTAGGTGCGGCGGGCCTTGACCAGCTCCAGGAGGGAGGTGGTGGCGGGGTTTTTGAATTCTGGCTGTGTCGAACCCATGGTGGTGAAGGTGGTCGAGGTGGGGCAGAGATTGGGGAGGAATAAGAGAATTGGATTGGAGAACAATTGAGCAACTGTTGGAGCCGGGGCTATGGGTTATATAGGGCGAAGACGAGGGCGAGTGGAGAGCCCCCGCCAAGGGAGGGAGGATGGATCATGGATGAGATGGATGAAATGGTATCGGAAGATAGCCTAGTAGGTGGAGTAGTGGGTACAGTACGGTACGGTACAGAAACCAGGGTTCTGGCGTGATTGCCTGTCAGCCAATCAGCGAGGCCAGCGACCTCGGGGGGAGATTTCTAAGCGGGTCCCCCCTCCATCCTGAAGATTATTAAGCTCTTAGCAAGACGCGGAATTAAAGAACGACGATTGGTAAGATGGTAGCGGTCATGCCTCCGGCAAATAATCCTCAATCTTTCAGCAACCCCGCTCATCGAAGATACCTTGGCTCAGATCGTGGACGGGCTGCCCACCCGTCATGTTTCCGAGCGGGATCGGCGCTTCTATGAACCGGACCTCAACACACATCTCCAAGTGAGCCTCCATGTCCGGGAGCAAGTTCGGGCTTGGAGAGACACCTTCGCCCCCGACGTGGTCGAAATCGACTTTGATGTGCGCTTGTCAAACACCCCCCTTCTTCCTCTTGCCTTTCCCCCAACTTCCAATCTAACCGGGAGAGTCTCCTCCCTTCGCAGGTGGCGCAAGCCTACCAAAACAGCGTCCTCGGGACTCGGTCCTTCCGTCTGCGCTTCATCGAAATCACCGCGATGGTTATACACGTGGCACCGTGGCCGCGCACCTGTTCCGCTTCACCAATCAGGCTCCCTACCAGTGCCCGCCGGGGCCCATCCAGCAGGATATGTAGGTTGCCGGAGATCGGGCCTTCGACCCCATTCCGACGCATCTATATCATACCCGCTTTGTCGATCATGATCAATACCCCCTGGGCGTGGTGGATGTGGCCGGTTCCTGGGCTGAGTACCAACTCTTCGGCGGCGTTGTTCTCTTCGACCGCGAAGACTCCGAGTCGGAGGTGAGTGGTTCGGTCCGCCTATCCTCCCAGAGTTGACTCGGTGTAGCTGCGGGACGTTTTCTTCCATCAGGATGCCTACTTCATAGTCTTTCAGCTATCCGAACCACAGATCAACTACTTTGTCGCGTTTGGCCTGCCCATGGCCCGGCCGCCACATGTCCCTTCCCCATGAAGGCGGAGCGGAATGCTTTGCGAATGGACCCGACACGTCTTTCGCAACCGGTATGAGCGCCAACGTCCGATGGTGATTCCGTGGTTCACCCGTCCTCCTCGCCGCCGGGCGGAGGGCTATCCCCAGCTGTTGGAATATCTGGCCGAGATTAATCAGACAAGACCAGGTAATCCGTGAGAGGTCCCAGGTACGAATTTCGATCTTGTATCTTTGCCATCGTTGCGATGTCTACTACGGGCAGTATCGTACACGGGCAGAATGGAGCGTGGCAAAATGTCACTTGCCTCACACGCACTGCCAATTCTTTTCATTTTGTAATAAAGCCATTCAACTGCGAGTAAGAAGGAACCGAACAGATGTAACAACACAGCAGGAAAAAAAGACAGAGGCCAGACAAAGAGGAGGAGGAAGGGAAAGGCGGGATGCCTTATCCAGCTCTTCTCTTAGCGAGACGCGGAATTAGTTACCGAAAAGATCGGGGAAGATCGGGAAAGATCGGAGATACTGCGGCCCGTCTAGCCCCGATGCGGAATGGTCCGACCGGCCACAGTGGGTACCTCAGGCATGAATTCGGGCAACTCCACGGCGGCTTCAACGAAGCACAAGGCACGGTCTATTCTAGTACAAGGAACGAGAAAGAGAAAACCCCGAAAGAAGAACAAAAAAAAAAAAAAAAAAAAAAAAGAGCAGATGAGGGCCTTACCAGACCGGGATGAGGCCATCCGCCACCGAGTGCTCGAGTACAGCCAAAGGGACTCGCGGCTGCGGCATGTCTTCGCCGTCCCGATGGAACACCTCCCACGTCATTGTCAGGTCCCCTTTGTCGCGAATGTGCCAGCAAATACGAACAGCCCGCTCCTCTACTGGCTCTCCGGTTGGCAGGTTATACGCCGCCAGGGGGGCATGTGGGGATTGGTCAGCCGCCTTATGGGCCTGCAGCACCTCTAGAGATAGCCGGTTAGTAGTCGCACATGGAATGTAACCCCCCTACCCAAGTAAGGAAAAAGAGCAAGGAAGACTGACAATTCTCGAAATTTGGTGGAGCAGAGTGTGTGGCATAGGCCGCGATCACAGGTTGGCCATCATCCGGTCGGTAGCTTAGGGTCGCTTTTAGCGAATCCTCGAGACGAGGCAAGCGTCCCTTCAAGAAGGACACCAGTTAGCGCGTGCGTGAGGCAGCCATGGGGACCGACCGTCGAGGTGACTCACTGGCGGGATAGCTAAGAGAAGTTTGCGGTCTATTTGGACACCATTGACAACCCATTGGACCTCCGGCAGGGACAGGGCATAAGAGTAGGCGCTATTATAATACTGCGGTGGACCAAGGGCTTAGGCGTGCAGTGCGGCACCAACCGAGACCGCGCCGATGCTGTGAGGGTACCTGGGATTAGCTTCTCTCTGACGGAGGCAAAGGCGGGGAATGGAAGACCTACGACTTCTGCTGGTCGAGCAAGATGATGCCCCCGAGCAAGGGCCCAAGAAGCTGGTTGATGCGCAGGCGGATGTACGGAGACGTTCCGACCCCGCCTATAAGGATCAGTTTCTTGACCCTGTTCCCAGCCAGGGTAATGTGGTGGGTAACCAGGTCAATGATGGTCTGCAGCACGGGCTTATATGCGTCGCGGAGGTCGTTTTCGGAAAAATGGTAAGTCGGACGCCTTCCACGCCGGCCAGTGCTATAGTCTGACCGGATAGATACGTTATCATCGCCTGTATACTGCTTCTTGGCTTTGTCGACGGTTATCCGAATGGTGGTGGCCTGGGTCGGGGCTAAGTTGGCAATGTTCCTGGTTTGCAGGAGTGTAAAATCGACGTCCACTCCGCCACGTCGTTCACCTGGGACGGGTTGGTACTCTACGTTGTTATCAGGATCCGGAGGCACACTCACTGGCCCGCCCCTGCTGGGGTTGGAGGACGAATTGTCGGTTCTCATCTACCACCAGGGTAGCCACGTCCTGTACCTGGTTAGCTCGGACCCGGCAAGCGCCAGCTATCAATCAATGAATGTACGTACGGTTGTGACCCCACCACAATCACAGACTATGATGGCATCTCCCGGCTGGATGTTCGTGCTCCCCTGCAGTTGCTGTGCAGCCCATGTGGCGGCCGCCTTGGCCTCCGAGATGTAAGACACTCGATGGCCATGACGGGTTTCAAAGCCGGCGAGGCGGACGGCCTCTCGGAACACCGATCTGCCAGCAGGCGACCAGCAGGTTGGAACCGCTAGCCTCCACTCCACCTGGGGATCCCCCCCGTCGTGTTCGAACATGGGCATCACCTCTGCCCGCAACGCGCCGAGAAAGTCGGCGACAATCGTGTCACGTCGCGGTTGCCCAGATTGCCATACTGACCCCCCAGAACTTGCTGGAATGTTCCGTCAGTCAGACCCATCTGGGGGGATCCGTCGATTAGGAGTTTGGTCCATTTTAATGGGGTTTGGCGCTGCGTGGCTGGCTCGCCCCAGATCAGGCGGCCTTGAGCGTCATAGTCAAGGACAGTCGGTATGACACAGGAAGTGCCCAGGTGACGGGGGGGTGTCCATAGGGTAGGTTCTTTGTTGGCCCTGGTGTGGGTGAAACTTAGCACTGGGGAGCATGTTAGAGACAGTCAGAGATCAGGGGGAGCGAAGGGGGAGAGGGATGCTTGCCGGTCTTGCTGTTCCGGAGCGGCTTGAACAAGACGGCACGAGCCGGACGTGATAGGGACCTTCGCAAGCTTCTTGAGTTTGCAGCCGAGCAAATCACTTACGCGGATAGTGGTCTCTACGGGAATATTGTGATTGAACGGCTACAGGAACTCCCCAAGACCTTCAAGCGCCACTTGGAGCAAATGGAGACCCATATCTTCCACGCGGGGGCCGAGGCCACCACCGACGGGCGCATCTTAATTGTGACGCATCCGAGCTTCATTTACACCGATATGCAATCCTTGCATAATTTTGGTCCGACCCCTCCTTTTCGGGTTCAGCCTGCCCAGGTGCTGGTGGCGCCCAAAGGAAAAGCCGCCCAAGCCCGGTGGTTGGCTGATACAAGCTACGACGAAGTCGTAACTCCGTAGGTCTGCCCCAAAATCGTAGGGATCGTGTCAGATGAGGAGGATGGTGTCGAGGGCAGTGAGGGCAGTGAGGGCAGTGAGGGCAGTGAGGGCAGTGAGAGCAGTGAGGGCAGTGAGGGCAGTGAGAGCAGTGAGGTCAACGAGGTCAGCGAGGGCAGCGAGGGCAGCGAGGGCAGCGAGGGCAGCGAGGGCAGCGAGGGCAGCGAGGGCAGCGATGAAAATGAAGGCGATGAGGGTAATGAGAACGTCTTCGAGCTAAGGAAGATACGAAGGACCTTCTGGCGCCAGTGAACGATGCGGGCATGGAGACGGTGAGCTGGCGGGACCCTGTTTGAGTCTTTTTCTTTCTTTCTTTTTTCCGGGTTACTACGCTCCTCTTTCCTCCATTTAGACCGATGATGGTCCCTGTCTGTAGTACTGTTTTGATTAGTCAAATTCATATCCAGATGCCGTATCGTATGTACCCCTTCCCCGGGCCTTCCTTAGCACTCGGACGTCTGCAGCCCCCCATCCCCACGATTAGTGGAGCCCTGCTGGGAAACTATTTTTTTCTCTCCCATTTTCATCGTCCACTCCCGTCTTCCTGCTGAATACGAAGTGATCGTCCGGTTGTTGAGACCAATCAGCGGGTCAGCGCGAGGATCCCAGCCGACCGTGACGGTGACACTCGGGGAACCTTAATTGAGATTCCGGGAAGAAGAGAGAGAGAGGCGTACTTTTTCTTTTTCTTTTTTTTCCCTTTTTTTTTTCCGAACGGAGAGAGGATGTCCAACAGTCATCGCACTTTTGGTTTCTTTTTCTCAATGTCCCGTGTCTCATTTCTCATGTCTCATCTCTCTTTTCTTTTCTCTATTTCCCCCTCGTCTCATATTCATTAGTTTGAGCCACTTGACACTATTACTAGTAGTAGTGCGACCGACGTCTGACTAACGTGCATACACCTTGTAGCGATTGGGCGGAAGGAAGAATAAGCTCTAGGCAGCAGCCGACGGCCAAGAATTGATAGATCGATCGCTCGATCGATAGTTACCACTCGGTCGGGTCCGAGCCCTGCCCTCTGATCGTCCGGTTGCTGTCGGCTGGCTAGATCCTTGGGCGGAGAAGGGAGGGGGCGAAGGCGATGATTATTACAACGGGGACTAATCTATTCGGGGGACGGGGTTCTAAGAATAAATCAACCAATTCTAGAGGACCGGTGAAGGCCAGTGTTACTGTTAGTGTGAGGTGGTCAGGTCAGGTCAGGTCAGGTCTGGACTCATCCATGTCTCGGAGATTATCTCCGACCCAATGGCAGAGGGATGGGGGCTGAGGAAGGGATTCTCACCGTCTGATTCGGTGTGATGATGATTGTTATGAGTTTTCTCTTCGTCACGTAGTCAGAGTCAGATACTGTCTCAAGGGTCGGTCGGTCTGCCTCATGACCGTGGAGTCACATCCCATGCCTGGCAAGGGGAGGGAAGGGGCGGAACTACGGCCCCGGGTAGTCTCTACATGTACAAAAGCCAGTCCGACATGCGGCACAATAATCAAGTCAACCTGTCTATGATACGGGTCTGGTGGTCGAAAGGAAGGGATGTTTGAACCCTCACGCTACAAGACCGGCAGATGACAACAAAAGGAGAGACGGACAGGTAGGTAGGTAGAGACCGACAAGAAACAACCGACAAGCACCTTCCTCAAGATCCCGATCCATTCCTCCACTCGATAGCCGAACCATCCAATGTCTCCCTCGCTTCCCCTTCCTCCTCGGCCTGGTCCCGGGCGGCGTTGGCAGCCCGCGGCTCCAATCGATCCGGCGTTCCGTCTCCCCCGGTGTTGGTCTCGTCCTCGGCGTCAGGATAGCACACTCGCACGACCTGGCCGGCCGACATCCAAACGATGGCCGCTGTGGAAAATACATGCCGGTTTAGCTTCGGCGGGAATGCTGTGAGCCCTTAGGCTACGGGGAAAGGACTTACCTGGCTTGGTCATTCCGTGGTCAACGCCTACTAGCACCCATTCTGGGACTGCCATGGTTGATGGTGGTGGTGGGGATGATGATGATGATGATGATGATGGTGGTGGTGGTGACCCGTAGTGGCAATGGATGAGAAGGTGACGGATGAGAAGGATGTATTGATAATATGGATTGGAAGAGAGTAAGTACCAGTGCCAGCTGAAGACAGATAGATAGATGGGTTCAGATAGTCTTTAGGAAGAGTAGGAGAAGGAGGAGAAGGCCAGCGCGACCTGGTCATTTATCCTTGCCAGCCTCCACCCTGTCTCTCTGCTGAATGATAACTCCAAAAGGAGGGAGGGGGAAAAGAACAAATCTAGCACAATCTAGCTCATCTCTCATCGTTTCTCCCGCCTTCGCCATCTAAATTGTGCCCATACTAACCCTACCAACGGTGGCGCCTGGCGGATCCACGACCAGACTTTTGCCAGAAAAGGAGCCAAAAAAAAAAAAAAAAAAGAAGGAACAACAAGAAGCCCGATGGAAATCTTTCATCCCCACCATGGCCATCACTAGTAGTCTCCGCTCGGACCCAGAGACGACGACCCCGCCACTAGATATCCACTACGCATGTACGGCGGCTACAGCTTTTTCCATACGCAGGAGGCGTGAGTTCTCTGATGTCTACCAACACGTGAAGACGATTTTTACCATGCCCCGACTGCAAGCGAGGCGAACCCGAGCTAATCATGCACCAGGACGTCCCTGATTGGACTTATCGGTGGTCTCCTTGTGAACCAATGAGAGGAGAGCTCCCCCCTGGCGGAAGTGGGTGATCTCGGCCCGATCTCAGGCACAGCGGAAATGCATATCCGACACACATTGGTGGTTGCTTGGACTCTACGTGTTGTAGTTGAGGGGTGACGGGATGGCTTCATTCTAGGATGTGTTTTTGTGGGCCCGTCAGATGTGCCGGATTTGTCGGAGAATATGCCATTACGATCGGTTGCATTCTTCTAGTCATCTCGTGCATTCCCGTCGCTGTGTCGCTTAATCTATCCGATGTCAGGGAATCAAACCCGCCGATTGCTACTATTTTCATCCGCGCAGAGCCCGGGCTCGCTGTCCGTCTACGTGGCCAATGAGGGGCCAGCTAAATGGAATAATTTCCAGGTTGGATTTCCAACTCAGCTGGGAGGGTTGGGGACGCCCCATTGAGGCCCTGCCGCCGCCGCCCTAGTGGAAGGTAAATCCCAATGGTCGCGTCCGTCAGCATCGCCCACTCCCCTCTGGCTGATCTGGTCATCTCGCACTTGTCAACCAGGGTCTGGGCCTGTGGGCCATAACTTGGAGTCTGTAGGAGATGCAGATGCAGCGGCTTGTGGAGATCACCCCCACCTCTGAAGAAATGCCTGACGATCTCACTGCAGGGGATGGCGCGGGGCCTCACTGGTCGGGGAAGATGAGAGGTCTCTTCCGGCAAGGTTTGGCTGAGACGAAGGCGCTCGTGCTATTGATCCCATCACCAGGCGGTGATATCCCTCTTCTCAACATCAGGCAGACAGACCATCAGGATGAATAGATGAATAGGACCGTTGGGCACCCATTCCTATTGTCGTCGCTATTGAGCTCGCTTGTCTTTCCTGTTTATGGTATGGCGTTTCTTTTCTTTTCTTTTTTTCCCTTCTCTTTATTTTATTTCACTTCACTTTCTTTTTTTGAGGCTCTCCGATTTTTTCTTCATTCGGTTAACCTCTTTTGGTCACCTCCTGGTTAGGCACACGCACCGTCTTGGAAATGGCGGTGGCGGTGGCGTTGCTACTGCTGCTGCTGCTGTTGTGGTGGTGGTGGTGGTGGTGGTAGTTGTTGGGCCCCCCTTCGGCATCGGGGAGGATAGGGGTCGGTTGAAGCCACCCATCCCCATTCCATCGCAATCCATCGCATCCATCTCATCCATCAGGCTGACATGTTGCTATGAACATGTCCGTGGGCCTCGTGACCAGCAAAGCGGTATCGGCAATGTCCTGCCCTGCGTAACTGCCGATGATTCTGTTGTTTTGCTCGGGTCTGGGGGCCCAGGACGACACCGGTCAACATCAACCCACCGCCCCCCCCCAAATCATCAATCTCCCATGTCCTCCTAATCCATCGGGTTGCCCTTTCTATTTCATCTGTCGGCTTGATTCCCTGCTAATCTATTCCCTGTTAGTTGCATCGATTCGAGCGACCCTCTGCATCGACAGCTCGCGTTCCCCTCCGGCTGCGACGCAGCGACCGTGACATCGACAACCCCCCCGATCGCGTCCGGCGAATCCCATCCGACCGTGCATCTCTCAGCCAACTGATTTTCACAATCGTTGCTCCCAATAGCATCCCTCGACGCGTCCGGTGCATCGCGTCCCTGACATCCTCGACGGCCACAACCCCCATCCCGACGCGTTGGTCCGCCATGGTCATCACCCTCCACATCACATCCGGACTGCGGACGGAACAAGGGAATGTATGATGACAAGGGAGGGGAATCCTGTCGAAGACGGAGAAAGAAGGGAGGGGGACTGTGAGCTGAGAGCTGGCTCCGACCTCGGGTCCATGCGAGCAGGACGACGCATCCGTGGCGATAGTGCTTGTGATCTTGCTGTTGCTGCTGATTGGGGCCCTATGACGAGCTCCGAGGCGATTTTCCGTCAATCGCAGGCTGGCTGGACGATAACATCATCCGCGCGACGATGATGCGAGCCCCTTATCGCCTCGAGATAGGGCTAGCTGCTACATAAGCCCCGACCGGCCACTTCTCCCTGGACTTCTCTCGATCAGTCAGTCTCGTCCGAGCCATAGTCATTCCACAGCATCATGTCGAATCCCCCGGACAAGAAAGAGACGGTCGAGATCCGGGCCGTGACACCCAACCCTCCCGTCGATGATGATCTGGCTGAGCCGGCGGAATCCCCGGCCTCGCGCAGCTTCCTCACAGCCTTCACGTCTCGAACCACCACCAAGGTGGATCTGGATGCCATTGCGACCACCCGCAGTGTTTTCGACGATGCCCGCCTGGCGCCCTTCTACTGGCCACATCCCCAGTACGAGAACCGGCACCGGTTCGACCCGACGGCGCGGTGGACGCACCGGGAGGAGCGGGCAGTGCGACGCAAGACGGACATCAAGATCTTCCTCTGGATCCTGGTGATGTTCTTCGGGCTGAACCTGGACCGGGGCAACCTGGGCAACGCGTCGGCCGACAATCTGCTGCCGGACCTGCACATCAACACCAACGACTACAACAACGCCCAGAACATGTACCGCATCGGCTTTCTAATCTCCGAGATCCCCTCGCAGATGATCGGGAAACGTCTGGGACCCGACCGCTGGATCCCCGTCCAGATCATCCTCTGGAGCCTGGCCTCGGGGGGCCAGTTCTTCATGCACAACCGCGCCGGTTTCTTCGCCTGTCGCTTCTTCATCGGCCTCTTCATGGGAGGCTTCATCCCCGACGCCATCCTCTACCTCTCCTACTTTTACACCAAGACCGAGATGCCCCTGCGCCTGGCCTTCTTCTGGTTCGTCGACTCCCTCTCCGGCGTCGTCGCCTCCTTCATCGCCTATGGCGTGCTGCACATGCGCGGCGTCCAGGGCCGGGCCGGATGGCGCTGGCTGTTCCTCCTCGAGGCCCTGATCAGTCTCGTCATCGGCCTCTTCAGCTTTCTCTTCCTCGTGCCCGGCCCGACCCAGACGGCCACCTGGTGGAATCCCCGCGGCTACTTTTCCGAGCGCGAGGAGACCATCATTGTCACTCGCGTGCTGCGGGACGACCCCTCCAAGGGCGACATGCACAATCGTCAGGCCTTGAGCCTGGGCATGCTGTGGCAAAGTTTGCGGGACTATGATCTGTGGCCGATCTACATCATCGGCATGCTGTTTGAGATCCCCACCGCGCCGCCCAAATCCTACCTGAGTCTGTCGCTCAAGGCCATCGGCTTCTCCACCTTCCAGACCACCCTGCTGGGCATCCCCGTCACCGTGTTTGCCGCCATCAACCTGCTGCTGGCCACGGAGCTCTCCGAGCGCCTGCGGCAGATCTGCGTCGTCGGCATTCTCACCCAGCTATGGTCGCTGCCCCTGCTCATCATTCTGTTTCTGCATGCGAGCACCCTCTCCAACTGGGGGCTTTACGCCGTCACCTTCGTCCTGTTGGGCTGGCCGTCCCCCCATGCCGCCCACGTGGGCTGGTGCTCACGGCTGAGCAACGCCGTGCGGACCCGGACGGTCAGTGCCGCCATGTACAACATCACGATCCAGCTGTCGGGGATCGCCTCATCCAACATCTACCGCAATGACGACAAGCCGTACTACCACCGGGGCGACGGGCAACTCATCGCCATCAACATCGCCACCATCGTAGTCTATGCGCTGGCCAAGACATACTATGTGGCACGAAACCGATGGAAGCGCAACCGGTGGGAGGCGATGACGGCGGAGGAGAAGGTGGAGTACCTGGCCACCACCACCGATCAGGGGAACAAGCGCCTGGATTTCCTGTTCGACAGTTGAAGTACCGTCCGTACCCATGTACCTACCTTAGTGAATCAACGCTCCCCCAACCCCCCTCCAACGGGATCCTTAGACAATCGACCATCAGCTCCCTCCTAGTACTCTTTCCACGCTCGAACCCTCCCTAGAGAAATTTCCTCCGCCGACGACTAGTCCTCTCCGGGGTCCTGCGCCGACAACGGCGATGACGACGCATGGCGAGCTCGCATCCCGCGACGACGTGCTGTCATGTGGATAGATAAGGGGAGAGACCCTGCTGGCCCCGCCTGTCAGGGACGGGGGCCATCCTGGTGCATGTGCGTGGGGGACCGACCGGGGGCCCGACGGCATCATCTCAGACAGGGCTCGGATGGCGTCATACCGATAAGTCCACCAACCGAACGGACGCAACGGCGTCTCGCAGCAGACCCTATCAACGCTGATCGGCTAACGATAGGCTAATATGCCGGTCAAATGGCATCATGGCACCTGTCAGGGTCGTGGAGGGGTTCTTGAGCTGACCCCTCTGCTCCTCTCCTCAGAGTCTGTGTCCCTTGCCACGTCCCAACCTGCTTTGCCATCCACCTGCCCGTCCAGCCATCATCGCCACCACCATGCCCTCTCTCCCGCAGCAACTTCGTCTGCCCGAGCCTCCTCAGGGCCTGCCGCACCCGGAGTATGTCACGCCGCGCGGGGTCTCGCCGCTCCTCTCCGTCCGGGAAGCAGGTCTGCAATACCCCAACTACACCCCGTTCAAGCTGCCCAACTTGGAAGAGAGACCCTTCGTTGATCGCGGGTTGAGTGCAGACCCGAACAAGAGTCGTCTGCTGGATGCCGCCCAGGCCGTGATCCACTTGACGCCGGAAATCGGCACCGAGATTGTCGGCCTGCAACTGACGGAGCTGACGGACGACCAGAAGGACGACCTCGCTCGCCTGGTGGCCGAGCGCGGGGTGGTCTTCTTCCGCGACCAGACCATGGATGTCCATGAACAGATCGCCTTTGGGGCGTACTACGGCCCCTTGCACATCCACCAGATGGCCGGCATCATTCCCGATCTGCCTTGGGTGCATCCCATCTACAAGGACGACACGGCCGTCAACGGGCGCTCCCACCAGATTTGGCACTCGGACGTCAGCTATGAGATCCAGCCTCCGGGGTTGACGATGCTGAAGATGGACACGCTCCCCAACGCTGGACCGGGGGGCACTGTGGCCGGCGGGGACACCATTTGGGCCAGTGGCTATGGCCTGTATGAGTGTAGGTGCTTTCCCCCTGGTTCTGTTCGCCGCTAACCATGAGGCAGCTCTCTCCCCGAAACTCCGATCGTTCCTGGAGACGCTAGAGGCGCGGCATAGTGGCCTGGAGCAGGCGGAGAAGGCCATTCGAACGAATGGGTGTCTGCGTCGCGATCCGATTGAAACCCTAGTAAGTCCCAGCTGGATTCCTGGTGTCACCAACCCACCGACTCACCATCAACAGCATCCCGTGGTTCGCACGCACCCGGTTACCGGATGGAAAACGCTGTATGTGAACGAGAACTTCACCAAGGAGATTGTCGGACTGGAGAAACGGGTGGGAGACGGCCTTCTCGACCAACTGTTCCGCACGGTGGCCGAGGGCTACGAATTCCAGGTCCGCTGGAAGTGGTCCCCGAATGCTGTCGCCATCTGGGATAACCGCGCCACGTTTCACACGGGCATTTTTGACTACTGTGAGTGTGCAACAGCCCTTCGCTCCCTTCCCTCTGACCCGACTGACCTGGTCTAGTCCCGCATCTGCGCCACGGGCTGCGCGTGGCTCCCCAGGCCGAACGACCGTACTTGGATTCCCAGTCGACGACCCGGCGGGAGGCGGGAGGCAAGTGATGAGACTTGGTCGCGGGTTCACTAAGAGTGTCTTGGCCTGGACAAAGGGCTCGATGTGGTCAGGAGGCATCCAGCCTGGGTGGCCCATAACCCGTAGCGTGCGTTCTGTTCATTTTTTTTCCCCTCCCATGTAGCGCCTATCTCCCGAGGGGCAAGATCAATGCAGCGAACCCGGGCGTGCTCCGACGGCACTAATGCACCTCCCTGCAGCCCCGTTATTTCCTCTTAATTAATCACGTCAACGGTTCTCATCCCGTCCTGATATGACGACTCGTGGCCGTCGGTGAAGACTGGCGGGGCCCTGCCCTGGAGGGAACATCGTATAAAGGCGCGCAGCCCACCATCCCTACCACCACACATCCAAAGCTGCAAGTGTCAAAAGCACGCAGTGAATCTTCTTCCATCCCCCCTGTCCCACCACGATGATGCTCTCCCCCCTTGTGCTGCTGCTTTGGTCCAGCCTCGCAGCCGGCCAGCTGATCGGCCCCGTCGGCCCAACCACTCCACTCGCTCAGAAGACGGTCGAATGTAGCGTGCTGGACTATGGCGCCGTGGCCGACAACAGTACGGATCTCGCCCCGGCCCTCGAGTCGGCCTTCTCGGCCTGCGTGCTGCCCAACCCGGGCAGTCGTCTCGTCGTCCCCGCCGGTGACTACCTGATCCACCGGGGTGTCGTGCTCAGCAATGCCACCAACTGGGCCTTTCAGCTGGACGGGCTCATCACGGCCGCGTACGGAGGGAACTGGACCATCGATCGTGCGTTGATCCTCCAGGGGTTCGCCGGTGTGGACCTCTTGAATGCCACCATTAACGGCGAAGGTGACCATAAATTCCTCCTAGATGTCCTGGTCATTGTCAACGGTAAGTGTCGCCATCGTCCCTTGCTGGTGTATTGTTTTTAAACCCCTGGATCTAATCGGAACTCATCAATCGCAGCGGTCGACTTCGAGTTCTACTCCTCCAACGGCCTGGGTGCCTTCCAGGGCCAGGGCTACCTGTACCGAACCCTTGACAAGTGAGTCATGCCACATATCTGCTGCGCAAGTATCCTGACTGGAGTTTAGTACCGACCGACCGCGACTCGTCCGACTGATTTCCCCAACCAATGCGTCCGTCCACGACCTGATCCTCGTCGACAGCCCCAAGTTCCACCTCGTGTTGGACTTTGCCGTCAACGTCGAGGTCTACCACATCACCGTCCGCGGGGCCAATCTGGGCAGCTATGATGGCATCGACGCCATTGGCACCAATTACTACATCCACGACAATGAAGTGAGTGATGTCCCTTCCCCCCTTGTCGGGGACCTTACTGACCCTGTCTGCGCAGGTGACCAACCGGGACGAGTGCGTCTCCGTCAAAAGTCCATCTCACCATGCCTTGATCGAGAACCTGGTGTGCAACCAGGCCGGGTCGGGCATCTCCATCGGCAGTCTGAATGTTTCGGCGGAGATCTCTGATATTGTACGTCTGTGGCGAGGAACGCATTCCCCCATCCCGTCGACGCTCAACTAACTGGCTGCTTCAGGTGGCCCAAAACATCAGCATCATTCAGGGAAACAACATCGCCTTCATCAAGACGTACCCGGGCGGATCCGGCTACGTGCGCAACGTCCAGTTCCTGAATTTCCGATCCAAGGCGAGCCTCTACGGTCTCGACATCGACCAGTACTGGCAGAACACTTTTGAACCCGACACCGGAGCGGTGGCCCTCAGCAATCTGACCTTCCGGAACTTCTCCGGTACCTCCCACCCCCTTCCCTGGCTCTTGACAGGGGAAGCTGTTCACTGACGCGAAGGATTCTGGTAGGATCGGTCGCGGACGGGGCCCGTCGGCCCCCGTTATACCTCATCGCCAACGACCTCACCTACGCCACGGACGTCACGATCGAGGACTTCACAGTGTGGACCGAATCCGGCAACGACGTGGTCAACAAGATCAACAACATCTTCGGCACCGGCGATGACTCCTATGGCACCAACGACGGCATTGCCTCGCTGGCGCCCGGGGCCACCCCCACCACGTACACCAGCACGTACACCATCACGGCGTCGCCGACGGGATGGGTCGCCCCGACCTATCCAGCATGGGCAGCGCCCAGTACGGGATACGGCAGTGAGTAAACATTGGAAGATCCCCGTTCATGCTCTGGTTCGATACTAACCCCGGTTGCTCTTGATAGCTGCGTCGCCCATCCCGGTATACACGCCTGCAGCGCTGTGGCGACCCGGCGGAGTCGACTATGACCTGCATTACTGGGGGAGTTTTTAGCGGGTCCTGATGTTGCTAGAGGGGATACCATGTCCTCCCTCCTTTCACGGAGACATTCCTGCGAGGATCTTTCTCTTTGAGAACAGCACCAGTCTCCGCAGGTAGTAAGCAATTATGTACTTAACACATATTGTCATAGACCCTTTTTTTCGAACTGGTGCAACACCATTTGTAGTTGTAATCTTCGAGTATGATTCAGGACGCGGAACTTCCCTGACGTTGACAGCATGTCAACCAACAAAAAGAAAAAGGGGGTACCGCGTCGGTAAGTACCCCAAGAGTTCCTCAACCACACCAGGGATCCATGTACCCCTTCTAGATATTGAAAGATGAGCAAGACCCCGGAATCTTATCCAGGTTTGCCCCGCGTTCGAAACGGATGAGAATCTGGGGGTTGGGCATTTGTGCATGGACGTTGGGGGGGGATTCTGGTTGGGCGTCGAGACTTGAGGGGTACCTCCGGGGGAGGTACCCGGGTGGGTCACCGGACCACCACCCGTCCCAACAGTCACGTGAGGGTCGGGATGGTGGAATGTTTCTCCGCCACGGTGCAACATAGGTGCTGGTGTGGTATGGATTACTGTGGGATTCTTGCAGAATGAGGGGTTTTATCTTGATCTTGGAGGGATTACTCCTAGATGGTGTTTTGCAGATGATAAGGTGGGGGGAAGTAGGAGGTAATTTGGTGCTGGACCTGACTCATCGATTAGGAATAGTATATACTCGGTACTATATATATTGTCACGTTCATACCAGCAGGGCAAAACGATATACCGCTCGCATGAGGAGAACAGACGGAACGAAGACTGTATCCCAACAAATATTGTGGTGGTATCTCGCGGGATCATTGTAGAAGATGACGACGATGATGAGGCGGGTGAGACAGGTACGTGCTATTCCTGCTGAGATTCTGCCTGAACCTAACGATCCAAGTCTAATGGGTATCCAGCATGACTCGTCTAAAACTACTGCTATCGACTTGAGTAAGCAAGACCAATCCCGGGGCCACTTTGTTGGATATCCATCGGATATCTGCTCAACCGCGATATGAAATCCAAGTGCAGCATGCTCACTAGTATCAGGGTGAAAAGACAAGACTGTAACACACCCCAGACAAAGCACCTAATCGGTACGCGAGAGCAAACGCAGCTTCACCGGCGTAGAAACCACCCACCTAGGAACCGAGGGCTATGCTAGCTGATACTGACGAGACCATTCGCGTAACCGAGTCCCACCGAGCGATCCTGTCACCGAACTTGGTCCACCGACATGTCTTGGCCGTTTGGTCTCAGCCTCCGAATCTCACACTTGAATAGAAGCAGTCAGGCTAGGCTCCATGGGGAGGGAGGCATTCAGCCGCGGTTATCCGAACGCCAGGCTCGGCATGGAGGCGCGCCCATGGATCAGTGGGTCGGCTGCAACAGCCTGCACGAAGGGCGGGGAGAACAGGATATGATGCAGCCTCGCGTATGCCGTTGCCACCGAGATGAAACGGGGGGAAGTCACGTCCCGGCTGGATTGGCCCGCGTGGGATGCCTACAGTGCCGTGCAGCAAGGGGTGGTAGGGCCTATCGGGGACATGGAGAGGACCCGGATGGCAAGAATGATGGTGGTAACTGATAACAGGTATCTAGCAAGGCATTGATTATTATTGTTGTTGACCATGAGCAAAGAGAGACGAAGAGGCAAATAGATAGGAAGTGTGGAGGATGCAGTATCCAGTATGTATCCACCGGCAGCGTCACCGGAGCCGGCCCGGGTCCTTCCCGGTGGCTGATTCTTCCCCAGACCTGAGGGAGAAAACTGAGAGTCCTCACCGGGGTTCGGTGATCGTCCCCTCTCCTCCAACCCCCCAGAACCATTCTGGTCTTTCCTCCTCAAGGCCATTGTTGGTGGATGTCCAAATCGTGGATACTGGCGTGCAACCATCGTGCCGGAGGATGAGGCTGGAGGTATGCGCTCGGGGAAGCCAAGCAGTAATAAACTCCTTCTAGAAGGCTAGAAGGCAGGCTAGGGCCCGGTTCACCGGCCAGGAACCGGAATTCTTATCTACTACGGAGTATTTAGTATAGGTAGCTACTGGATAGATAGTAGATAGTAGATACGAGATACAGACCTTCCCCGGAATCCGACCTTGGCCCTAACCCTGGGTGTTCCACGTGGGGATCTCGACCCTCCGAGTCTCTGCGACAGTCTCCAGTTTCTCCCTACTTTGTCGCGACGGTGAACCGTGAACAGAGCCATTTCCATTAGCTAAAAGACTTTGCTGTGAGTCAAATTGGTGACAAACCAAGTGACTAACCGAGTCCGAGCTGACCAACCACGAGGGCCGTCCGAATGACTCAGCATCCCGCTGCAAGCGTGTGCATTGCCTGTTCCGGCTAGCGGAATACCAGATCCGGCTAGACTGCCGTGCTGGACCACTTTTTCTGTTTTGGGATGGTTGATCGGATTTGATTTTTCAATTTCTTCGCCCTGGAATCACACCGTAATCTGGAATAGTGAAGGAACCAGCAGCTTATCGATATCACCTTCACGGTTACCCAATCTGATTATCCATCCATCCATCCATCCGTTTCTTCCGGTATACGGATGATGATGGTGAGTGATGCAAGGGACGGACGGCCTCTCAGCCGGCTCCGGATGCACCATGGCGAAACCCCCCCGTCAATCCCTTGGTGGCTAAACTCTATACTATCTGCAGGAGACTGGCATCATCATCATGTCCATATCTCCTCTGGTATGTAGGAGAATCATGATCATCGAGCGGTGCCTCTTCGGGGCGGCCTGTTCCACTCCCCGGGGGAAACTAAAGACTCCAACTAACAGCATAACCTCGCCATCCGGCCCAGTGATTCGCTCTCCAACCCAACCTGAACCACCGGGCGAAAGTTCCCCCCCCCAGGCCTTAGTCCGGGATAAACGTAAAGTGTAAAGTGATGGATGATTATCTGCTCCTCGCCCGGCCGGTGTCTACTGTCTCCACCAGGCCGTGGCCACTGCGCGTGCAGAACCGCCCGCTGGATGCCACCTTCCCAAGCACCCCACAATCTGCCTTTCTCCTCCCCCTCAAGCGCGAAAAAAAAAAAAGCTAAAACCGCCCGCTGGATGCCCAGGCAATCATTTGTCCGCCATCCTGCCGTCCGGTCTTATTAGCCTTCTGGTTGCTTGCTTGCTGCGTCTTCTTGTCTCTCTCTCCCCTTCTCTCCCCCCCTTCGCTTTTCCCCCTCGACCTGTTAGCCCTTCATCCGCTTCATCATGACCACCACTCCCAGGGATGTCGAGGCTCTCGCCGTCCACCACGAGCCTGGAGTTCTCGATGACACGTTGGAGAAGAAGGTCTCCGCCAATGAGTCCCCTCCGGCCGACGACCCCTTTGGCAATGAGGAGTGCGGCGAGGTCAAGTACCGGGTCATGAAATGGTGGCATTGCGGCATCCGTAAGGACATACCATCCCATTCTCTCCCTGGTGGACGACCTTCTAAAGCAGCATAATAGTGATGATTGCGGAGAACATCTCCCTGGGTATTCTGTCCCTGCCCTCGGCGGTGGCCACCCTTGGAATCGTCCCGTAAGTGATGTGATTGTAAATATCTGTCAAGAATCCCCAAACCTAACGTCCCCCGTCCAGCTCCATCTTCCTCATTCTGGGTCTCTCTGGTATCTCCTGGTACACGGGCTATGTCATCGGCCAGTTCAAGCTCCGCTACCCTCAAATCCACAGCATGGGTGATGCCGGTGAACTCCTCTTTGGCCGTATCGGACGCGAGATCCTTTTCTTCGGCCAGCTGCTGTTCTGCATCTTCTTGATGTCCAGTCACATTCTCACCTTCACCGTGCTGTTCAACACCATCACCGGCCACGGCACCTGCACCATCGTCTTCGGTGTCGTCGGCTTGGTCGTCAGTTTCATCGGCGCCCTTCCTCGCACCATGGGGAAGGTGTACATCATGTCCCTTGTTTGTATGCTTCCATTGCAACCCCATCTCCACCGATCCCCGGCCAACTGATCTCTCTCCAGCCTGCACTAGTATCACTATTGCCACCATCGTCACCATGGTGGCCATTGCTGTGCAAGCGCCCGACCATGTCGAGGTGGATATCACGACCCACCCCAGCTTCGCCAACGCCTTCCTCGCGGTGACCAACATTGTCTTCGCCTTCAGTATGCATCTACTTTCCCCATGATGTCCTGTCACAATTTCCTGACCCCCTCCAGTTGCCCATGTGGCTTTCTTCGGCTTCATCTCCGAGATGGAGGACCCCCGGGACTTTCCCAAGTCCTTGGCCATGCTGCAGGTCATGGACACGACCATGTACATTGTCACGGCCATGGTCATCTATCGCTATGCGGGCCCGGATGTCGCATCTCCGGCTTTGTCCTCGGCCGGCCCGCTGATGAGCAAGGTCGCCTACGGCCTGGCCATTCCTACGGTATGTCCTCCCCGTTATCCCAAAGGACAACAATATTATGCCAGAACCAGCTGTTTCTGGGCTTTCCTTGTCAATTCCCTTCCTGGATGCTGACCATAGCCATAGGTCGTGATTGCCGGTGTCGTGTTCGGCCACGTCGCGTCCAAATACATCTACGTGCGACTGTGGCGTGGCTCGCCCCAGATGCACACCAACAGCTTGGCCGCCGTTGGATCATGGGTCGCCATTGCGCTGGGAGTGTGGGTGATTGCCTGGGTGATTGCCGAGTCGATCCCCGTCTTCAATGATCTGTTGAGTCTGATTGTATGTTTCCCCGATCACGCGCTCAAGATCCCTTACTGACCATCGGATGTGATCACAGAGCTCCCTGTTCGGCAGTTGGTTCAGTTGTAAGTCCACTTCTTCTTCTTCTTCTCGCCCGGAACCTCAGCTAATCCCACCAGATGGACTTCCCGCGATGTTCTGGTTGGTCATGAACAAGGGCCAATATACCGCCTCGCCCTCTAAGATCTTCCTGACGATTGTCAACCTCGTCATCTTTGGTATTGCCTGCGCAATTGTACGCCCCCTTCATATCCCTCCACCCATCGGCATGCTAACCCTTGAATTAGTGCGGTCTGGGACTCTACGTGTCAGGCAAATCCATCCACGACAGCTCGTCCTCGGCCAGCTGGACGTGCGCCAACAACGCCTTATAGGCCCATCTGCAGGCCACCCGGTACGGGATTGTCTCCTTCCGCACCGAGGATCTCCAGCATACAGTCATCCCCCAGATCGAGCAGGGCTGTCTGGGTTTTTCGGCTCGACGGTGTTGGTGTTGGTTGGTTGATGTATTCAGGAAACGGATTATGTCTTTGCTTGTTTGTTCTTTCTAGCCGGCATTTGCTTGTGTTTTGTTACGGTCCAGTTCACCCTATATATATAGTACATACGTGAGGGTTTAATGCATTCGGTGGTGCATGTCCGCTGGGATGGTCTTTTGCCTGCATCGTACTGTGGGTCATGGCCTTGTGATCCTGGAAGTATCTGTAGGTGTGTGATTGAAGTGTCGCACCCTGGATGTCAGTCCTCGCTTCCGATCCTGTTTGCTCTACCTACCTACCAACTCCAGAACCCATACAGTGGGCAGGCCAGTTGGCCCCTGGCCAGGGTCCAAGGCAGTCCCGCCGCGTCGATGGTGACAAGCCCTAATTCGTCTGCCTGACAGCCACGGCTCCACTCGGGGCAGATGCCGAGCCAGTTCTGCCAATCAACGTCCGCGAGCGCCCTGCCAAGGATCACTAGTCGCCAGGCCTGCAGGACTCTCGCCTTTGCCCGATGGCAACATCACAGCAGTGTTCGGGGTAAACAGGACGTAACATGTTCGTTGCAAAAGTGCAATGGGGGATGGCGGATGGGGGAAGGGTCATGGCGAGACACGAGACAGAGAGTTGAACACCCGACGCGAATGAGATGGGTTTCAAACGCATCAGCACGCAGCCCAGCGTGCAGTGCATGCAGTATCCACGGGCCCGGGTTCTCCGGAAGTCCTTGGCTGGGATCTGGGCATTCCTCATCAGCCCTAGCCGGACCCAACCTGTCCCATTCGCGCGGTCACTGTATACGTACATGCGTGACAAGGCGGGTGGGTCAAGCCATCGCTGGGGGAGGGCCCGGGATTTAAATAAATAGTGCCGGCCCTCCGGCAGACATGCATTCTCATTCCTCCGACGCATGCGTGCGGACCATGAATCGTGGGATTGTGGATTGACAACAACGCGGCGACTGCAACAGGGACACCAAGAGCTCGCCTTCCTCTGCGTGGGATCGCGCCCCGAACTCCTGTTTTGTGCCACGCGATGCGTTCTCGCCTCTTCTGGCTGATTCAGGCAGCCGTCCTACTTGGCCTTTTCTTTCTGCTGCATCGCCATGTACGCTCCAGCGCAACCGTGCCGCCAGATCCTGCCCGGGCCGCCCCGCACGAGATCGCCATCCCGCGAATCGTCCATCAACTGTTCGTCCCCATGGCGGGACACACCGTATCAAGCTTCCGCCCAGATGGGCATAGCATCTCCTGGCTGCAATCCGGTTGGAAGGTTGAGTACTGGGGGGAGGACTCGTGTCTCGAACTGGCCCACGAACTCGATGTTACCGGCTCCTACGCGAAAACCTTCCAGGCACTTCCGGTTCCCATTCTCAAGTCGGACTTCTGTCGCTATCTGATCCTGTTCGGGCGGGGCGGGGTCTACAATGATCTGGATGTCCACCTCCTCCAGCCCTTGCCGTGGTCGGTCATGGGCCCGACCGGGAATGTCGACGAAGGAGCCCCTGCCGTGATCGTCGGGCTGGAAGGCGATGCGTCCACGACCGGACTCCCCCGATCTCCGCAGTTTGTCCAGTGGACGATGGCATCCGTTCCCTCCCATCCCATCTTCCGCCATGTGTTGCAGTCCATCGTGGACCGCACATCCCAGTATATCCCCCAGACGGTGGCAGACGATGCCGATGTCGACGTGATGAGCTGGACCGGGCCCAGTGTCTGGACCGACGCCGTGCTGGGGTATCTGAACTGCGCGGACGAGCAGGTGCAGCAGCTGCGTGATCTCAAGGCCATGGTCCGGATCCAGGACGTTCTCATCCTTCCCCGGCGATCATTTGCAGTCCTTCGTGGCGAAGACCAAGGGGCACCGGACGTGTTGGTCAAGCATTATTTCTCTGGGAGTTGGAAGACGTGCGCCCGGGAGTGGTTCCGTTGGCTCTGGCCAGGAGGGTGTTGACTGCTGCTGCATCTCGAGGGATAGTAGGAGCATGCCTAGTGCGCCTGAAGTGTATACTAATATATTCATGAATTGCCTTCGTTTTGCTAGTCGTACAGGTTGGTGAATGGATTGGGGAGAAACACCGGGGGTATCGCTGATGATGCAGATCCATGGCCGCCGTTCCGGATATCAGGTCAAGGAACAGACCGCTAGAACATCTGATCAGACACATCCAGCCCGCGATCCAGCTCATCCGCCTCCTTGCGCAGCACCTCTGCCCGGAACTTCCGGAACGCTGTCTCAATTCTCTGCCTCCGATCGGGGTCGGCGGTGATGCAGCGGCTTCCACTGCCCGCGCCTCCAAGAAACCCTGAGGAAGAGCGATGGCGTCAGCACCACATCCGATACATCGTGGAGGGAATAAGGGCACCAGAAAGACCTACCGAGCTCGCCGCCCAAGAACAGACCCCCTGCGCCGGCAAAGAAATAGGTGGTGAAGTCGCCGAGTGTGGTGGGCTTCAACAGTGGGGTAATATCTGGGATGTGCTCTGTCCGTCCTGCGTTAGTCCATGGCATCCGAGCAGGAGATGGCGAGGAATCACGCACCGGTTCGACCATCGGCAAAGACGACTTGGGTGGGCTTCTCGCGGGCGCGAAAAACCTCGAAGAAGGCCTTGCGCGAGCTCCTCAGGCGAAAGGCAGTATAGAGCCCCAGCCCCAGGCCAACCGCCGAGCCGACGGTGGTCCAGAAGGCGACCTTTTGGGAGGCTGCCTTGAGGGCGTCGCGGTCCTGGGGGCGGAGGTCGTGCTGCAGATGCTGGTCGGCCAGGCGAGCGAGCTCATTGCTGCGGCGATTGCGGAGGGTGGGATAGATGTCAGGCATGATGAGGAATATTGAAGATGATGTGGTTGGTTCAGATCGCAGATGGGAGGTCAAGATGGGAGGGAGGAAATCAGAAGAGAGTGAAGGGCGGGCGGGGTTCTCATGATGTCATTCATCCCGATGACCTCACCTCACGCATTGCGCACACCAAGATTTTACGGTCCCTAACATTTCGAGAATTGATGATGATGATGGGATTCAGGGTTCTAAATATGTCCATGTACGACTCCGTACTGTCCAACGACTATCCTACTATCTACTACCTACCTACTAAGTAACTCCGGGCTGGGGTCCTGAGGCGCCAAGATACTCAGGCACTCAGGCACCCAAAACAGGGACAGACCAGGCACCAAGGCAGCGATGGCGGTGAAGAATTCTGCCCGGTCGCGACGCGTCGGCGGCACGCGCTTCCCCTTTCACATCCACGGATCAATTTGATGTCTCCACTTCCATCTATCTCCATCTCCATCTTCATCTTCATCTCCAATTTCCACCCCCTCCCACATCTTCATCCCCCCTCCCAAAAAGTCTAGGGACGTTACATCATAACATCGCCTACTTGGCGAATTTCTTTTCGGTGCCCGGAACCATGGGCCACATCCAAGATCTTCCCCCAGAGCTGCTGCTCCACATCTTGTCTTTCGTGGCCGATTTTGACTTCGCCGAGCCTACCCCTAAATCCAAGGACAACGATGATAATGGAGACGAGGAGGAAGATGACAAGCTCATCGATGAACGCGCTATCAGCTTGGCCAACCTATGTCGGGTCTCCCGCGTGTTTCGGGAACTCGCCCAGCCGCTGCTGTTCCAAGACTTTGACAATTTCGATATGCCTGGGGACATGTCTCGCGTTGTCGCTTTCACCCGCGCCCTCATCCTCCGTCCCAGCCTGGGTGAGCATGTCCACGATGTCACCGTCCAACCCTCCGACGACCACCGATTCCTCCAGGCCCCGCCCACCCTCTCTCCCGAAGACCGGGAACTCTTCGCCAGCACCATCCGCGACTTTCAGCTGGGCGACGAGGAAAGCACATGGATGTCGGCCATGGAAAAGGTGGACTATAGCCTCTTCGTGACCTTGCTGATCAGCAGGACCCCGAATCTGCGCCGCCTGGACCTCTGCGGCGGCCAATTCTTCATGAAGCCCCTCCGCCAAATCTTTCAACGGAACCCGGCCGTCCTGTGCAACCTGGAGGACCTCTGCCTGAACGGTGATGACCTCTTTGCCGGCTACCCGCTCCCGTTCTACGAAGAACTACTCGTTCTGCCCCGTTTGAAATCGCTGACGGCCGAATACTGCCAGCTCCTTGGTGCCAAATTTCCCGCCTCCTGGGCCCCGCAGACCATGGCCTTCGAGTGGATTGACCTGAACATGTGCCACCTGGATGCCCCTGGCCTGAAAAAGCTCCTCCAAGCATGCCGCAAGGTCATGTCGTTCAGCTACACCCGTTTCTCTGTCGATCCCGCGGATCAGCCCGACATCGTTCCCGCCACCCGCGAGTTCAACGCTGCCGAGTGGCACAAGGCCCTCCTCCCCCATAAAGATACCCTCGTGTATCTGGAATTGGCCTTTACGCGGGACCCCTGGGAACGGGAGAACATTCAGGAATACCTGGCCCGCCAGGCCAGGATTGGCTCACTCCGCAACTTCTCTGTTCTCACGTCCCTCTCCATTCAGCAGGCCCTGCTGCCCCCGCGGCCAGAATTTCCTCCCGCTCTCGAGCAGCTGGTGGTGGAAGACTGCAACGTGTCGGTCCGGGAGCTGGCCCAGCACCTTGCGAAGGAGTGTCGACAGGGACACCTTCCCGCCCTCAAGTCCATCAAGATGCTGGCCGTCGACATCACCGACCCCATCCAGCTTCACGGGCAGCAAATCCCCCCCGGGAAGACCCCACAGCAATGCTTCCTGAGTATTCGCGATTTCTTCAAGAACACCTCGGTCGAATTCGACATCCTCCCCTACCCTGACTGCCGTCAACACCAGATTGGGGACTCCTCCGACGAGGACTATGACGACGAACTCTATATGGATGACGAATACGACTTCCCTCCGTTGGGGCTCTCGGCTGGATCCGCGCCCATTCCCCGGGACCTGTTCGGGGCGATGCTGTTGCAAGCCATGCACGAGCAGGCCACGGGAATGGATGAGGCCAGCGATCACTCCTGGGTCACAGATGACGAGGACGACTGAGAGACAGTTGATCTGGGTGATGATGACGATTAAAAAACACGATAACGCTAATGATGAGATGTATGACTGACTTGGCTGGATCAAGATTGGTACATGATTTTAGTTCTTTTCTCAAGGTTTCGGATGTAAACTGCTACCTAATGGGCCATTGTCCCCGCTATTTGCAATGAAATACCGCTAATGTGCGTAATGATGAATAATTCTTCCTGTCGTAAATCTAGTCTTGGTCACTGTCCACGCACGGAAATGAAAGCACAATGAAAGCAAAGATCAATTGGGGGGTACTAGCTAGAATCTTCCCATCCATTAGACCGCATTACGGCTGCCTGCCTATAGGAGAGTGACCTCGTTACAGGGAATTGAATATATTTCTGTGAGGGTCGATCCTATGTCGAGAGCATCGGTGGCATGGGACTACGGAGGGTGACAGACATGCTTTATTTTCAAGTAGTCACCTGAGTTGCGTGCAGAGGAATAGATCATTTCCCCGTCACGATTCCAGTGGAATCTGTGTGTACTGCGTAGAATCATGAAGCTAGTCAACTACATCATGGGCTCCCCTGAGAACCGTGGCCGATGGATTAACTCCCCAGATATAGTGCTTTGCTTGCATCAGATTAGACAGATGGCATGGATGGAAGATATCGTATCGATAGCCCGAGTGCAAAACGATTAGTGACGGCCGTAGAGTTCCGAGGCGGATCGGGAGAGCTGACAGAGAGTTTCAGTCCCATTTTCCACTTCAGCGCTCAGACTAAAGGAGTCTGCCTTGTCAACAGCCTAAATGCATGTTACAGATATCGCAATGGTCGGCATACAGACAATGAGGCAAGCACGCCAGGCGGTGCTGTACCCAGAATTTACGCGGCTAGGGCTACTTAGGTGTCTTCCGGATTGGCGAGGGTCTAAGCTGCAGACCAGGCTGCCAGTTAGACGACATATTCTGAAAGCCGAAGAGCCTAATTTAAGCGCATCGGCAAGGCAGCGTAATCCTTGTTGCATTACCGCAATTGCACCGCCAGCCACATGGAGCATCCTCCTTTGTTGCCCGGAGAACCGGAGACACCGGGCATGTATACTAGACGGATGGCTCTGCCAACACCGGAAGGGTCCATTCCCAGGCCGCCTGGAGATGTGTCTGAGCCGCTACGGTGGCCAAGCCATGAATTCGTTCGGTCTTGATCAAAATGTCCAGGAGAGCCTCTTGTTCGCGGCGGTCGGTCATGCGATCTCCACCTATGCGGTCATGAAGATGTTAGTCGAAATGCCTTTGCGACGGGTAGAGGGGTTCAGGCGGGGCAGATGTACACATCGACACTCCCATGCATGCGGCGACGAGAGCCGGAGCAGTCTTATTGGATATGGCGATTCCACAGAGACTGAATACGTGGTGCTTGACTTCAATCTGCAGTCGTCAGCCACCAGGCCATCGTGCGCACAACCTCAGGAATTTGTACCTCCCTGCCGTTGACGGCTGCCTTGCGACCGGGACCAAGGCGAGGAACCGCGGGATCAAACACTGTGAGCAGGAGGCGGGCGAGATGCCAGTGCTGGATTGCGGTCACTGAGAACCATCAGCATCTGTGCGCCGCGGCACTGTGGAAACCGTCTCACCAATACAGTCATCCAAGTACCAGAGTATGGGAAATACCTCCCCTTTGGATGGATCGGGTTGCCGACAATACAATGGATCGAATGTCGGCGGGGTGAGGGTTTGCCACTGGCGGCTGTATTCGCATAGCTGCTCATACCTCCAGCGTGTTTGACAGCCATCGCCATAGCAATAAACGAGGGCATCGACGCAGTGAAGAACAGCCCGATTCGCCCAGGTGGCGTCGTCTGCTGGGTCAAGCTGTCGGTAAACAGATGCGTCGCAGCAACTCAGGTCGAGCTCGACAACGCGCTGTTCGAGAAAGGCCTTATGGAACTCTTGGCGAATGCCAACCCAGAAAGCTGCCAGCTGGAGGCCCCCCTCACGGAGTGCGTTGGCCCCTTGGGCGTTGAGAAAGACTTGTGTCCCGCGAAGGTGAGTCCCGTCGTCGCCGCCAGCAAGAGCCGCTGCAACTCACGCAGTCAGTGGGCATGGCAAAGAAGCACCCCAGAAGGCGAGGCTACTGACCATCGAACTCCTCGTAGAAGCGCAAGATGACGGAAGCGGCTAGGAGGTCCGTGTTCTGCATCTCCATGGTATCACCGGATAGGGACACAAGGTGGGAGATACACAGAGTCTGGTAATCCAGAGCAGTGGTGTCTCCCAGATCGGGCAGACGACGCCCGGCGAAGGCCACCGGGCGACTGCCGGTCGATTGGCACCGGCTGAGATGCCGCGCGGACGCCGAGTACACGGCATGAAGCAGGGCGGGACAATGGGCGGCGCGGTCGGGAATCAAGAGGGCAAAGTGCTTGCCGGCATCACAGGAATCGAACTGCGGGGCGTCAGCCAACGTTGAGCCGGGGACACTCGCTGGACATGGTCACCCAGGGGGCCAATTCTTCCACGAAATACCGCATCAAGCATGCCTCCTGAACGGCCCGATTGGACCAGGGAATGGATGGGACCCGTCCGGGGTCCGGGGAGGCTGGAGCCGTTTCATTGCTCAGGTGGTCGTGAGATTGATCTGAAGAACCAGGCCAGTGGTCGTAAGCCCCCCGAGCGGAATCGTCGATGGCGGGGTGGCCGGCAAGAGTCAACATGGCCTTTGGTTGAGCGGGGAAAGATGCCCGAGGACGGGACGAAGATAGAGAGAGAGAGAGAGGGAGGAAGGGAGGGAGACAGTCACGAGGGGAGTCACGCGGAGTCACGGGATCAGGCTCACACCCCCACCGACAAGCAAAACACGCAAACAGAACAATCGAGTCAAACTACTGTTGTAGAGAAAGGTTTCCTTGGATCTATCCTTCTATTGACGCCTGCCTCAATCCCCCAGTCTACAAACGCGCACTCCCCTTCAGCTGCGCCTCCATCATCTGTCCAATCCGCGGCTCCACCCGGCTGAACATGGCGATCGTCGCCTTCTGGATCTCCGGCATCACCCCCTCCAGCGATTGCGTCACGTTGGCCACCCACTTGCGGCGCTCGGCCTCGTCGAACACATTGTTCCACAGCGCCCGCGGCTGCACAAAGTCCTCGTCGTCCACGGGGATCTCGTTGAGTCCGAGCACGGCTCCAGAACGCAACCACTCGTTGTGGCGCACGTCCTGCACCGACTGGCTGACGACACCCGGGGTCAGGGTGCTGCGCACATAGTTGGGGTCGCCTCCATAGTTGCGACCCATCGTGGCCAGCCCGTCCCGCTCATACGGCGCATACACGGGGCAGATGGCCCGGTTGGGGGGCAGCTGTGTGTAGTTGACACCCAGACGGTACCGCTGGGCATCGGGGTAAGCGAACATGCGCGCCTGGAGCACTACAAAAGCAAACACACCGGGGTTAGCTATCTCACCCGAAGGAGGAGTGGGGTGAAGGAATAACAGAAGACTTACTCGGATCGGGTGTCATGGCGATACCGGGCACCAGGTTGGACGGAGAGAAGGCCGCCTGCTCGATCTCGGCAAAGAAGTTCTCGGGCTGACAGGTCGTTAGCATCCTCAGCAAGCCATGTACAAACAGAAGATCGACTCACGTTGCGGTTCAGGGTCATTTCGCCGACCTCGATCAAGGGGAAGTCCTTGTGCGGCCAGACCTTGGTGATATCAAAGACAGCCCGGCCGTAGGTCTCAGCCTGCTCCGGCTCCATCACCTGAATGTAGAGCTTCCACATGGGGTGCTCGCCCCGTGCAATGGCCAGGGAGAGGTCCTGGTTGTGGAAATCGGCATTGACACCGGCCATGCGGGTGGCCTCGTCGGGAGTCATGTTGCTGAAGCCCAGCACGGGCTTGAAGTGGAACTTGCAGTAGCGGAAGCGTCCATCATGGCCCACCAGCTTGAAGGTATGGATGCCGAATCCGGTCATGCGGCGCACCGACTCGGGCAGGCCGCGGGAGCCAAAGACATGCATCAGGGTGTGAACACTCTCCGGCTGGTTGCAGTGGAAATCCCAGTACTGTAGAGGTCCTTCGTTAGTCTCGGGATCGCACCCCCCTGGAGAATCAAGAATCAAGGGCGCGTGACAGGCCAACTTACCATGTTCATATCCGGGAGACCGGTGGTGGGATGCTTCTTGTGACTGCGGTTCAAGGAGGGGAAGCGGACGGGATCGCGGACGAAGAAGACGGGCTACCTCGAGGTGAGAATGATGCCATGCCGACAGCTCAAGCACAGGGACGACCTACCACGTGGTTGCCGACAATATCATGGTTACCCTCCTCGGTGAAGAACTTGACGGCAAAGCCGCGGACATCGCGCACGGTATCGGCACTGCCCTTCTCGCCCCCGGTGGTACTGGACCGGAAGAGCACCTGGGACGTCTTGCCGACGCCGTTGAGGAACTTGGCGCGGGTGAGGTGGGAGATGTCGTTGGTGACACGGAACTCTCCCCAGGCGCCGGAACCCTTGGCGTGGACAACTCTATCGGTCGGGTCAGCGGACAGGCGTCGATCAGCGGCGGATCGGCCGGAGCGGGCGGTCGTACCTCTCCGGGATACGTTCCCGGTTGAAATGCGTCAGGGTCTCGATCAGGAGGGTGTCTCCCAGGGTGGTGATGGCACCGCCGCCAAAGGTCGGAAGCGTGGTGCTGACGGACGGGTCAGGCAGGGGCTGGCCTGCACCATGACGTTAGAGTTGAGCCAATCCCGGGCTGACGGACAGGCGAGGAGTCACCTACCCTCGGCGAGTGTGTAGACAGGCTTGGACATGATGATCCGAAGATTAAAGTTTGGCAGGTGCGCTAGTGAGGCTATCCGGCAGGAGGAATTGAACGAATCCGATGGGTCGATGAGATGGATGTCCACAGAGCCGGCTCTGATGGTTTCTTTGTCTTGCACACGAGCAGAGTCACGGAGGCAGATGTTGGGGGAACATCCTGACAGTGTTTCACCCCCGGTGCAAAATTTTCTCCTTCCCAGCTGGCTTTAGCGCCAAAAGTGGATGAGGTTGTAAAGCCCAACGGCAGCAGACAGCTTAGTCTGAGGGGAAAACCCTATCCCGATTCCCACAGCACCGAGGCTCCCCTCATGAGGGGAACCCCCCCGTGAGGGGAAGCCCCGCCCACTTGCGTAAGCATTCTATCAGCCGGCTCTCATTGGGTGTCACGCAGACCGCTCACGTGCTGTCATCTAACCTCTTCCGGCCTTCTGCCGTGGTATCGCCGAACATTAGCCGCGGGCGATCCAGATTGCTCCAGTTATCTACACTGCCGAGAGCCTGTATACTATCGATATGCTACCTTGCTTCGGTTCCGTTGGTTACTCCTCAACTCGGCTCAACTGTCCTCAGGTTTTCCTTGTGTTACTACGCATGTTGGCAATCTCTCCTTTCGCGCTCCGCCCAAGCAGCCAGCTAGACGATCAGGGAATCTACTCTATACACTTCTATGTCATCGTCATTGGTGTTCTCATCGCTCTCTTTGACAGAGCTACGACGAGTACCTATATCCGATCGCCGTTGACAGTATGACCGTTTTTATGCTTGACAACCCCCCCATTGTGGGGTTTATGATATCGGCTGGCATAATGTAACTGACGATCTGATCATCATCCCCATCATTGGGAATGAGGCCTCTTTATCGTCAAACCCCGGACAATAAGACTTGCCTGCCGCCGATACAAAACCACCGAACCTGCATCCACGGCGTTCCCGACTGTGCCCCACTGTCATCGATGATGTCCCCAGAGGCTCGGCCGGAGGCTAAATATGACGCTTCTGCCTAATGCAGAGATGCAGGTGGGTCGGCCCATTAAGGTGCCCGCGTGCGAGCCCGGTCAGTGCTTGATTAGATCTGCATCCATATATGGTGTGTATGCGGACATTGGCGAGACGTTGAGTACACGGATTTGGTCCTACTGCCCTTTTCGATTGTGCGGGAACCATTCACAAGAAATGGAAGGACACAACCCGGACTGATTGTTGAATGAAGCTAAGATGCCATTGGACTTCTAAACTGATGCCAGCTTTCCCAAGATTTACCTAGCCGAGCTGGCCCTCCTTCCGAGAGACCTCGGCTCCACATCGCGGACCAGCTGAGCCACCAGGGACTGACATACTCCTGAGACTACCTGATGTCGAACTCCGCTTGAGTCTGCACAGCTGCATTGCGAACTATCCGAGACCGTTGCAAGGCTAAGCTATGGTTTGCTCCCCCCAGGTTCGGACTTCTGTCCGACTCCCGGGAGTTGCTTTGACTCCGAGTGGAGCCGACGAAGGGTTGTCAAGGTCTACACGCCCGCCAATGTGGTACGCATGTCGATGCTAAATAATAGAGATCCATATCTTAACTGGCGACTCCCAAGACCTTCAAGTTACTCCTCAGCATCCGAAACTGTCGCTGATTACCTTTCAACATGACGATTCGTTACCTCAAGAGCAGGTCGCAGACCACCAACCAGTCCACCTCTTCCCAGGTAGACGTGAGCACCGTGGTAAAGGGCGTAATCGATGATGTCCGTGCCGACGGCGACCTGGCGGTTCGAAAGTACTCCGAGAAGTTTGACAATTGGTCTCCAGCATCGTTCAAACTCTCTCAGTCAGACATCGATGCCTCTATTGCTGCTTGTCCGCAGCAAACAATCGAGGATATCAAAGAGGTGCAAAGGAACGTGCGGGCATTTGCGCAGGCACAGAGGGACTTCATTCAGGATTTCGAGTACGAGATTCAGCCGGTATAACCCCCATTCCCAAAACCCAGATCGTCACCCGCGGTACACGAGCTGACAGTTCAAAGGGGGTGTATCTGGGCCAGAAAAATCTCCCTATCAACAGCGTTGGAGCGTAAGTACTTCACATTGCAGCTCTACGCCGATAGTGCAGCTCATCGTCTGATTCGTGGATAGATACATCCCCGGAGGACGATACCCACTGCTCGCATCCGCCCATATGACTATCCTGACGGCCAAGGTTGCCGGAGTCCCTCACGTGGTTGGCTGTACCCCTCCAATTGGCGGGCAGATCCCCCATGCCACTGTGGCCGCGATGCATCTGGCGGGGGCCGACGAGATCCATCTCTTGGGTGGGGTCCAGGCGATTGCAGCGATGGCGGTGGGCACAGAGACGATCCACAAGGTCGACTTCATCGCGGGACCGGGTAATGCATTTGTTGCTGAGGGCAAGCGTCAATTGTTCGGGGAGGTGGGTATCGACCTGTTCGCCGGCCCGACGGAGATCCTCATCGTGGCCGATGAGACGGCGGATCCGTTCACCGTGGCCACCGACATTCTGTCGCAGGCGGAACACGGACCCGATTCTCCCGCCGTGATTATCACGACCTCGGAGCGCGTGGGACAGGCGGCCATCGACATCATTCACCAGTTACTCCCGAATCTGCCTACTGACGAGCTGGCAGGAACATCGTGGGACCGATTTGGGGAGGCGATTGTGGTGGACTCGCCCGAGGAGGCCTGGCAGTTGGCAGACGAGTATGCGAGTGAGCACGTGCAGATCCTTACCAAGCGCCCGCGAGAGGCGCTGGAGAAGATGACTGCGTATGGGGCGCTGTTCTTGGGCGAGAAGACGTGCGTCTCTTACGGCGATAAGGTATGTTCTTTCTAGCCCGGATTGCAGATCAAGCCCTAATGCCTCATGTCACCACCGCACAGGTCATCGGGACAAACCACGTGCTCCCAACCAAGAAGGGGGCACGATACACGGGGGGCCTCTGGGTGGGCAAATATCTACGGACGGTCACCTACCAGGAGGTGACCAGCAGCACGGCCAGCGGCGAGTTGGGTCGGTTGTGTGGCCGGGCTGCCCGCGCGGAGAAGTTCGAGGGTCATGCCCGGTCTGGCGATCTGCGAGCCCAGAAGTACCTGGGCGACCGGTTTGCCTGGATTCCATCCTCCGACCAGGCCAATCTGTAGATATATACTTATGCCCACAGACATCGGACTAGATACATATTTGGTGATCCAAACATTCCCCGGCGACTCCGACAGCCGGAGATTAGATAAGCGTAAATACCTGTGACCCGGCCCGCTCAGCCAATCACCTCTCTGTATGAAGAGAACTAGCCTCCGGCATCGGAATCTAGAAAAACGCACCGCCCTTCGATCGCCGCCGGAAGCACGCTGCAGCTTCAGAGCAGTGTTTAGATAGTGCGACAAATACATAGTACTAGAAAAACGTGCACCCGGCACGAAACCAGTCAGATTTCGAGGGAGGGCACCGCCACCGCGCATTCATTCCACATGGCGCACGAACAATCATCCCTCCTGCCGGCGGACATGCTGGAATCCCAGCTGTCCACCATTGATCTCCTCATGGCCATGTTTCCCAACCCAGGCGAGTTGGAGATCCCTGCCTCGACATCTCAGTGCGTGGAAAAGCTCCGGGACTGGTGTCAGGCTCCAGCGGGAGTGCCCTCGGGCATCCCGTCAAGTATCCTGCTCGCGGTGTGTTTGCCCCTGGCAGACGGAGAGAAGACCATCCAGGTCAATATCTCGATCCCACTGCACAGCTCGGATCCCGTACCGGAACAGCCACCTCCGCCCAGTTATACGCTTCGACAGCCCGATTGGATGTCTAAAGCTGAGGTCGCGACGCTGGCCGCCGCCATGCCTCAAGATGACGTGTTCGAGGCATTTGAGTACGTTCGAGAAGAAGCCACGCGCTTTCTGGAAGCCCAGCAGGCCTCGGCACCGGACGCAACTGCAGGTGGCTCGGGATCCATTGTGCGGGTGTGGTTCTATTTCCCCTCTCTGTCGACTCGCAAGAAGCGTGATGATCTCGTCAACCATGCCGCGGGGTACGCGCTCACGGGCTTTGTGTTGGCGGGCAAGCCGGGCGTGCTGTGCCTCGAAGGAGGGTCGACCGACATTGACGACTATATGAGCTTCATTAAGACCTACTCGTGGGGTGACATTCCCAGTCATCAGAAAAAGGTCAGCGAGCGATTTCGCGAGACGGAAGGGGTACAAAGAGTCTTCTCGGGCATGGAAGAGATCACGGACTCGCTGGGGGAACGAAGTGGGCAGCGAGCTAATCGAGGGGACATGCAGGCGCTGGAGGCCTGGCTGCGGGCCCGCGGATTGCAGGAGGCTTTTGAACAGGTGATCTTCTAGATGCCAATTGAGAAGAATAGATCAATTGCCATATGAACAACGGGCAGGCCCCGTACTGTTAACCTGGCACTGGATGGGACACGCGTAGCCAGACCATTTGCTCGCTCGGTACCCCTGGGAATGCTAGGTGGATACGTTGAGAACTAGAGTGGGTGGCGATCTGTAATGTTTGATGAGGGCCAACGTGGAGAGGTTAGGGCAGCGCCAAATATATGTACTAAAGCTCAAGTCGCTTAAACAAGCTCATCTTCAGCAGGCCATTTCCTTTCCCATACGCAATGTATCCTGCGAAATCAACATTTGATGTCCTGATGATAGACACGCGGACATCCAAGGTTGGCGGATTATATAGTGAGATTCAACGTCGACTGATTTGTAGAAACTGGTTTAGATAGACAGGTGGCGGAAGCCAGTCGCATCCAAAGTCAACCTGATGTCATCTGTAATATCTATTTGTAGATTATCAAACTGGTAACTCCCATATTTTTCCCCATCAAATATTTAATCGGGAAAATTTTCATCACGACGACCGTACTGGACGCATCTTTGTTGCGTTAATCAATCAAAAATACAATTCACTAACGCTATTGACTTCAAATTAAACAGAACAGTAATCTTAGAAACAACATCGTAACTGACAAGAATCATCCAAATCATCCAGCCCCGGGTATAGTAGTATGCATGCCTCCATCGCCACAACTCCAGTGTCTATCTCAATGACCCCTCATAGGTCCCTCACATATCTGTACCAATACATCCAAGGCTGCCCCCATGTCCGGTCCGGTATAGGTGACGCCGATGATATCGGTCCGGTCCACCCCCATGTTGGGAAGCCGCCCATGAACATCGGTCTCCAAGCCGAACATACTCTTCTGCGGTGCAGGGAGGTTCTGAACGGGCGTGAAGCGCAACATGCCATCGGGTCCCTGGATCATACTCAAGTCGATGCTTGTGAGGTGAGGGAAATGGCTCCGATGTTGACCGAGATATACCAGCCACTGCGAGTCCAACGACGTGACTCCTCGCAGGCTCAGCTTCGAGAGACTGGTCCGTGTCCCGGATAGAAGGCGAATGATATCGTCGTTTCTCAGTGAGGTTCCCCAGATGGAGATCCGTTCTAGGTGCCTCAAGACATCGACAGATCGACTGAGTTGTGCGAAGAACTCCACAGCAAGATCGCTGTAGCCGAGGCTGAGATGGAGTTTGCGGAGGGCAGTGGCGCTGAGAATCATGTCCAGGAGAAAGGTATAGTTTTGAGGCGTCACCTCCTGTTCCAGATGCAGGTTCTCCAGGCAGCCCCAGCCGAATTGGAAGGACGGGTTTCTGAAGAGCGCCTTGGGGAGACGGGCAATGTCCATGACTTTGGACGAGTAATTCATGCCCTTGCCGTACCAGAATAACTTGACTGGCAAGGCAGCCTCGGCGATCATGTCGAGGAGGACGCACGCGACGTCGTCGGGGTTGAAAGTAGGCTCGTCGTTGGCGGGAGCCTTGGTTTCGTGATCGGACATGATTGGAGACAGAATGAACGATCGGCATTTGACCAGCCGGTCCGTGAGGTCTTCACACAGTCTGTGGATCAGGGGCATGGCCAGGGGATCGCGGAGATGCCCTGATGCGGTCCAATTCCAGTCCAGATGCTGGCCCAGGCGGGGCTCCGGACTGAGGACAACGAGATGTTGGATGTGGCTCCTCACCAAGGTGTTCTCGGACAGGGCGTGCAGGTGGTTCAAAGACCGCTCGGAGAAGTCGGTGTGATACTCGGTATATCGTTGAGCAAAGCAGAGGTTGGTGGAGTGATAGGCAGCCCGGCAGGTACCCCGGACCGCGGCCAGATCGCACGTGTGCAGCTCGCTGCATATCAACTGGATCGTCTCCAAAGGGAGCCCCAGCAGACATGGGGGCTCTCGCTGGTTTTCTTGGATAAGCTCCATGGTAGAAGATAGTGAAGGGATGAGTGCTGGGAGGAGAGACCAGCCACGGGGGCTTTCTTGTACCCGAGCAGGTAAGCCAGCCCCAGGGTCCTTGGAGTACCTTGGGGCCGGCGATCCCCCCCCCCCCGAGTGGCGATCCCGCAGTGATCAAATCTTGAGATATAGGAGAGAGAGACAGATAATCTCAAGATGAAGCACAGGAAAATGGAGAACCGATAGATCTCCGGGACCGTCTCCCATCATCTGCAGAAATTCCATCGTCTATCCTGACAATAGAAAGGATGAAGCGGTTGAAAGAGTCCTGGCGGTTCAATCGTCGATCACGTATATCCCCACTTCGGGCATTGTATCTATTCTGTACTGTATGTATCCAATGAAGCATACTGTCGCTGGGAGGCGGGGAAGTGGACCTGGCCTTGTAGAATAGCCAATTACAAAGTCTGGAAGCCATCAGGCACTACTATTGGAATCGCACAACAGTAAAAGCCCCAAGAAAGAACCTATGCGACAACCGCCGAGACTTGGGAGCTTTTAGCATAGAGAGGTGCGGCGAAGAGAATTCTACGAGACATCCACCCTTTTATTTCTTAACCAGCAGCCGTGGAGGGCATCCGTGCGAGCAGCGTCATCGGTATATATATATTTCCCAGCCCCGTAGCTGCTTGACCCAGTCAGCGCGTCTGAGGACCATCAAATCACCTAGCGACCTCATCGCGTTCTCTGGGGATTGTCCGGGATCGTCTCTGTGAGTATGTGTCACGAAGCTATTGTCTAGCATTTATCCACTGCATAATCCCGCTCCACGTCCGCCATCACCCCCATTACCTTATCTAGCCTCTTCTCGGCCGTCTCCCACTCTTCCCGAATCACCTTTTCGATTCCAGGTCCGCGTGGTTGCAGCCTCACATCCAGCTCCTGGGGCATCGTCATGAATCCCACCACCCTCATGGCCCAGGGATCCACCCCCCCTCCATTCGACGGCTGGATATCGAAAGCCCAGAGCAAGTGGGCCACCTGCAAGAACATGCCGTCCGTAGCAACGCGTTTCCCCTGGCAGATCCGTCGGCCCTGTCCGAACACCGGCAAGGGGAGGACTGTCCGGAGCTTTTCCTGTCCGTTGCTATCGTCCGATTGCAGCCACCTTTCCGGCACGAAGTCATTGAGGTCTCCCAGGGATGGATCGAAGACTGACTGGTCCCGCCCGATGGCCCAGGCATTTGCCATGATGGTGACACCTTTGGCAATCTCCACTCCCTGATACCTGTCGTCCCGGTCTGCGCGACGCGGGATAGAGCCCGGGGTGATGGGACGCCACCGGAGGATTTCGTGCGCAATGGCATCGATAAACGGGAGACTCGCACGATCCGAAAACCGGGGGGCACGGTTTCGCCCGACCACGGCATCCAGGGCAGCGTGAGCGCGGGTCAGGATATGTGGGCGGTGCAGCATTGCAATGAATAACCACAGCAGTTGGCGTGGCGAGGTCTCCATTCCCCCTTGAATGGATGTGGCAAGGGTGAAGGCGAGGTCAAGGTCCGGCACGGGGGTGTACTTCTGTGCCGTCGAGATGGCTTGCTTGGTGGCGTTCCAGCCCACCGCGTCTCTCCCCTGTCGGAAGAGACGCATATAGAGGGACACCTGGGCTTCGAAGAGCTTGTCTGCCGCGCGCTTCCAGGGAGATAGGACCGAGGGGAGGTGACGCAAAGGTGGAACGAGATCTGGCAAGCCGGGATTGGCGGCAAGGTGCGTCACCTGCGCTTGGGTAGCGACGATCTCGTGCAACAGGCCATCCTCGGAGCCTGGAACGCGCAGGCCGTAATGCAACGCCAGGATGATGCTTGACTGCGTGCGTTCCAGGAGCGGGTATATGGCGGTGGTGCTGATTGTGCCGTCGGAGCGTTGTCGCAAGGCATTGCACAGGTCGAACAGCAGTTGCTTGCATTCCAGCTCCATCAACGGCTGGTACCTAGAGGCAGCGGGAACCCCGAGACTGGGAGCCAGGATGCGGTGGTGGAGCTTGAGGTGCTCGTCATAGTCGTGCATCAGAGTAAATCGCGACTGGCCGGGCTCGGCGCCCGTAATCATCTCCATGCTGACCGAGGCCGGCCGATTACTGTACCACTGGCTGCGGCGACTGAACAATTCGGTCGCTGCCTCCAAGGTGTTTAGGACCACGATGGGAATGATTCCAAACAGCCGGGGAACCGCAATGGGGCCATTCTGCTTGGCCCAGGCGTCCCAGTTTACCAGGGGTTTCTCGATCGGGGAGCGATGCAGATCCCCAATGAGGGGAAGTTTGAGAAGCCGCGAGGACTTTTGTAGACTCTGCGACCGGGTGTTCACCACGTACCACAGGGTCAGCACGGCGATGACAAGGGCGACCACAACAGAAGAGGGGTTAGCCATCCTGGTTGCTGGAGCCGGGGGAAAGTGAGAGGAAAATGCTAGCCAGCCGGGGGAAAACCGCGGTGATGAGGAGTGAGGACAGCCCTCAGGGGCATTTGGCATTTCACCCTAACGGAACCGGGTGGATGGCCCGGGACTGGGAGAGGCCTGTGGGTGGGGTGGGGAGCTGTCAGCCTGTCTGATAGATAACACACACTACCTATGTATATTATCTAGCCTATTAGACAGATAGACACATCACCAATCAGATCGTGGCTGGGAGACTAGTTGCAGCAGGCTAAGCCTCATGCTGGTGGATCCCGCTTGACGCTTGCGGCCTAGGGTTTGTCGCCAGGTGACCAAGAGATGCACTCAGTACACAGTCCTCAGTACCTAGCAAATTTCTCATTGATTTTCCATCGTCAACAACCTCCGGAAGGAGTCCATCCATCTTGGGGGATGCTCATGGTTTTTATTTATTAGGGTTTATTAGGGTATTAGGGTTTATTAGGGTTTATTAGGGTTTATTATTAGGGTTTTAGGGTTTTAGGGTTTATTAGGGTTTATTAGGGTTTATTAGGGTTTATTAGGGTTTTTAGGGTT